TACCGAGGCCGCCACTGGTGCCCCTCTTACCACCTTCCCCCGGGACCCGGTGTCCGGCCTGTTCACACTTGACACCGCGACGTCCCCGGCTGGGTCTTCCCCCCCGGTAGCTGCGTCCACCCAGGTTGCTGCCGCGTGCTCCTGTCGGTCCCTCACTCACCCGACTCTCCTTTGGCACCACCGCCTTGGTCACCCTGCACTCCTACGTCTGCGTCACATGTCCCAGCACGGTCTCGTCCTTGGTCTCCCCGGTTCGTTCCCCGAGTTTCCCTCCTCCCCCGCCCCACCGTGCACGCCTTGTGTCGAGGGCCGGCTTCGCCGTGCCCCTCACTCCTCCTCTTTTCCCCCTACCACCGCACCACTGCAGACTCTGCACATGGACGTCTGGGGCCCAGCCCCGGTCCATGGGCCGCGTCGCGAGCGCTTCTTCCTAGTGCTTGTCGACGACTTCACGCGCTACACCACCGTCTTCCCCCTGGAGCGGAAGGCCGACGTGCCTGACGTTCTCATCCCCTGGCTTGTCTCTGCTCGTGTCCACCGCGGTCTCCCTGCCTTGCGCCTCCACTCCGACCGGGGTGGCGAGTTTGCCTCAGGTGTCCTTGGTCGCTTTTGTCGTGCGGAGGGCATCACCCAGACGTTTACCCTGCCGGACTCTCCGCAGCAGAATGGGGTCGCTGAGCGACGCATCGGTTTGGTCATGGAGGTGGCTCGCACCTCCATGATCCACGCCGGTGCACCCCATTTTCTGTGGCCGTTCGCCGTGCGCTACGCCCCTCACCAGCTTAACCTGTGGCCGCACCCCCAGCGGCCGCAGGTTTCGCCGACCCTTCTGTGGACCGGGTCCCCTGGTGACGCGTCTGCGTTCCACGTCTGGGGCTGCCTTGCCCACGTTCGTGCCTCTGGCACGGACAAGCTCACTGCCCGCACCCTCCCCTGCGTCTTCCTCGGTTTCCCCCTTGACGCGTCTGACTGGCACTTCTACCACCCGCCGTCCCACCGCTTCTTTCACTCTCGCGACGTCACCTTTGACGAGTCCGTCTCCTTCTACCGCCGCTTTCCTCACCGTGGTCCCCCGGTTACTCCCCCCCTGTTCCTGGTCCCTCCTTCCCCGGTGGTCCCTGCCCCTCCCCCCCCCCCCCCCCCGCCCCCCCGTCCGGCCCCCTCTGGTGTGTCTCACGTCACCCCCCTCCCGTCGGTCGTCCCGGTCGACGAGTCTTCTGCCTCTGGTAGTCCTCCGGCGCAGTCCTCGCCGTCTGTCCCTCCCCCGGTGTCTCCTCCTCCCCCGCCTCCGCAGCCGCCGTCGCCGCAGCTGCTGCAGCCGTCGTCTCCACCGCCGCCGCCGTTGCAGCCGTCGTCTCCGCCGCCGCCGCCGTCGCAGCCGTCGCTGCAGCCGCCGCCGCCGCCGCCGCTGTCGTCGCTGCCGCCGTTTGTGGACTCTGGGGGTGCTGGCGTTGAGGTGGGTACTAGTCCCGGGGCTCCTGTCGTGGCTTGTCCCGGCGGGCCTGGGGGTGGTACCGGTGCTGGCGGGGTTTCGGGCTCTGGGGGTGTCCCTTCTGGGGGTGCAGGTGTAGAGGGTTCGGGAGGTAGCCGTCGCGCAGCTTGTGGCCCTAGTGTTGGTGTTGTGTCGCCGCAGCAGCAGTCCCCGCCTGTGACCGCCCTCCGTCTGCTCGGCCTCCCGTCTCCTGACCCTGCGCCTGTTCCTCTCCTGCCGTCTCCCCCTCTTCCCGTCTACGGCCCCGTGTTCCCTCTGCCAGACTCGTCCCCGGCTCGTCTTCCCCCTCGTTCCCCTCCTGTGTCCCCTCCTCTGTCTCCTGACCCGACGCCGCCCTCACACGTCTGGTCTCGCCGCCCCGCTCGTGCTCGTCCTGTCTCCCCTGTCCCGCGCTCTCACCCTATGTTGCTCCGTTCCCACGCGTCTCGACCTCCCCTCCTCCCGTCTCCTCCTCCGTCCTCTCTTGTCGTTGCGTCTCCTCCTCTGTCCGACTACTTTCGTGTCGCTCGTCCTCTTGTTCCTCGGGTCCTTGCCTCTCTCGTTACCGACCCGTCTGTTCCAGTGTCGAGTCTTGACGCCCTCGTCGCTGCGGTCGCTGACTTCGCCTCTACCCGCCGCCTTGACTACGCCACCGCTCTGGTCTCTCACCCTGCCTGTCCTCAGTCTCTCGGGGGTGCTCCTGCCCTCGGCAGTGACGTCCTAGAGGACCGCCAGTTTGAGCTTGCTTTCCTCTCCGAGGCTGCTCCCCATCTCTGTTCCATGCTGCTAGTCCCTGAGGGTGACCCAGACGCTTTCGACATCCCGACCCCTCGTACTTACGCTGAGGCGGTTTCGGGACCCTGGGCCTCTCAGTGGATAGCTGCCATGGAGCAGGAGATGGCATCTTGGAGATCCACCGGCACCTTCGTCGACGCAGTTCCCCCACCTGGGGTGAACGTGGTCGATGGCCGCTGGCTCTTCAAGGTGAAGCGCCCTCCTGGAGAGCCGCCTGTCTTCAAGGCGCGCTACGTGGCTAGAGGCTTCAGTCAGCGCGAGGGGGTGGACTTCTTTCAGACTTTCGCTCCTACCCCGAAGATGACTACTCTTCGGGTTCTGCTACACGTAGCGGCTCAGCGTGACTACGAGCTTCACTCCCTCGACTTCTCCACTGCCTTTCTTCAGGGCAGCCTTCACGAGCAGGTCTACCTGCGTCGCCCTCAGGGCTTTACTGGCACCTTCCCCCCTGGGACCCAGTGGCTTCTGCGGCGGCCAGTCTACGGCCTGCGCCAGGCGCCTCGTGAGTGGCACGACACTTTGCGTGCTACCCTTGCTGACCTGCAGTTCTTTCCGTCCTCTGCAGACCCCTTGCTCTTCGTTCGTGCTGGCTCGACTCCGTTCTACATCCTCGTCTACGTAGACGACCTGGTCTTTGCCACTGCTGACAGGGACGCACTGGCCTCCGTGAAGGCAGAGCTGCTGAAGAGACACACCTGCACTGACCTTGGAGAGCTGCGCCGTTACCTTGGCTTGCAGATCTCCAGGGACAGAGCCGCGCGCACCATCACCCTGACTCAGTCACACTTGGTGCGCCAGGTCCTTCAGAGGTTCGGCCTTCAGTTCTCCTCCGCACAGCCCACCCCTCTTCCTCTGGACCACAGACTCTCCGCTCCAGTTCCTGAGGAGTCGGTAGATCCCAGTGGTCCTTACGCTGAGCTAGTGGGTTGCCTCATGTACCTTATGACTTGCACTCGCCCAGATCTCGCATACCCTCTCAGCATCCTGGCTCGATTCGTGGCCACAGGCAGACACCGACCTCAGCACTGGTCTGCCGCTAAGAGGGTTTTGCGTTATCTTGCAAGTACATCGGGCATGGGGTTAGTGCTCGGCGGACGCAGGCCAGTGGTCCTTACTGGACACACAGACGCTTCTTGGGCAGACGACGCCGAGACGCTCAGGTCTTCTCAGGGCTACTGCTTTAGCCTTGGCTCAGGTGCTGTCTCGTGGAGAGCTACCCGCTCTTCGTCTGTTGCCCAGTCCAGCTGTGAGGCCGAGATCTACGCCGGTGCCATGGCGGCACAGGAGCTCCGCTGGCTGACCTTCTTGCTCACTGACTTAGGTGAGCGGCCTAGCTCTGCCCCGGTCCTGTACGCTGACAACAGGGCCATGATCCTCCTGTGTCAGGAGCCTCGACTCGAGGGCAGAGCGAAGCACATCCAGCTGCGGTACTTCCTCCTGCGTGAGCTACAGCAGCGTCGCCAGGCTCGCGTAGTACACTTAGCCTCCGGTGCCAACACAGCTGATATCTTTACGAAGGCGCTTGCGCCTAAAGATCATCAGCGGCACTGTGTACAGCTTGGTCTGGTTCCTGTAGTCTCTCACTTACTCGGGCCTTGACTTTGTACTGTCCTATATATCTGTGTGTACACTCAGACTGGACTTGTGTCCTCTTACAGTGGTTGGACTAGTAGTGCCGCCCTGTACTAGTTCTTGCCTTGCCTGTACTCCTTCTGACTGGTCTTTTAGACCCTTGTCTCAGAGGCTGGACTAGTAGTGCCACCCTGAGCTGCTTGTCTAGAACATTCCCCTATGCAGTCCAGGGGGTGTGTCAAACATGTTTAGTTATCATGCTTGTATAGACTGTATAGGGTCATCTTCTAGAGAGTACAACTGTTAGGTATATGTTTGTGTACTCTCTCTCTCTCAATCCATCAATTTCACTGTTTGATAGAACCCACGCTGGAGCCTTTTCAGCTTTTGAGTCATCGCGTTCGCCTCGACTCGACAGGACGCCACGTGGATTTTCTTGTCCGCTGGGTCGACCGTACAAGCGAAGACGACACCTGGGTCCCTTCCGACTCGATTCAGGAACACTCGGTGCTCAAATCTTATTTGACCCGAAAAGGCGTTCCCGATATTGATCACCTTCCTTAGGGGGGGGGGTAGTGTAAGGAATTTTATTCCTTACCGGGTTGTATTGCAATTGCGTACACCCGAACTCTCGGAACACCAGGCTCGGTCAGTTTCCAACGCGATCCCGAGGCACGCCCGCACCGCCTCCGAACCTTTCGACCGCGCCTGTACCCAACCTAGCCTTCCGGGCTCGTCGCCTAGCTAGAGCTCTCGCTATATAGTGCTAGGATCCCATTCTTGTACTCGTCATTATTATTCGGCGCACTCTCAGTTATTATTCATAACACTTTCGGAATCTGGTTACACTATCCCTTTCGGAATCTCGTGACAATGGATAGGCAGCTTCATGTATCCAGTAGATTTTAAAGCCCGCCCGGCAGGTTGCTTATTTGAACTGTTTAGGTAGGTGGGGCGGCAGAACTTGATTGGACGACGAGGGATAATGGAAACGGAATATTTGGCGAAGACTAGGCTTCGCAAAGTCAGCGTCAGTTTCGCGCGAGCTAGCGGGGCTGGAAACTTGGCAGGGCTGGTGTTCTTAGGCAGTGCAGTGCATTGTCCAGCCAGGCCGAGCTTCTGATGGTTCAGCCGAGCTTCTGATGGTTAAAGAAATTAGTAGGTATGATATGAAAGACTACAATTAACGAGTTCTATGTTTTGAACACACACATACACACTCCAAGCACACTCACACTCACACACACCCACACACACGCACACGCACACGCACGTACCACCTAAGTTAGGTTATGAATCCCCACTCTTAAATGGTGGCGGCAAATTTGAGCCACTGCTTCAGAGCCGGCGACTTCTTCAGAGCAGCCTTCAGCTCTCCGCCCTTCTCGGAACCATCGTGGGGAACTTTCCCCTTGGATTCCGCTGCAGCTGCAGCAGCAGCCTTCTTACCCCCCTTGGGGTCGGCCTTCTTGCCCTTGGGCACCTTTCTACGCACAGAGCTCGTCGAGTCAGTCCCTGCAGCCGCAACACGCGGCACAGACGCCTTAGACCTACTAGTAGTATTAGTAGCGCCAGTTGCCCTGAAGCCAGGCACCCCGCAGCTCGCGGCGGCACCCGCGGCGGCTCCCGCGGCATCCCCCGCGGCGGCGGCGTCGTCCGCGTTGTAGCTGTACCTCTGCGCGACGCGGTCCAGGTGCTGCGCTTCCATGAGCGCGTCAACCACGCGCATGCGCGCCGCGTGCAGGTCCTTCCGAACCTCCTCCTCAGATACCACCTCCGCGCCGAGCCCCAGCGCGAGCAGCTCCAGCGGGGCAGGCAGCTCCTGGGACAGGTTCATCTGGTGGAGCTGGTCGGCGGGGAGCTGGGTGAAGGTGGGATCTGCCTCGAGGAACATCAAGCGGTCGAGAAATTCGGTCTCCCAGTACCCCGCGCGGACCACCGCGTCCATCGCGCGCTTGCGCGCATCCGCCGCTCCGCCGCATGCGGGCTTGCGCGCGGCGTCAGCGGAAGACTCCGCCGCGGAGTCGGACGCGGGGGCGGTGAGAGCCTGGACTGTCGACTCGGGAAGCGGAGTCGGCGCCGCGGAAGGCGGCGGAGAAACCGGCTCGAAGACGGTGTGCTCTGGGAGCTCTTGAGAGAGCGATTCGGTAACGGTTGGCGGTGCGGCGGCGGCGGCGGCGGCGCCGGTGAAGGAGAGTCGCCTGGTGGAGGAGAAGGAGGAGCGGCGCGAGTGACCGCAGAATCCCGCCGTCGCCACCGTGTTACCATACGCGGCGAAATCCGGGAAAGTCGTCGCCGCTGCGGCGTGCGAATGATGGGTGGCGAAGGGGTGCGTCGCGTGCGACGGGATCGCGGAGTTGGCGACGGAGCCGCTGACGGTGCATGCGACGTTGCTGGAAAGGGCGTGCGACGACGCAAAGGGGTCGGAGTAGTGCAGCGGCTGCGGGCATGCGATCATGGACGACGTGCTGCGACGCTGGCCGAACGAGCCCCGGCGCGTGGAGACGGACACGGACTGGTGCTGCGAGAAGGCCGGCGCGACGTTGCTGTCCGGCGCGATCAGCATCGCGAGGATCTTGCCCGTCGGCTTCATCTTCGCTGCGGGGACCCCTCGGAGGAAGCGCCGGCTACTACTACAACTGCAACAACAACTACTAGTAGCGCTATCAGAACAGGCAGCTCACAAGCGGCCGCGTTCGCGAAGATAGTCCCCGGGGAGCTGGTGGAAGAGTAGGTTGACAAGTTGCTTCTGGCCAAAAGTTCGATCGGCTGGTCTACGAGTGCGAGAGGAAGACGTAGAACTTGTTGAGAATGAGTTGAGGAAGGCCGTGGGCTGCGTTCTAATACTTCGCGATGGAATGGTAAATACAGCAGCAGCTCCTTGCTTTAGCCGACTCGGCGTGCTGTGAGAAAGATCCGAGCGTGTTCGCGCCAAAGATCACGGTAGGAAACGAGACGGTGGAGGGTCGTCGAAGGGGGGGGGGGGCGGAACAGACAGATGAGGAAACAGAGCAGCGAACGCGAAAAAAAGGAGAGATCTACGACTTGCAGGGAGAAGTTGGCTGGAATTTCAGCCCAGGGGGAGATGGATGGACAAATACTGTAGGAGTAGCGGAGGGGTGGTGGTGCGGAGCCCTGGGAAGCGCTGGGGGGCACAATCGACTGGGGCAGCAGGGAGCAGGAGGCGCGAGAAAAAAGGAATTTCGGCCTTGTCCACGGAAATGTGATTCACGCGGCGCGAATTTCGCGGCGCGGCAAGTGCCAAGTGGATCTTTGTTTTTCCCCTCCATTCGAGGAGGACGTGGACAGGTTCACTGCAAAAAATCCGGTGATTGGAAACGCTGCTTCGCTCACGCTGCCATGAACTCAAACGTGAGCCACGAGAAAGATTGTGAAACGACAAACATGAGGAACCTTCTGCAGCTGCATCCCTCATCTGAAACCACCAATCGACAGCTGGCGTCAATCACGCGACAAATCGTGGGCGTTTTAGAAGCGAGCGAACAATGAGTGCCAACTGGATGCAATCACGGCGCGCATCACAGCCACCAAATGGCTCGTTTGGGAACGCACGGCACGAGACCATGCCACGATGGCCTCAGTTTTGGGCTTTAGGTGGCATCTTTCTTATCACTTGTCACGCCACCGAATTATTTCACCACGTCATCAAGCACACCAATATCTCACCTAAGAGCCCCAGCACCGATATTGTTTCAATCGTTTGTATGACGTGTATATTTTAACTATACAACTTAAATTAAGGTTCTACTACGGACATGTCGATGTAGTATAATGGTCAGTATCTCCGCCTGTCACGCGGAAGATCCGGGTTCGATCCCCGGCATCGGCGCCTGCTTTTTTCGCCTCGCTGTTTACCCCTCGTCGTTGTTGCATGTTTGACTGAAGTTGTGGGAACACGCAGCAGAACAACCTGGATGGTCGGTTTTAGGTAATCTTTGGGCACGCAGCCTTTGCCTCAGTCAATATCTGTTGACTCCTTGTGTTATCCGTCTCCAAGTATGACTGCTTGATCCATCCCGCAGCATCTCACAGCGCGCCGATGGCGCCACCGGAATTCCCGCCACCTGGTGAGCATCACGCTGCTTCTCCTGGTGCTTGCTCCGCCAAGAGTTATCCGCCTCCGAATCTCAGGGGCTAGCGTAGCGTGAGGGTCCGGGCCCGTTATGCATTATCCGACGGCTGCGCGAGTCCCTGACACCTCACCACTCGTTCCCACCATGTTTTCCGTATCGCATGCTCTCCGACGCTTTCCTTCAACGTGATTTATTACGGTTTCCGTCCACACGACTTCCGACGGTTTCCGTCAGTGCAGGTAGTTTCTTGGCTGCGGCGGCGAAGGCGGAGGAGGAGGAACGAGACGGAAACGGTCAGGTGGGAAGAAAACGTTCAGGTGGGAAGAAAACGGTCAGGTGGGAAGAAAACGGTCAGGTGGGAAGAATACGGTCAGGTGGGAAGAAAACGGTCAGATGGGAAGAAAACGGTCAGGTGGGAAGAAAACCGTCGGATGGGAAGAAAACGGTCAGATGGGAGTTAAACGGTCAGGTGGGAAGAAAACGGTCAGGTGGGAAGAAAACGGTCAGGTGGGAGGTTGGGAGGGAAAATTACAGGTGGGATGCAATTGGGAAACGTTTCGGTGCCATTCTGCGCTATCCTGCCATCCATCCCATCCCATCCCATCCCATCCCATCCCATCCCATCCCATCCCATCCCACCCACCGCACCCTACTGCACCCTACCGCACCGAACCCCACCAGGCAGCCAAGGCGCTGTACGAGCAGCTGGTGGGCGATGAGGCCACGCGATGCCCGCTCGCACACATCCAGGTGACTCTCCCCACATGCCATGGCGCTCCCCACATGCCATGGCGCTCCCCACATGCCATGGCGCTCCCCACATGCCATGGCGCTCCCCACATGCCATGACGCTCCCCACATGCCAGACAAGACACCGTCCCCCACCCCCCCCTCCCCCCGCCGCCCCATTTCCTCCCCCTCCGCCTTTTCCCCAACTGCACCCCCGCCCCGCCCCATCTCCCCCTGCCCCCCGCCCCATCTCCCCCTGCCCCCCGCCCCATCTCCCCCTGCCCCCCGCCCCATCTCCCCCTGCCCCCCGCCCCATCTCCGCCTTCCCCCCGCTATCTTCCTTTCCTCCCAGCCCCCCTACCCCTTATGCCTCCCCCCTCCTCCTCCTCCTCCTCGCTCTTCCCCCTTCCCCCACACCTCCTCCTTCCTCCTACCCGGCAAGGGCGGCGTTCAGTTGACCCCTTTGCGTCCTCCCTTCCCTTCGCCTTCTGATTCTTTTTCCCAGCTCATGCGCTTTCTGCGCCGCACAGAGGGCACGGACGCCGCCGGAAAGACGTTCAGTTGTCCGCTATCCTCGCCCCTACCACCCTCCCCTTTCATTCCCCCCTCTATCGCCCCCAGCTCATGCGCTTTCTGCGCCGCACAGAGGGCACGGACGCCGCCAGAAAGACGTTCAGTTGTCCGCTATCCTCGCCCGTACCACCCTCCCCTTTCATTCCCCCCTCTATCGCCCCCAGCTCATGCGCTTTCTGCGCCGCACAGAGGGCACGGACGCCGCCAGAAAGACGTTCAGTTGTCCGCTATCCTCGCCCGTACCACCCTCCCCTTTCATTCCCCCCTCTATCGCCCCCAGCTCATGCGCTTTTTGCGCCGCACAGAGGGCACGGACGCCGCCAGAAAGACGTTCAGTTGTCCGCTATCCTCGCCCGTACCACCCTCCCCTTTCATTCCCCCCTCTATCGCCCCCAGCTCATGCGCTTTTTGCGCCGCACAGAGGGCACGGACGCCGCCAGAAAGACGTTCAGTTGTCCGCTATCCTCGCCCGTACCACCCTCCCCTTTCATTCCCCCCTCTATCGCCCCCAGCTCATGCGCTTTCTGCGCCGCACAGAGGGCACGGACGCCGCCAGAAAGACGTTCAGTTGTCCGCTATCCTCGCCCGTACCACCCTCCCCTTTCATTCCCCCCTCTATCGCCCCCAGCTCATGCGCTTTCTGCGCCGCACAGAGGGCACGGACGCCGCCAGAAAGACGTTCAGTTGTCCGCTATCCTCGCCCGTACCACCCTCCCCTTTCATTCCCCCCTCTATCGCCCCCAGCTCATGCGCTTTCTGCGCCGCACAGAGGGCACGGACGCCGCCAGAAAGACGTTCAGTTGTCCGCTATCCTCGCCCGTACCACCCTCCCCTTTCATTCCCCCCTCTATCGCCCCCAGCTCATGCGCTTTCTGCGCCGCACAGAGGGCACGGACGCCGCCAGAAAGACGTTCAGTTGTCCGCTATCCTCGCCCGTACCACCCTCCCCTTTCATTCCCCCCTCTATCGCCCCCAGCTCATGCGCTTTCTGCGCCGCACAGAGGGCACGGACGCCGCCAGAAAGACGTTCAGTTGTCCGCTATCCTCGCCCGTACCACCCTCCCCTTTCATTCCCCCCTCTATCGCCCCCAGCTCATGCGCTTTCTGCGCCGCACAGAGGGCACGGACGCCGCCAGAAAGACGTTCAGTTGTCCGCTATCCTCGCCCGTACCACCCTCCCCTTTCATTCCCCCCTCTATCGCCCCCAGCTCATGCGCTTTCTGCGCCGCACAGAGGGCACGGACGCCGCCAGAAAGACGTTCAGTTGTCCGCTATCCTCGCCCCTACCACCCTCCCCTTTCATTCCCCCCTCTATCGCCCCCAGCTCATGCGCTTTCTGCGCCGCACAGAGGGCACGGACGCCGCCAGAAAGACGTTCAGTTGTCCGCTATCCTCGCCCCTACCACCCTCCCCTTTCATTCCGCCCTCTACCGCCCCCAGCTCATGCGCTTTCTGCGCCGCACAGAGGGCATGGAGGCGGCCAGAAAGGCGTTTCTAGCAGCGAGGAAAGCGCCCGAGTGCACTTTCCAAGTGTATGTGGCTTCGGCTTACATGGAGCTGTGCCACAACAAGGAGCCCAAGGTGCGAAGCCGTTGAGCTCTTGAGAATTCTCAAACGCCTTTGAGTTCTGTACCTTGTACTTTATGAAGCTAGCCGTTTCTCTCCCCACCCTCCTAGTTTCTCTCCTCCGTTCCCTGCCCCCACACTTCCCAAGGTGGCTCGAAACGTGTTCCAACTGGGAATGAAGAAATTTGGGACTTACCCAAGCTTTGTGAGAGAGTGAGTAACGGAATCGCTCAATCCAAGCAGTGCTCTGAAATGACTCTCTGCTTTCTGGTGTTTTTTTCATAGAGCAGGGGGGCGGGCTTCCACAGTTCACTTCATTTTTTATGGTTTTTTAGGCGCCTCAAATATGGTTCGTTCACAGAGCAGGGAGCCGGCTCCCACAGACGGCGTCACGACCTAAAATATGGTTTGTTGAATTGCTCTTTGTGGCGGCCGTTCTAGATCTCGCTGCTTGTTCATCTGAAGCTCTTTTTGAGGCGCCTCAAAAATAGACTCATCACGTGTCATTGTTGATCTGAAGCTCTTTCATGGCGGCATCTTTGAACACCACACCATGCCCTCGCATCCCATCTCATCCCATCGCATCCCACCATGCATGTGTTCATCGCCATCCGAGTCATGAGCACCACGCCATGCCCTCAGGTTCGTTCGCTTCCCGAGTCGCCTCAACAACGGCAAGGCCATGCGAGAATTGTTCTCTCCTCCCGCTCTCCCCACCCCCCTTCCCCACCCACTCGCACTGCCTTCTCCCCCACCCTTCTTAATCCACCCCCCTTCCCTCCCCATCCCCCTTCCCTCCCCACCCCCCTTCCCTCCCCACCCCTCTTCCCTCCCCACCCCCCTTCCCTCCCATCCCATCAGGTTCGCGCGCTTCTTGAGTCGCCTAAACGACGGCAAGGCCATGCGGGAGGTGCTCCCCCCTCCTCTCCCCCACCCCCACCCCGACCCCCACACTCGTACTACTCTTCCTCCCCCCCCCACACTCGTACTACTCTTCCTCCCCCCCCCACACACTCGTACTACTCTTCCTTCCCCCCCCCCTCCGGTCTTCCCTCCCGGCCCTATCAGGTTCGCGCGCTTCCTGAGTCGCCTCAACGACGGCAAGGCCATGCGGGAGGTGCTGCAGGGCGCCATTGCATCCCCAGCCATGCCGCCACACTCACTGCATCAGGTCAGTTGCCTTGGGCCACGTGCCTCGGGTCAGTTGCCTTTATGGCTCTTGAGCCTGCTCAGCTCAGCAGCGGCAAGGGCGCCATACGGGAGGTGCTGCAGGGCGCTATTGCCGCCCCAGCCATGTCGCCACAGTTCTTACTCCAGGCCAGTTGCCTCAGGTTACATTCCTCGGATGCCTCTTGAAAATCGTCACAATAATCAAACACTGCTTCTTCACATGTGCGGATTTCTCCACCACCCCTACTCCCCCCCGCCGCCCCCCCTCCCGCTCCCCCCCTTGTGCGCCCCCCGTGTGCAGCTGTGGGGGGAGCTGGTAGAGATGACTTTTGAATCGACTCAAAAGTCATCCCGTGTGCAACTGTGGGGGGGGCTGGCAGAGCGCAAGATTCCAGTCAGGCGCCTCACTCACCGTCCTCACCCTCCCCCTCCCCCCTTTGTGCATGCCCCCTTGTGCAGCTGTGGGGGGGGTGGGTACAGTGCGAGTCCTTAGTTAGGCGCCTCACTCACCTTCCTCGCCCTCCCCCTCTCCCCTTCCTCACCCTCCCCCCTCTCCCCTTCCTCGCCCTCCCCCGCTCCCCTTCCTACATCCCCCCCTCCAATCGGCTGTTGTGCGGGGAGCTGGTGGAGGGCAAGACGTCAGTCCTCTTATGCAGTCTCTTCTTTTGACGCGCCTCACTCACCATCCCCTCCCCTCCTCCCCTTCTCATTGCGCCCCCTGTGCAGCTGTGGGGGGAGCTGGTGGAGTGCGAATCTCTCTTCGGGGACCTCAAGTCTGTGCGGGAGGTAAGGTGCTGAACAGTGCTGCTAGTTCAGGTTCGAGAGCTCGTGTGTGTAATGAGTCGACTCAAAAATCGACTCATTACGCACACAAAGTGCTGAACAGTGCTGCTAGTTCAGGCTCGAGAGCTCGTGTGGGCCCGTGTCTGTTCCTCGGCACGCGCGGGCCTGTGTGTTCAAGCCTTTCTTGCCCGTGCATTCATGTCGCGCTGGCAGTGCATTCTTCCCTGCCATCTTATACCCAACTGTGCCTCTAGTCTGGATATGAGCTGACGCCCCCTCAAAACATTTCTGGCGTTCTATCCTGGGCGTGTGTATTTTGAGTCGACTCAAAATGCCTCCGGATATGAACAGTCTATATTTTAGGCGACTCAAAATGCCTGTGGATATGAACAGTCTATTTTTGAGGCGACTCAAAATGCCTGTGGATATGAACAGTCTATTTTTGAGGCGACTCAAAATGCCTCTGGATATGAATAGTCTATTTTTTAGGCGACTCAAAATGCCTCTGGATATGAATACTCTGTTTTTTAGGCGACTCAAAATGCCTCTGGATATGAATAGTCTGTTTTTGAGTTGACTCAAAATGCCTCTGGATATGAACTGACGCGAGCTCAAAAGATTTCTGGCGTCCTATCCTGGGCGTCTCCCGCGCCGTCTTACTTCAAACAAGCACGTTGTAAGCTTGTCTCAGTGCCTTTCACTTTCCCCATCCTGCCCCCCTGTATCGTCCATCCATTCTCCCCACTGTATCCCCTGAGTTCCCCCGTGCCTCAGGCCCAGGAGGGTCGGCGAAAAGCCCTCGCTTCGGCAGCAGGCCCGGGCAGCGCTCCCGAGCCTGAGCTCGAGGCTCGGAGGGCGCAGCGGGACCTGATAGACCGGTTCAGCTACTGCGGTTTGCTGCCGTGTGACGCATCAGCCCTCCCTCCAGACGTAGAAGCAGGCTCGGCAGGGTTGGACGGGATTCAGGGTCGGCGGAGGTCAGACCATAATCGGGTTTTGGAGGTAGGGCAAGGAGCAGCAGAAGGAGCAGTAACGACATCAGACGCAGAAATGCAGGGAGAAAGGGTCGCTGCTCTAGCTGCAGGTGCTGCTGCACCGACTGCAGGTGAATCAGCCCAAGCAGCAGGAGGAACAGCCCAAGCAGCAGGAGGAACAGCTGGAGCAGCAGCAGCAACACCAGCAGCAGCAGCAGTAGCAGCACAGGCAAGCACTGGCACCGGAAGGGGGGTTAAGGCGGAACCTCAGGATTCCTCTGCCTCACAGGGCTCAGGGGCCCAAGCTCCTGATCTGTCTTCTCTCTCCGCTGCCCTTGCCGCCGCTGCTGCTGTGCTGATGCCCCGAGGGGGCACAGCAGGGGGAGCAGCAGCAGCAGCAGCCCCAGCACCAGGAGCAACAGGAGCAGCGGTAAACGGAGAGAAAGGGGGAGGGAGGCAAGGAGGGGAGATACGAGAGGGGGGGCAAGCACGGGTGAAAGAGGAACCCGGTGGGGGAGAGGTGCCTAAGGCAGCGGCTGCTGGGTCTGCTGCTGCTACTGCTGCTGCTGCTGCTGCTGGGGCTGGTGCTGCTGGTGCTGGTGGGGTGAAGGATGCTGGGGAGAAGGGGGAGCAGCAGGAGAAGGAGGGGGCAGCAGGGCCAACAGGCGTGAAGACCCACCAGTTTGTTGCGAGTGCTGCTGTGGAGTGGAAGCCAGGTGGGTGAGTGAGTTAGTAAGTGAGCGAGTGAGTGAGTGAGTGAGTGGGTATTGCTGCGCTTTCAAGTCAGCAAAACAACTGTTTTAGCTTGTCCTGTTGCCCACAGCTAGCTGTGTTTTTGTTTATTGCTGCCAAATCTCACCTGCCAAATCTCATCTGCCAAATCTCACCTGCCAAATCTCACCTGCCAAATCTCACCTGCCAAATCTCACCTGCCAAATCTCACCTGCCAGATCTCACCTGCCAAATCTCACCTGCCAAATCTCACCTGCCAAATCTCACCTGCCAAATCTCACCTGCCAAATCTCACCTGCCAAATATCACCTGCTAAATATCACCTGCCAAATATCACCTGCCAAATATCACTTGCCAAATATCACCTGCCAAATATCACCTGCCAAATATCACCTGCCAAGCCTCACCTCGCAAACCCCGCCTCGCCTGCTGCCTTTTCTCTGCCCTGGCCTGCCAGGGTCCGGCCGCAAGCACGGCATCGCAGCTTCCTCGAAGCTTCTTGAAGGCCTGCCAAGGTCCTTGGCACACTTCATCTCCCAGCTCCCTCCTCCCATCCCCGGTGAGCAACCCCGAGGACCTAGCTGCTGCATTCCACGTTTGCCCTTCGTCTTCCCATCCCCACCCCCCCTGCCCTTCCCCCGTACCTCTCCCCCACCCACGCCCTCCTCCTCAGGCCCCTACCTACCTCGATGTCGACGTCATCATGTCTCGGGTCCTTCGAGCCGAGCTGCCCCCAGAGGAACTAGCTGCAATCCCAGTAGGTCCCTCTTCGCCCCTGTTTCCCCTTCCCCCTTCCCCACCCCTCCACCCCCCCAACAACCTCCCGCCCCCCTTCCCCTGCAGGCCCCTACCCCGATGTGGACTCCATCATGTCTCGGGTCGTTCCAGCCGAGCTCCCCCCAGAGGGGCTAGCTGCAATCCCAGTAGGTACCCCTTCGCCCCTGTTTCCCCTTCCCCCTTCCCCACCCCTCCACCCCCCCACCTCCCCCCCCTCCCTGTACCAGGCCCCTACCCCGACGTGGACTTCATCATGGCGCTGGTCATTCAAGCAGAGCTCCCCCCAGAGGCGCTGGTTGCATTCCCGGTTTCCTCTTGCCCCTGTTTCCCCTTCCCCCCTTCCCCACTCCCAACCCCCCCCTTCCCCACTCCCAACCCCCCCCTTCCCCCGGCCCCCCCGTACCAGGCCCCTACCCCGACGTGGACTTCATCATGTCGCTGGTCATTCAAGCAGAGCTCCCCCCAGAGGCGCTAGCAGCCAAATCAGGTGGCCTGCACCGCGCAGCAGCACCTGGAATGGCACCTGGGGCACCTGGGGCACCTGGGGCAGGTGGAGGGACAGGTGGCGGTGCGCTATTGGCCGGCAGCAAGCGGAAGGAGCTGGAAGGTGTGTAAAGGCCAGGCAGGCATGTAACGAGTGTGTTACCACCTTCCCAGTTTGTCACTGCAATCCCTTGATGCCCCCCCATATATGTCCCCCCCCCCCCTCCCCCCCCCCATCCCCCACCTACCCAACCCCCCCATCCTTCCCCACCTTCCCCCTCTTCCCCCCTTACCCTTCCCCCTTGTACCCCCTTCCCCCCCTAATCTAGCAGAGGAGGAGATGGCGAACGCAGAGGCCAGAGCACGCAAGCCGCCACCGGTGCGAGATATTTTCCGACTGAGGCAGCTGCAGAGGGCTCGGGCAGGCTCTTCTGGGACAGGCTCGTTGAGCGGAGGGGCCGGTGGAACTGGGGGAGGAGGTACTGCGAGCGGCAGCGATAGATTCTCAGGCGGATCCATGTAGCTTGTGCGTTTTGTGAAACACTTTGCGGAATGCACTCAATGAAGCAATGGCTGCAGGATCCTGTGAGCAATCCTATCCCACCTACCATTCCTGCAAACGTGGTGGACTACATGCTCTTGAACGGATGCAAGTGCTTGACCATATGGGAATAGCATGATGCTTTTGCAAGGAGCAGCAAATGCTTTCACAGAACCTTGGATGATGTGCGAGAAGATTACCATAGCCTACCACCTAATGTTGCATTTTTAGTGAGTCAAGGACTATGAGCGAACGAGTGGAGAACTACTACAATACAAAGTCTAGTTGAAAAAAAAGTGTGAAAAATGTTAGGCCTTAGAAAGCAGAACGATTATTCATGCAACTTATAATTGATGCATCAGATGGCAGTTCAGAAATTATACAGAGAATCTAGATCTCGTGCCCGGAAAAGTTAGGGTTCATGTTCTTGAGCCTGTTATTCCACGTGCAGGTCACAGTGATTCTCCGCGTCCTCGAATCGCTGACGGCTCCGCCCTCACTTTTCATTGCTGGAGTGTGGTGTAGATGCTGCCGCGGCCTGACCAGCTGCCCTAAATGATTCCAGCGAACCAGGTGCTGCCAAATCTCAAATGAGCAGATGCTGCCGAATCCCATTGCCGACACATCCATCAAATCGCCGACCCATCAACGAGTCCAATTGTATCAAGTTGCGGTGGCCACCACAATTTCTGTGACGTGGTTGTCGTCATGCGGTGTGACTTTCGTCATCGCGATGCGCGTCTTTTCGTTACCACTTCGCTGACCTTCTCGCGAGGAAGTAGGGACGCTGTTTCACGACCACGAGCCAGTGCTAGAGCCAATGCAGTGAGACGGGAGTAATGGTACAGTAACAGTTTGCAGGTTGCCTGTGTTCTCTGTTGGACAAACCCGAGGATGGCAGTGGCTGGAGGAGACCCTGGCGAACAATCACCACGCTTCGTCGAATATGCGTCTTCATCTCGTGAACGTCGCAATTCTCGCGAACATCACAATGTGACCTCGCCTCAGGGGAGATCTCTTAGGACAGACGACAAGTCGTAACTCATCTGGTTACCTGATGTCTCATCAACATAAATGCTGCAGCGAAGAGGAGGATAAACGGAGAAGTGACCCTAGAAACTACCGCAGGTCTCAACCCTCCACTCCACTCCACTCCATAGCTGCTGCGGCTGGTGCTGCGCTGGCTGATTCTGTATAACCCTACTGGAAGCTTTTGAAATTAGGGCATGTGGCTTGTGGTTGCAACTGACGAGCTAGATGGGGAGAGCTTATTCCGCAAGCGAAGCCGCCTGATTCGGCGGGACACAGAGATAACACTCCACAAATTCTCAACGCGCCCGTCCTTTGTGCCTGATCTACAGCCGCCCACTTTATCCTGGCGGGAACATGAATTGAGAGTCGCTCTAGTACTCATACACCCTTTGTTTTTTAGGCTAGAACTAGTACATCTAGCATTTGGTAAGCAGCGCGTCGCTCTTCGTTTCCTTTGATCGCCTACCTCTTAGCTTTGTCTCGGATTAGTCTCATCCACGACTCGCCTATTCGTGACCTTCTTCTTAAGCCTTGATCTAACTGACAGATTCCGAAATGTGACGCGACAACTGTCACCTAGAGCTCTGCCGCTATTGGCAGCCGAAATGGAGCTCGCGAATAAAAGTTTCGCCGACCAATCCAGCCGGAATCGCTCGGATATGGCGAACATGCCTGGTAACTCCTTAGCAGACGAAATGGAGGCCATCCGATTGCTAGGCGATCATCAGGCGTACAGAAGCTTTGAGGACGATCTAGCCGTTGATTCCAGGGATTACTACGCCGGGGACGCCGGGTACGCAGCTATGGACGACCCGTTACTAGCTACAGATAGGCACGCATCGATGCAAGGAGACTTAGATGTTACGATGCAGCGAGACATTCACATGCGAGCAGCGCAGAACATGCAGCTCCAGCTACAGCAGCAGCAGCAACTTCAGCAGCAGCAGCATCTACAGCAGCAGCACCAGCAGCAGCAACAGCAGCTACTGCAGCAGCATCAACATCAGCAGCAGCAGCAGCATCTTTCTTCCCTCGCCTCCCAACCCCCCGTCCCCTCCGTTACCGCGTCCGAGCCTCCCTCCTCCGCCGCATCCTCGTTTTTAACCGACGCGAAACTGCCTAGCGACATCAACTTCGAGCGCGCCGGCGAAGACTACCGACTCCAGCTCGCGCTCGCGCTACGCCTAGCCGCCGAAGCTTCCTTTCTAGACGAAGCGAGCGAGAGGCGGCGCGGGTCCGGGCGGGCGGGTTTAGACTTCGTGGAGTTCGACGCGCGGGGGAAGGGCGGGACCGTCGCGGGGGATAGGCGCAGAGGCGGCGCGCGCAAAGGGGGGCGGGATGACGGGAGCGGCGGGAGGGGGAGGGAGGAGGACGAGCGTCGACCGGGGCACAAGCTGCACCCGTGGGAGCTGGAGCGATGCATTTTCCGGTTCTGGGTGAGTGTTCGCGCCCGGCCGCGTGGTGCGTCACGCTGCCAGTAAGCGGCATTGTACGCTCCGCACTTTTAGGGTTCGTCAATTTTTTTGTCTCAGCCGCCGCGCGGCGAGGTGACGACGCGGAGGTCGCGCGGTTCACGGCATAAGTTTCTTCGCGGTCCGCCCTCTCCCGCCGCGCGAAACACTTAAGGCTGTCCTTTGGGTGTCCGTTGGTCCTCCCACCATCCCTCCCCCTCCCCCCCAACCCAAGTATCATCTGCCAGACGACCCCGGTTTCGCGAGATGGGCGCGACTCTGAACGCTAAGGTGATTCCGAGTTGAGTCAGCGCAAAAGTTTCCTCCCCCCACCTCCCCTCTCCCCAATTTCCCTTTCCCCCCCCTCCCCCCCCCCACCCCCCACCCCCCCTCCCCCGAATCATCCCCCAAATCATCCCCCAGACGACCCAAGTCCTGGAGTACAGCGACGTGGCGGACTCGCGGCTCTACGGCATATTCGGGGCGACGCTGAGCGCCAAGGTGTGGGGCGTGTGCGCATCTTCTCACCAGCCTCATCCCCCCCCACCCCCCTTCCGACCCCCCATCCGACCCCCCATCCGACCCCCCATCCGACCCCCCATCCGACCCCCCATCCGACCCCCCATCCGACCCCCCATCCGACCCCCCATCCGACCCCCCATCCGACCCCCCTTCCGACCCCCCATCCGACCCCCCATCCGACCCCCGCAGACGACCCAGGTTCTGGAGTATAGTGACGCGGCGGATTCGCGGTTCTATGGCATATTCGGGGCCACGCTGAGCGCCAAGGTGTGGGGGGTGTGCGCGGAGGCGCGGGGGCAGGGCCACATGCCGTCGCTGGACATGCTGCTGCAGCTGCACCCGCGGGACACGTCCGTGGACGTCGTTCTCATCGACTTCGAGGACGACCCGGGGCTCAGACGCCTCGTCGCGAAGCTCGTCTCGGCGTGTGGCAAGGGGCAGGGGCAGGGGCAGCAGGGGCAGGAGCAGCGGTTGGGGGATGGGGAGGGGAAAGGCGCGGCGGGAGGGGGGCAGAGGAGGGGGGCAGGGGCAGGGGAGCCGACGGCAGGCGACGTTGCAAGGTGGGGCGATGGGTTTTGATTCCCTTGGAAGGGGCGTTGTGGTGTGGAGAGGCGGCGCTTGTTTCGTGTCCATCTCTTATCCCGCCCAGCCATCCGCCCCCCACCCACCCCTCGCGTTCCTGTTCTTTCGCCCTGCTTCCACATTTTGTCACTCGCCTTCCGTGTTCGCCTCATCCCATGCCTCACGATCCTTCCGTGTTCGCCTCATCCCATGCCTCACGACCCTTCCGTGTTCGCCTCATCCCATGCCTCACGACCCTTCCCAGTCCTCTTTTGAGTCGACTCAAAAGCAGACCTGCCCAGCCATCCGTCCTGCACCCCTTGCGTTCCTATTCTTTCGTGCCGTTTCCACCACGTTCCATTGCTCACCTGTGTTTATCCCATGCCTCATGACCCTTGCTAGTCCTCTCCAATGGCTCTCATTCGTCTCGTACCCGTGTTGCTGTGCCCACATAGTTCGGAGACGTCTCAAAACTAAGCTACTTATCCCATGCCTCATGCCCCTTCCTAGTCCTCTCATACTCGTGTCCTTGTGCTTGCAGGGGGGTAGCAGAGGCGACGGGTGTACCCGTGCCTAATCCCCCTCTCCCCCTTTCTCCCCACGTGTCCCTCCGCCGGTCTTCGTGCTTGCAGGGTGGTAGCAGAGGCGATGGGCGGGCCCGTGCCTAACGACGAAGAGATCTATGTGAGCCCCCCCTTCCATCCCCATCCCTCCCTCGCTCTCCCGCGCCTCTCTTTTCTCTCGTTTCCTCTCCGTCTCTTCCAGCCTTGATCTCCCACCCCTCCATCTCCCCTCCCTCCCTCCCCACTTGTGCCGTCACTCTTCCGCCATGTCTCCCGTGAGAGTTAGGTTTTTGAGAATTCTCAAAAACATCCTCCTCTCGCCGTCCTCTCACCTCACATAGCGTGCCATTCAAAGGGCTTTCTCCACTGAGCCGATTCGAATTCCCACCTTCGAGCCCGCATTTCCCGTATCCACATGCCGCACCCTCTCATACCCCAATTGTTGCGTGCCTCATGCCCGTGCCGAACCTGTCCAGGAGGTGTGGGAGGAGCTGGCCCGGGAAAGCAGGGTGCGGGCAGGATCGCCCATCATGCTCATCGGCAGCATCAAGCTGGGTCTTAGCCGCCACCGCGCGCTGCTATTCAAGGTCAGCAGCACTGCGCTGCTCTTTTTATGGCGCTCCCCTATTGGTCGGGATTGCTTTCTCTGGTTGCATCACAGACTTCTCACTTGCACACCTGACATGTCATGCCATGCCTGCCTCACATGCTGCCTGCCAGCCATACGTTCCCCACTGCAAAGCCTGTGCACTTGGTCCCTCCTTTACCTGTACGGTTTTTGTGTTCATTCACCCGGCATACCAAGCTCCCTTCCCTTCCACCCTGTCCCGTTTGCCCACCATTGCTCCCTTCCTGCATCGCTGTTGCACCCATGCACCCTTCTCTCAGGCGCTAGCTGATTACTTTGGCATCCCGTGTCGCATGATTCGCGGAACCAACGGGGAGGCGCTCATTGCAACGCGGTGCCACCACAACAGGTACACACAGTACTGCATGCTCGTGCCGTGCACCCCCGCTGTCGCTCCCACGCCTCATCAACCCAAAACTCTCTGAGGAACCAATGGGGAGGCGCTCATTGCAACGCAGTGCCACCACAACAGGTGCGTTTTTTGCTGGTGACTCATCCCAACAGGTCCGCTCGCTTGTGTTTTTCCCCCACCCTAGCTCCCCCCTCCCCTCCCCTCTCCCCCCCCCCCCCTCCCTCCTCCCTCCTCTCCCCCAACATTCTCCTCTCCTGCCGCACCTATTTTTACCTCGGAATTCCTCTCCTGTGCATGCACCGTGTGTAATGAGTCTATTTTTGAGTCGACTCAAAAACGGAATTCCTCTCCTGTGCATGCACCGTGTGTAATGAGTCTATTTTTGAGTCGACTCAAAAACGGAATTCCTCTCCTGTGCATGCACCGTGTGTAATGAGTCTATTTTTGAGTCGACTCAAAAACGGAATTCCTCTCCTGTGCATGCACCGTGTGTAATGAGTCTATTTTTGAGTCGACTCAAAAACGGAATTCCTCTCCTGTGCATGCACCGTGTGTAATGAGTCTATTTTTGAGTCGACTCAAAAACGGAATTCCTCTCCTGTGCATGCACCGTGTGTAATGAGTCTATTTTTGAGTCGACTCAAAAACGGAATTCCTCTCCTGTGCATGCACCGTGTGTAATGAGTCTATTTTTGAGTCGACTCAAAAACGGAATTCCTCTCCTGTGCATGCACCGTGTGTAATGAGTCTATTTTTGAGTCGACTCAAAAACGGAATTCCTCTCCTGTGCATGCACCGTGTGTAATGAGTCTATTTTTGAGTCGACTCAAAAACGGAATTCCTCTCCTGTGCATGCACCGTGTGTAATGAGTCTATTTTTGAGTCGACTCAAAAACGGAATTCCTCTCCTGTGCATGCACCGTGTGTAATGAGTCTATTTTTGAGTCGACTCAAAAACGGAATTCCTCTCCTGTGCATGCACCGTGTGTAATGAGTCTATTTTTGAGTCGACTCAAAAACGGAATTCCTCTCCTGTGCATGCACCGTGTGTAATGAGTCTATTTTTGAGTCGACTCAAAAACGGAATTCCTCTCCTGTGCATGCACCGTGTGTAATGAGTCTATTTTTGAGTCGACTCAAAAACGGAATTCCTCTCCTGTGCATGCACCGTGTGTAATGAGTCTATTTTTGAGTCGACTCAAAAACGGAATTCCTCTCCTGTGCATGCACCGTGTGTAATGAGTCTATTTTTGAGTCGACTCAAAAACGGAATTCCTCTCCTGTGCATGCACCGTGTGTAATGAGTCTATTTTTGAGTCGACTCAAAAACGGAATTCCTCTCCTGTGCATGCACCGTGTGTAATGAGTCTATTTTTGAGTCGACTCAAAAACGGAATTCCTCTCCTGTGCATGCACCGTGTGTAATGAGTCTATTTTTGAGTCGACTCAAAAACGGAATTCCTCTCCTGTGCATGCACCGTGTGTAATGAGTCTATTTTTGAGTCGACTCAAAAACGGAATTCCTCTCCTGTGCATGCACCGTGTGTAATGAGTCTATTTTTGAGTCGACTCAAAAACGGAATTCCTCTCCTGTGCATGCACCGTGTGTAATGAGTCTATTTTTGAGTCGACTCAAAAACGGAATTCCTCTCCTGTGCATGCACCGTGTGTAATGAGTCTATTTTTGAGTCGACTCAAAAACGGAATTCCTCTCCTGTGCATGCACCGTGTGTAATGAGTCTATTTTTGAGTCGACTCAAAAACGGAATTCCTCTCCTGTGCATGCACCGTGTGTAATGAGTCTATTTTTGAGTCGACTCAAAAACGGAATTCCTCTCCTGTGCATGCACCGTGTGTAATGAGTCTATTTTTGAGTCGACTCAAAAACGGAATTCCTCTCCTGTGCATGCACCGTGTGTAATGAGTCTATTTTTGAGTCGACTCAAAAACGGAATTCCTCTCCTGTGCATGCACCGTGTGTAATGAGTCTATTTTTGAGTCGACTCAAAAACGGAATTCCTCTCCTGTGCATGCACCGTGTGTAATGAGTCTATTTTTGAGTCGACTCAAAAACGGAATTCCTCTCCTGTGCATGCACCGTGTGTAATGAGTCTATTTTTGAGTCGACTCAAAAACGGAATTCCTCTCCTGTGCATGCACCGTGTGTAATGAGTCTATTTTTGAGTCGACTCAAAAACGGAATTCCTCTCCTGTGCATGCACCGTGTGTAATGAGTCTATTTTTGAGTCGACTCAAAAACGGAATTCCTCTCCTGTGCATGCACCGTGTGTAATGAGTCTATTTTTGAGTCGACTCAAAAACGGAATTCCTCTCCTGTGCATGCACCGTGTGTAATGAGTCTATTTTTGAGTCGACTCAAAAACGGAATTCCTCTCCTGTGCATGCACCGTGTGTAATGAGTCTATTTTTGAGTCGACTCAAAAACGGAATTCCTCTCCTGTGCATGCACCGTGTGTAATGAGTCTATTTTTGAGTCGACTCAAAAACGGAATTCCTCTCCTGTGCATGCACCGTGTGTAATGAGTCTATTTTTGAGTCGACTCAAAAACGGAATTCCTCTCCTGTGCATGCACCGTGTGTAATGAGTCTATTTTTGAGTCGACTCAAAAACGGAATTCCTCTCCTGTGCATGCACCGTGTGTAATGAGTCTATTTTTGAGTCGACTCAAAAACGGAATTCCTCTCCTGTGCATGCACCGTGTGTAATGAGTCTATTTTTGAGTCGACTCAAAAACGGAATTCCTCTCCTGTGCATGCACCGTGTGTAATGAGTCTATTTTTGAGTCGACTCAAAAACGGAATTCCTCTCCTGTGCATGCACCGTGTGTAATGAGTCTATTTTTGAGTCGACTCAAAAACGGAATTCCTCTCCTGTGCATGCACCGTGTGTAATGAGTCTATTTTTGAGTCGACTCAAAAACGGAATTCCTCTCCTGTGCATGCACCGTGTGTAATGAGTCTATTTTTGAGTCGACTCAAAAACGGAATTCCTCTCCTGTGCATGCACCGTGTGTAATGAGTCTATTTTTGAGTCGACTCAAAAACGGAATTCCTCTCCTGTGCATGCACCGTGTGTAATGAGTCTATTTTTGAGTCGACTCAAAAACGGAATTCCTCTCCTGTGCATGCACCGTGTGTAATGAGTCTATTTTTGAGTCGACTCAAAAACGGAATTCCTCTCCTGTGCATGCACCGTGTGTAATGAGTCTATTTTTGAGTCGACTCAAAAACGGAATTCCTCTCCTGTGCATGCACCGTGTGTAATGAGTCTATTTTTGAGTCGACTCAAAAACGGAATTCCTCTCCTGTGCATGCACCGTGTGTAATGAGTCTATTTTTGAGTCGACTCAAAAACGGAATTCCTCTCCTGTGCATGCACCGTGTGTAATGAGTCTATTTTTGAGTCGACTCAAAAACGGAATTCCTCTCCTGTGCATGCACCGTGTGTAATGAGTCTATTTTTGAGTCGACTCAAAAACGGAATTCCTCTCCTGTGCATGCACCGTGTGTAATGAGTCTATTTTTTAGTCGACTCAAAAACGGAATTCCTCTCCTGTGCATGCACCGTGTGTAATGAGTCTATTTTTGAGTCGACTCAAAAACGGAATTCCTCTCCTGTGCATGCACCGTGTGTAATGAGTCTATTTTTGAGTCGACTCAAAAACGGAATTCCTCTCCTGTGCATGCACCGTGTGTAATGAGTCTATTTTTGAGTCGACTCAAAAACGGAATTCCTCTCCTGTGCATGCACCGTGTGTAATGAGTCTATTTTTGAGTCGACTCAAAAACGGAATTCCTCTCCTGTGCATGCACCGTGTGTAATGAGTCTATTTTTGAGTCGACTCAAAAACGGAATTCCTCTCCTGTGCATGCACCGTGTGTAATGAGTCTATTTTTGAGTCGACTCAAAAACGGAATTCCTCTCCTGTGCATGCACCGTGTGTAATGAGTCTATTTTTGAGTCGACTCAAAAACGGAATTCCTCTCCTGTGCATGCACCGTGTGTAATGAGTCTATTTTTGAGTCGACTCAAAAACGGAATTCCTCTCCTGTGCATGCACCGTGTGTAATGAGTCTATTTTTGAGTCGACTCAAAAACGGAATTCCTCTCCTGTGCATGCACCGTGTGTAATGAGTCTATTTTTGAGTCGACTCAAAAACGGAATTCCTCTCCTGTGCATGCACCGTGTGTAATGAGTCTATTTTTGAGTCGACTCAAAAACGGAATTCCTCTCCTGTGCATGCACCGTGTGTAATGAGTCTATTTTTGAGTCGACTCAAAAACGGAATTCCTCTCCTGTGCATGCACCGTGTGTAATGAGTCTATTTTTGAGTCGACTCAAAAACGGAATTCCTCTCCTGTGCATGCACCGTGTGTAATGAGTCTATTTTTGAGTCGACTCAAAAACGGAATTCCTCTCCTGTGCATGCACCGTGTGTAATGAGTCTATTTTTGAGTCGACTCAAAAACGGAATTCCTCTCCTGTGCATGCACCGTGTGTAATGAGTCTATTTTTGAGTCGACTCAAAAACGGAATTCCTCTCCTGTGCATGCACCGTGTGTAATGAGTCTATTTTTGAGTCGACTCAAAAACGGAATTCCTCTCCTGTGCATGCACCGTGTGTAATGAGTCTATTTTTGAGTCGACTCAAAAACGGAATTCCTCTCCTGTGCATGCAGGGAGTGGCTTTTGAGTCGACTCTAAAGCAAACCACGGAATTTCTTTCCTGTGCACACAGGGAGTGGCTTGGCTGGTTGACATTTGGCGCCATCCAGGCCAGATAGATGGCCTCCCGCCCGCTCTCCTGCCCGCACGGTTGCAGGTCCAGCCTTCCTCAGATCGCCCCTCCCCTCGCAATCCCTTTCTGCCGTTTACCCCCCGACCCCCTTACATGCACAGGGAGTGGCTGGTGGACATAATGCGCACCCCTGGTCAGATGGCCTCTAGGTCCCATGATGGCACCGTGGCAGGTCCAGCCTTCCTCAGATCCCCCCTGCAGTTCGACCTCCCCTCCCCCTGGTCCGCCTCCCCCGCCCAATCCGCGCGCCTGCAACTGCACTCGCGCCACCCCCGCCCTTCCCCCCAGCAGCCAGGCGCAGGGGCAGGGGGGGAGGGTGCAGGGGCAGGGGGAGCGCAGGGGGAGGCGGGGAGGGGGCCTGGGGAAGGGGGGGGAGCGCAGGGGGCGGGTGGGGAAGCAGGAGCAGACTCAGGGGGAGGGGGGGCAGGGATTGAATCTGAGCCGTCCGTTTATGCCCTGGCGACTCAGCAGCGGTTTGCTGGCAGGAGCAGCTGCGGGTGCGGGATCAGAAGGGGGGTCTGGGCGCAAGGGGGAGCGTCAGGGGGAAGGGGGAGCGCGGGGGGAGGGGCAGGAGGAGGGGCAGGAGGGGGGGTAGGGGGCGCAGATGCTGCTGGTGGTGTAGCAGAGAGGCGCTCGGGTAGGCTTAGTGCGTTGGTGGGAGCAGGGGGGGGGGAGCAGGGGGAAGTGCGGGGCAAGGGGATAAGACCCCCGCAGGCGCTGCTGGGGGGACGGACAGGGGGGGCGCAGGGGGGAGTGGGGTTGATGGGGGCGCGGCCGCATCCGGGGGGGCAGTGGGGGAAGGCGGGGGGAGCAGCGGGGGAATGCTGGGTAGGTGGCTCAGAAGCCCTGCAGGCAGTGAAAGGGTGTTCTGGGGGGGCGCAGGGGGGGAAGGCGCATGGGCGCAAGGGGCAGGGGGAGAAGGGGGAGGAGGGGGGAGAGGGGCAAGAGGAAAGGGGGGGATAATAGACGGATGGGGAGTGGTTGTGCCAGGGAAGGGGGGGAAGGGGAGAAAAGGCAAAGGGGGGGAGAAGGGGACGGAGAGGAAAGGGGGAGGGAGGAGGGGAGGGAGAGGGAAGGAGGCGGAGGAGGAGAGGAGAGAGGAGGAGAGGGGCGGGGCGAGGGGAGGGGGGGGGGAGCGCGGGAGATGGAAGACGAGGGGGCGATGGTGCTGCGATGGGCGATGAAGGAACTGGAGATAGACTGGGCTGACATGCACCTGCGGGAGAGGATAGGGCAAGGTGAGAAGGGGGGGGGGGGGAGGGAAGAGAAAGTGGGCAGGGGAAAGGGTGGGAGGGGAATAGTGCTCAGGGTGACTTCTGAGGTGGCTCAAAGTAGGCAGGAGACCAGGGGGGGGCGATGGTGCTGCGATGGGCGATGAAGGAACTGGAGATAGATTGGGCGGACATGCACCTGAGGGAGAGGGTAGGGCAAGGTGAGAAGGGAGACATAGGGTTGGGGGGGGTGGGGGTGGGGTGGGTGGGGGTGGGGGGTGAGGGGTGGGGGGTGAGGGCACAGGATGATTCTTGAGGGCACCCAATATATATTTTTTAGACGAGGGGGCGATGGTGCTGCAATGGGTGATGAAGGAGCTGGAGTTAGGCTGGGCCGACCTGCACCCGAGGGAGAGGATAGGGCAAGGTGAGAAGGGTGGCGAGGTGAGAGGGTGGCGAGGTGAGAGGGTGGCAAGGTGAGAGGGTGGCGAGGTGAGAGGGTGGCGAAATGAGAGGGGGAGGAGGGGGCGGGGGGAGGGACGAAAAAGAATGGAATGGGAGGAAGTGGGTAAGAGGTGGGGTGAGAGAATGGAGTGGTTAAGAATGATAAAGGCGCCATGTCTTCCCGTCACCCCCTCCCCTCCCCAATCCCCCCCCTCTCTCGCCTCCTCCGCTCTCACTTCCTTCCCCCCCATTCTACTCCCCCTGACCCCCCCCCGTGTGTACGGTTACTTCCCCTCCCCTCCAGTCGACTCAAAAATCGACTCATTATGCCCCCTGACCCCCCCCGCTCTCCACCCATTATCGCACGTCTTGCCCACTTCTCCCCTCCCTCACCCCCCTTCAGGCTCATACGGCACGGTTTATCGGGCAGAGTGGCAGGGATCGGTGAGTGCACACATCCCCTTGCCATCCCTTTTGCAGTCCGTTTCCTCCCTCCCTACATGCTCTTTCCTGCATGCTGTTTTGCAGTCCGTTCAGCCTGTTGGCATCTTCAGCCTGTTGGCATTTGATTCTGGCTTTCTGCCTGCATGCGCTCTCTCCCCCATATACCCTCTCTCCCCTACCGTTCTGGCTCTCCCCTGTTGCACCCAACAACCCCAACCCTTCCACCCACCCTAACCCCCCACCCCGTCCTCCCCTCCTCTCCCCTCTCCTCCCTTCCCCCCTACCCCCCCCACCCCACTTTCCCCCCCCCTTTTCCTCCCCCCTTTCCCCCCCCCCCCTTTTTTCTCCCCCCTTTCCCACCCCCTTTCCCCCCCCCTTTTTCTCCCACCTTTCCCCCCCTTTTTTCTCCCCCCTTCCCCCCCCCTTTTTCTCCCCCCTCCCCCCCCCCCTTTTCTCCCCCCTTTTCCTCCCCCCCTTTCCCCCCCCTTTTTCCCCCTTCCCCCCCTTTTTCTCCCCCCTTTTCCTCCCCCTTTTTCTCCCCCGTTTTCTTCCCCCTTTCCCCCCCTTTCCCCCCTTCCCCCCCTCTTCCCCCCCCTTTTTCTCCCCCCTCCTCCCCCCCCCCTTTTTCTCCCCCAGGATCTGCGTGGATGAAACTCAACCACCCGTCCCCCCACCCGTCCCCCCACCCGTCCCCCCACCCTCCCATCGCCCTCCCTCCCCCCCGAGCACCTCCCTCTCTCCCACTGACTTCCCAGGACGTGGCAGTGAAGGTGTATCTGGACTCTGGACCAGGACCTGGGCGTATGAAAGCCAACCACCCACCCACCCATGTACACCTCTCCTCTCCCCCTCTCCCCCCTCCCTCCCCCATACTTCGGGCCCCCCGTCTCCTCATGCCACCAGGACGTGGTGGTGAAGGTGTTTCTGGACCAGGACCTGGGCTCATGAAAGTCAACCACCTCTTCCACACCCCCCCGCCCCGGCCGCTTCCCTCTCCCCCGTTGCACGCCAGGACGTGGCGGTGAAGGTGTTTCTGGACCAGGACCTGGGCTCGCATGCTCTAGAGGACTTCAGAACAGAGGTGAGATGAAATCTTACAGGGTTGAGATGAAACCGTACAGGGGTGAGATGAAATGAAACCGTACAGGGGTGAGATGAAATGAAACCGTACAGGGGTGAGATGAAACTGTAGAGCGGGACGAGGCGAAACCCCACAGTGGTGGTGAGTCGAAACCATGTCAGTTGAGATGAAACCAGGTCGTGGTGGGGCATGAGATGAAACCGGATGTTTCTGAGAATTGTCAAAAACACCCTGAGAATTATGCAGGGTGTTTTTGACAATTCTCAGAAACATCCGGTGACACGAGATACGATGCTAGGCTCATAATAAAAAGTTCAACTTGCCCCCTTTCTGAGGCGCCTCAAAAATAGATACGATGCTGGGCTCATATTAGACTTATCAACTTGCCCCCTTTCCTCCCCGTCCCCCCTCCTCCCCCCCTGCCTCCCCCCTTTCCTCCCCCTCCCCCCTCCTCCCCCCTTGCCTCCCTTCTTTCTTCCCCCTCTCCCCTCCTCCCCCCCTGCCTCCCCTCTTTCTTCCCCCTCTCACCATTCGCCATTCTGTACCATCAGGTGGCCATCATGTTCAAAGCGCGCCAACCCAACGTGCTCTACCTCATGGGTGCCGTCACCCGGCCCTCTACTTCCTCATTGCCTTGCAATTGCAACCCCTCCCCCCAACCATCAGGCAGCCAATCACCAAACACTCTCCCCCCCCCCCCCCCCGCTAACACCATCAGGTGGCCATCATGTTCAAAGCGCGCCACCCCAACGTGCTCTACCTCATGGGCGCCGTCACCCGGCCTCCTCACCTCTCTATAGTCACGGAGTTCTGCCCGCGGTACGCTTGTCCCTGAGCAAGTCGATTCTCTACAGTCACACGCACTGTGACGCCCTTCGTAGGCTCATGCTTGAGCTCGATGGCTCGCCTCCCCCTACTCACAGTGCTCTGCCCGCGGTGAGCTTGCCACTGAGTTAGTCAGCTCTCTACAGTCACACTCTCTGTGGCGCCCTTGTAGGCTCGTGCGTTGACTCCATGGCTCATCTTTCCCTAGTCACAGGGCTCTGCCTGCGGTCAGCTCTCACTTGTGGTTGTCTTTCCGTAGTCAATGCCAAAAGTGCGAATCTTTATAGTCATGGAAGTTTGACGGCAGGCCTGTGGCTTGACTCAATAAGAGCCTGTCCATAGTCACAGAGTTCTGCCTGCGGTGTGCTCCTACTTGTGGTTGCCTATTCATTTTTTATATGCTTGCGGTTGCCTATTCATTTTTTATATGCTTGCGGTTGCCTATTCATTTTTTATATGCTTGTGGTTGCCTATTTGTTTTTTATATGCTTGTGGTTGCCTACTCATTTTTTATATGCTTGTGGTTGCCTTTTCATTATTTATATGCTTGTGTTGTGGTTGCCTTTTCATTGGTTATATGCTTGTGGTTGCCTTTTCGTTGCTTATATGCTTGTGGTTGCCTTTTCATTATTTATATGCTTGTGGTTGCCTTTTCATTATTTAAATGCTTGTGGTTGCCTTTTCATTATTTATATGCTTGTGGTTGCCTTTTCATTATTTATATGCTTGTGGTTGCCTTTTCGTTGTTTATATGCTTGTGGTTGCCTTTTCATTATTTATATGCTTGTGGTTGCCTTTTCATTGTTTATATGCTTGTGGCTGCCTTTTCGTTTTTTATATGCTTGTGGTTGCCTTTTCATTATTTATATGCTTGTGGTTGCCTTTTCGTTGTTTATATGCTTGTGGTTGCCTTTTCATTATTTATATCCTTGTGGTTGCCTTTTCATTATTTATATGCTTGTGGTTGCCTTTTCATTATTTATATGCTTGTGGTTGCCTTTTCATTATTTATATGCTTGTGGTTGCCTTTTCGTTGTTTATATGCTTGTGGTTGCCTTTTCATTATTTATATGCTTGTGGTTGCCTTTTCATTGTTTATATGCTTGTGGTTGCCTTTTCATTATTTATATGCTTGTGGTTGCCTTTTCATTATTTATATGCTTGTGGTTGCCTTTTCGTTGTTTATATGCTTGTGGTTGCCTTTTCATTATTTATATGCTTGTTGTTGCATGCTTATTGCTCTTTCCATCTCTTTCGTTTCATGCTTGGCAGAGGTGACTTTTGAGTCGACGTGACTTTTGAGTTGATTCATGCTTGGCACAGTCAACACTCTCTTTCAACACCACAGACGTGGTGGCAAAAGTCACATCGACGCAACCTAGTCACCTAGTCACCTAGTCAACACTCTCTTTCCATCGCTTTCGTTTCATGCTTGGCAGCGGGAGTATCTTCAGGCTGCTGCAGCAGCCCAATCGCGAGCTGACACCTCAGCGGAGACTCAGCTTTGCTCTTGATGTGGTGAGTGGTATGAGGTGCATGGGCTGTGTGATGTGGTGCATGGTTGCATGTGATATGGTTGATCGCATGACATGACATTACACATCACCTCATTAGTCAAGGCATCTGTCCTCTGTGACGTGACAAGTGCCCATCACGTTGTGATTGCCTATCACTTGTCCCATCCTCACCTTGGCAAGACATCCCCTTCCAATTCAATTCAGTCACGGCTCGTGGGGCCTCTCGGCCCCCCCCCTTGCCCACTCACCCACCACCCACCACCATTTACCCCCATTCACCCATTCACCCATTCACCCACTCACCCACTCACCCACTCACCCGCTCACCCACTCACCCATTCACCCACTCACCCACTCACCCACTCACCCATTCACCCATTCACCCACTCACCCACTCACCCACTCACCCACTCACCCATTCACCCATTCACCCATCCACTCACCCGTTCACCTACTCACCCACTCACCCACTAGGCCAAAGGCGTGAACTACCTGCACAAGCGCAGGCCTCCCGTCGTGCAGCGCGCATTACCATCACCCCAACAGCACCCGTTGCCATCACCCCACAGCACCCGTTATAGGAGTCTAGTTTTGAGGCGCCTCAAAACTATCACCCCACAGCACCCGTTGCCATCACCCTGTCATCCACCCGCCAGGCCAAGGGCGCGAACTACCTGCACAAGCGCAGGCTGCCCCTTGTGCAGCGCCCTTGGTTACCTCATGTGTCAGCCCTTGGTTACCTCATGTGTCAGCCCTTGGTTACCTCATGTGTCAGCCCTTGCATCAACCACCCATTCCCCATCAACCACCTGCCAGGCCAAGGGCATGAACTACCTGCACAAGCGCAGGCCGCCCATCGTGCATCGAGATCTCAAGACGCCTAACCTTCTCGTCGATAAAGACTGGGCCGTCAAGGTGAGACTATAACGAGTGTGACTGTGGTGGGTATGTCATATTAACACCAGATTTTTTCGCCCTTTTTTCTGTCGGGTGTCACGAGCACGACTGTAGTGTGTTTGCATACTCCTCTCGGTAGCTTTTGTTCGGTGGCACTTCAAACACCAGTGTGCTGTCTTGCTATGGCGGCTGTCGTATATAAACTCAAAATTGCCTTGCTGCTTTGCTTTGCATTGCTACCTTGCTACCTTGCTGCCTTGCTGCCTTGCTTTGCCTTGCTGCCTTGCCTTGCCTTGCTGCCTTGCCTTGCCTTGCTGCCTTGACGCCTTGCTACCTTGCTGCCTTGCTGCCTTGCTACCTTGCTGCCTTGCTGCCTTGCTTTGCCTTGCTGCCTTGCTGTCTTGCTTGCATTTCTCCAGCACTCCGACACCCCTCCAGTCCAGTCGCACACCTCCCATAACCTCCCTCCCCAATTCCACACTCTTTTTGCACCCGTATCTCAATTCCAAACTCCTATGTTCCCCCCCTCCTGTCCTGTCCGCACCGCACACACACACCCTTCCCCCATCCATCACCGCATCAGGTATGCGACTTTGGCCTGTCGAGAATTAAGCAGTGAATGTTCCTCCCTTTATCTCCTCCTCCCCCCCCCACCCCCCCAACCCTCCACCCCCCCAACCCCCCACCCCCCCAACCCCCCACCCAGTCCCCCACTTTCCCCACACACTCACGCACCTCCCCCCATCCATCAGGTGTGCGATTTTGGCCTCTCCAGACTAAAGCACCGCACGCTCTTCTCCCCCCCTCCCCCTCTCCCTCCCCCCCCCCACACCCCGCACACTCCCCTCCTGTGTATCACCCCCCCCCAGGTGTGCGACTTCGGCCTCTCCAGACTAAAGCACCGCACGTTCCTCTCCACCCGCTCTGGTGCCGGCACGGTAAGGGAAAGGGGAAAGGGGGAGGGGGGTGGAGGGGGAGGGGGAGGGGGAGAGGGGGAAGGAAATGCTTTTCGTAGGGTGAGAAGACGGGTTGGGGGGGGGGAAAGGGGGAGGTAGGGGAGGGGGTGGTTGGGAGAAGTGCGGGGGAGGGGAGAATGGGGATGGGGTTTTGGGAAGGAGGGGGAAGGGGGTGGGGCTGGTGGGTTGATGGGCCGAGCTGAGTGTTGTGTTAGCGTTGGTCAATCGGCTGTGTCAATCGGCTGTGTCAATCGGCTCGGCTGTGTGCAATATGGCTTTCAGTTTCAGTTTCAGCCTAACTTTAAAGTGAACTACGTGCTCCGTATGTCATGTGCTTTTCTGACACTGGTTGATCGTGCCGTCTGTGGTTTTTCCTGGATGGGATGGGATGGGATGGGATGGGATGTGTGATGGCAACTGTTGGCATGGGCTATGACGGCATGTGCTCGCATGTTCTCAGCCTGAGTGGATGGCTCCAGAGGTGTTGCGCAACGAACCCTCAAATGAAAAGTGAGTGTTTGACTCCTCTTTTCCCCGATCCTCTCCCCTTGGGTTGAGTGTTTGACACCTTGCCCTTCGACCCATTGTCTTTCCAGCACGCATATGGTCGTCATCCCACTGTCGACCTTTCTGCCTCCTCGCGTGCTCACTTGTTCCTAACCTGCACAACTCACTGCCTGTTCCTCCTTGATGTATAGTGCTCTCCTTTAGGCACATTTAGGCACATTTAGGCACGTGTTTCTAATGTTTAGGTACATTATCCCCCCCCCCATCACCACGCACAGTTTCGTGTGCGTGTGCTCTCCCCATTCCATGGCCCTCTCATCTCGTGGGCCATCTCGTGGGCCGATGGATACAGCTTTGGTGTGCTTCTGTGGCAGCTGTGTGAATGTGTGAATGCCCTTGCTCACAAGCCGTGCTTGCTTGCCTGTGGCTTGTCCCATCATCCTATGCCATTTCCTCGTCTCGTGGCTGCAGGGCCGATGTGTACAGCTTTGGGGTGATCCTATGGGAGCTGGCAACCATGCAGCAGCCGTGGACTGGTCTCAACGCCCTTCAGGTGGGTCCAGTGCACTCAACGCCTTCAGGTGGGTCCAGTGCACTCAACGCCTTCAGGTGGGTCCAGTGCACTCAATGCCTTCAGGTGGGTCCAGTGCACTCAACGCCTTCAGGTGGGTCCAGTGCACTCAACGCCTTCAGGTGGGTCCAGTGCACTCCACGCCTTCAGCTGGGTCCAGTGCACTCAACGCCTTCAGGTGGGTCCAGTGCACTCAACGCCTTCAGGTGGGTCCAGTGCACTCAACGCCTTCAGGTGGGTCCAGTGCACTCAACGCCCTTCAGCTGGGTCCAGTGCACTCAACGCCTTCAGGTGGGTCCAGTGCACTCAACGCCTTCAGGTGGGTCCAGTGCACTCAACGCCTTCAGGTGGGTCCAGTGCACTCAACGCCTTCAGGTGGGTCCAGTGCACTCAACGCCTTCAGGTGGGTCCAGTGCACTCAACGCCTTCAGGTGGGTTCAGAGCCCCCAATGCTCTCAAATGCCCATCGACACCATCTGGTGTCATTTTCCTTCACATCACAATTTGTTGTCGTGGCATCATGTCGTCTCCCCATGTGATGGTGCTCCTCTCTCCCACATGTGTGCATGGCAGGTGGTGGGAGCAGTGGGGTATCAGAACAGGCGCCTGGAGGTGCCTGATACCATCGACAGCAGAGTCGCAGCAGTCATCAAGTCCTGCTGGAGCGAGTACGCCTTCTCCCCCCTCTTACTGCAGCTTCCCCGGCTCCCTGCTGCTTCCCTCGCTCCCTGCTGCTTCCCGCTCCTTTGTGCTCCGATGCTGCTCTCTTATCCCCCCCCACCCCCCATCGTGCACTCACTCACGTGCTCTCCTCGCTGACTTACATCCTTCTCCCCCTCTCGCAGTGAGCCCTCGCTGCGGCCGAGCTTTGAGGAGATAATTGGGTTTCTGCGGCAGCAGCAGCAGCTCCGATGACCCCCTGTTGACCCCCTGGCATCAGCAAAGCCTGTGCTGATAATTACTAGCAGCAGCTACATTACTAGCATCAGCAACAGCCGTGAATGTTACGGTACGAGTAACGGCTGTGTAAGGATCAACTTTTGCAACAATCCAACAGTGGGCGACAACGATGCAGCCCCACGCAGTGCGGATTTTACGATTTTTGTTATGTCAGTTCCGGAATGCGTGGCTGGCTGGTGGTTCTCAACTCAAGCCTTGTAGGCTTCATACAACTTGAAAAAAATCTTCAGTGTTTATTGGTACTGTAGTAACTATGTTAGCTTGCGCTGGCATGTACCTAGCTGCATTCCAGGTTCACATGGTCCAACCCCCATGGTCAAGGTATGAGTGCCCATGGTCAAGGCATGACAGATTGGCATGTGCTTCAGCCCTGGGTCCGGAGTTCAGGCAGGGAATCATGCATGTGAAACAGATACCTGATTAATGTCTATTGCAATCTTTTCTGTGATGGTGCAGCCTTTCAGAGTAGGGGATGGCATGGCAATGGTTGACTTGAATAACTAACGCATTCATGAAAAAACAGGGTCAAGTCAGATTGATGTAGTCGTCCTACTCCTAATCCTGGCCTAGTTACCTAGCTGAAACACCTAGCTCTATAACACCTAATCCTGGAACTCTATAGTAGCTTGTGTGTGATGATGTTGGACAACGTGGTCCCTTCCTCTGCCCCTGCATCACAAGCCCTGCCCCCAGGAGGAGCAGCTTGAGTGTCTGGGGAACTTCTAACAGCATCATGTTCCGTCCCTCCAAGTGCTGAAGCTAGCTGACTGCACCTTGCTGCTTCACTTTGGTCATTAACAGCGGCATCTGCGTCCTTGGGTGGAGAGGTTCCTGCACGAATGGCCAAGCCCAGCTCCAAGTGTGTATGTGTCCGATCAGGAAGTGGTTGCATAGCCTCTGCTGCTGCTACTTGAAGAGCAGTGGGATCTCTAGACCGGTGAGGGTCATGAGACAGCGAGAGCTGCAGTTGACTGGGCTTCAAAGGGCTTCCCGAGGGGACAAGGTTTGGTGTTGATGGAGCAGATGCCTGGGCTTCAGCCTCCACAGGTGCTGTGGCTGCAGTGCTTGGTAAAGTGGGTGGAGGGAAAAATGGGTAGCCCGTGGGAGCTCCTGTATGCATGGGGAGAGTGGTTGGAGGCGGGCCAGGAGCAATAGATGTTGACGTGGGGTGGAGGTATGAGTGACGGAGAGCGGCTGACAGTGGGGGTGGGACTGATGGTGGGGGTACTGATACTGGAACGGGAGATGGTGGAAATGTTGGTGAAGCTGCGTTGGCAGCGCCTGGCTGGTATAGTGAGAAGAGCGTCCTGGAATATTCCAGGTAATAGTTCATGAAGCCTGCAGTATAGCACACAGACAAAGAGGCCACATTAGGAAATGCTCCCACACGAAAGCAAATGGGAAGAGAACACAAGGGATCTGCTGTACCTGGGTTCTGAAACTGCATCACGGCAAGTTGTGCAGGGCTGAAGAGGTGGGGAAGCCACAACAGAGGGTCAACTGATGGAGAAGTTCCAACTGGCATCAGCCCTGTTGGGATAGGCGCCCCCCCGGGAGTACCTCCAGGCGAAGGGACTGGCAGTGAGGCTCCTTGAAGCGGTCCAGGCAGGAAGAAAGGAAAAGCTGCAGAAGGTGGTCCGCGGGGCGCTTGGAGCATTCCCGATATAGACGAACGTGGGAAAGAACCCACTCCTGCACTTGCTGCTGCTGCAGCTGCGGCGGCAGCAGCAGCTGCCATGGCCGGGCCTGTGTCCGGAGGGGTACCCAGTCCAAGTGGAATGGGCAATGATTGCCCATGCCCACAGTTTGCGCCAAAGGTAGGAACAGCCCCTTGCGTGCTGACATCTGGCTCACTTGGCCTTCGAGCAACTGGCCTCAACAGATCTAGGCCCAGCTCAGAAGCTTGTGCAGCAGCAGACTGAGCTGCAGCGGCAGGAGGTACTGGCTGGCTAGTCCCTGCATACTGCTTAAAGGACAGTCTCATCCTCTTGCTTGGGGAACTCCCTCCTGTTCTCCTCTCGCTGGGGCTCGGAGCTGCTTCTGGTAGTGATGATGAGTTTGGGCGTGTTTCTCTCGCCTCCTGTGCACCTGCTGGGCTTGGCTCCCCGGCTGAGTTGTTAAGGAAAGAGGCCAAAGAAACTAGCTTCCCAGAGGACTCGTTGCGCCTGCCAGCAATGGACGGGAGAGAACTTGGAGGGACTGCGGCTCTGCCATCTTCGCCAGCCAGCAATCTTCGACCAGCCTCATCAGGCACAGCAACGCCTTCTGTAATCCGGAGCTTGATGGTTCCGCCGGTGTTTCTCACCAGAGGCTCAGCAGGGGTTAATGGTTCACGATCGGACTGCATGGTAAGCAGTGGTCGCAAGGCTTGTTGCATCTTCGGAGCGCAACGCTTATGGCCTGATGGCTCCAGGACGTTCTTCCCAACCCCCAGCAGCTTAACAGGCGTCTGTGATGGAGTGTGTTGGTGTGATGCATGTTGCCCCTGCTGCAGCCGATGCTCAGGTTGAATGCTGGATGTAATCGGTGATTGCTGATGGAACTGTTGCGTTTGTTGCAAGGCTCCAGGAGTTGAGATAGAGATGCCTGATCTTGCTGTGAATACCTCCTGGACCTCAGCTGAAGGCATGCGAAGTGGAGTTTGCACGACTCGCCATGTGATTGAAGGCAGCTCGCGGTCTCTCTTCGCAGGGGTTATTCCAGCCTTCGCAGATCCTGGAAGTGCAGATGTGGGCTGGAGACCTTGATCTTTTGCCTGATGTCTGAGGATTTCCTCAAATTTCTGAAGGCCGCAAGCTCCAATCCAGCGGTAAATTGACTTGGGAGCGGTGGATGGTACTTGTTCAGTGGCAGGAGGAGATTGCACCTTTTCAATCAAATGAATAGAAAACAGTATGTCCACCACATCGTGCAGCCTCTGGATGTGAGCTGCACACACACATTCACGATGTTAGTGGAGTAGGCAGCAGGAGATTAAAAAAGATGACGTTATTCTGACTGCTCACCTGGATCATCCGTTGGGTCAATCAACACTAGAGTTGCGTCCTCCAAGGAGAATGTTGCAGACTGCACACAGACGAACATGACACATGAGATCCATCTCTTATGGATGGAGAAGTTCTGAAGGTTTGCCGGATGATCATACCGTGTCATCAAGAAATCGCTGAACAAATCTTTCCCCAAGTGTCTTCAGGTTCAGTCCTCGTCTCGCATCAGCACCCTTGGCCGGATTATCATTGAGAGTGCCTGGGTTTGCAGTTCTTGGTGATGACATATCCAAGTGCGAGTTATTGCTCTTCAACGAACTGCGACTTCCCTCTGCACCAGCATTTGCGTTGTTCTGCAAGAAAAAACGCTGTCGAATTAGAAAGTTGTGCAAATCTGGGGAGGATGCAAAACAGGATACCGCACGGACCTTCAATCTTGCAAGCAAGTCATCAATGCCTTCGGAACCAAGCCACATGTATTCATGCTTGGCTTGCTTCTTCACAATGTTGACACATTCCAAGACGTTGAAGACGTCAGTCAACCTTCTCCTCCGTATCCCTGCAATCAAGGCAGATATGGCATTACTTTTTTAAGCGACTACTTCATGGACGAAAGCGAATGAGGATGTCCACTTACCCAATAGATTCTCCAACTCCTCAAGCTTCAGCTTGGCGCCCTCTTTCAACAAACAAGCTTCAACGACCCTGAGAAGGAAACGAAGGGGAAGTTAAGCAGAAGAGCCGGAATTTCAAGGCTCATTTTCTGCAAAAGGAATGAGGTTAACCAGTCATCTGACATACTTATGGGCCAATTCACCCAGCGTGTGCTCCTTCCTGACATTGTCTTCTTCGTTATTGCCATCAGCGCAGCGTTTCTCCTGGAATGAAAAACGACGTGGAGTAAGAGAGATGACCAGCCAGCCAAGGAACTTAGAAGGCACAGATTGTTGCAAATGTATTACCACGTCCGCAGGCTGAGAGTACTCGTGCAAACGAGCTGCGTCATTGGGAGTGAAAGTTGCTGAGCTAGCCTCCCACAAACCAGCCTCTGGCCTGTATTGCTGCGGAGTGCCAGTGATGGCTGCAGACGGAAAAGGTACTGGGCTGAATGGTGGAAGATTGGCTCTGCCTCGACGATGTTGAAAACTTACTGGCGTTATGCCTGAACCTGGGGTCAATGGCAGGGACGCCTGTGCACCAGGTAATGGAGAACATATCGGAATCTGCCACATGTGAAACAAGACGCCGTTAGGCTGAACCCTTCCTGAGATTCATACACGCAATGTCAGGCGCTTTACCTCGGATGTGCCGGGCCTCGTGTCAGGGATGTTGTGGTGGAACCCAGGGGATTTTGGTAGGAGAGCTGAAAATGCGCGAAGGAAGGACAAGGTTAGAGTTATCAGAATGCCGATAGTGCATTGCATCGTGAACGGAGGCTGGTGACGATTGAAGTACCTTTGAAAGGTGGGCGATCTCGTCCTGATGCTCTGACGTCAAATGCACCCAGGCCTGAAAGAAAACGGAACAAGCGCTTAGATCTTGTACGACCTGACAAAAAGCGAGCGAAACCTTACACAGCAGCTTACCCTGCAAAAAGCAGTTGACCTGCAGATTTGCTGCTCCCTGTGGCGCATCATTATTGGCGACGACCTTGATGGAGCTAGAAATGGAGCTTCCGAGAAACTGCTGAGACTCTGAGTAGAACGCAAACAGAAGCCTAAATTTCGACGTGTTACAGCTGGGTCGTATGTGGGTACTGGCTTCGTCAATGGCGATGTACAGATGCCTGGGTTCCTTCCACACGTCAGGGTCATCGGGAGAAGCCACCACGCTACGCCGTGACAGTCTCCCAAACCTTTGCAACCCTTTCAAGATGGGACCGTTGCAGCCCTTAGTGCACTGATGGCGTACGACAGGCACCCAGTGGTACTCAGCCTGGGTTTTGAACGTCGCTCCGTGATGGTTTGCGAACACCAGGAACACGTAAAGTCGCATCCTTCTATCATCCTGAAATCGCAGATTGTACTTCAGAGTACTCTCGTGCAGAAAGCCATCCACTTCGCTTCCAACTGGAACCTCGATAGCCTCGGCTAGGGCAAGCTCAGCCTTTGAAGAGCGGGGATCCTCATTGAGGAATACCAGCTCTATCTGGTTATAGGAGCACTTCTGCTTGCCAAGTTTGTAAGCCCTGCAGACACACGGAGGCGGAATCAGCGGCTATTCGCGACAGTCATGCGAAGATCTAGGCAATACAAGACGTTGAGGATGTCAGCACCTTATTTCTGGCTGCTCATTGATGGCAAAGGCTGTCGAAGTGGACACCGGACACAACAAATCCATCGTACTCCTGCTCAGCCATGCTACGCTAGCATCTGACTACGGAAGTTTCCAGCTAGAGTTAGCCTTGGTCTCGGGGGAGACGGTATCGACTAAGACTGGTCTACGGATCAGCTAAGCAGAGCGAATGGATCAACACGAATGGTGAATGGTCGCCAGCATAACCTAGCTCGTCAGCTCGGCGGAGCGACTTGGAAACGGTCTAGATGCTGACAATGCCTCTGCATAACTGATGGATTATCGATTGCTGAGTGTAGACGCGTTATTGCAGGCTCCTTGATACAGTACCTAGGAACTGCATGTGACCATGCTGCTGAGTTCAGCAGTGAAATGAGAGAGCGCGGGAGAGAAGGTGTCGTCCAGATTTGTGAGTGGTCTCCCGCCTTGAAGATTCTTGGAGTGAACTAAAGGACGGGCGGGGATGGGAGAGGATGGGATGGGGGAATGGGGGAATGGGGGGGAGACATTCAATTCAAGACAATTGGGGCTCTGGCGGGGGAACGGGGAGGAAGTGTCTTGTGTGTGTGTGTGGCCCTCCAACGGAGCTGGGCTGGGTGGCATACAATTCAGACGGAGGGTGGTGGAAAGCAGGCTCCACGTGCCGACGGTCCGGCTAATTGGGGACTTATTCGCATACTCTAGGGGTAAACCGTCAGATGTATTTCTTGGTCCTTGGGCTGGTTATTGTAACCCTGACAGGGTTTGCTGGCAGATCTCCTCGAAACTTGGCTAGCAACTCAATGCCACTGTATCGAGTCGCGATCCGGGAAAACCGGAAGAAATTTTTGAATTCGAATGCCACGACGCCTTCCTTTTGGCGCGAGAGGGTTGGAGGAACTAAGCGGACCAATCACCTTGGGGCTCACGGCAAGGAAGGAAACCGTAGCTCCACAAATCCTAGAATTCGCACGGACATTTATCGCACAGTGTCGCACGCCCTGATATCCTGGATGGTTGCCACAGTTGGGTCGGCGACACCGTGGAAAGTAGTCTTCATCAGGATTCGCAACCATATTCGACACCATATTTCATCCGCTCAAAGCATATAAACAACCATTGGTTACATCTTCGCCCCTATCATTGTCTCCGGAGGGCTCCAATCATCCGGAATCAGTGAGGCTTTTCCATTACGCCGCATTCCCTCCACCTAGAAGACAAAGACAACGGACAATGCAAACTCAGAGGATGAGAAAAACGCATTGACAGCTTCTTAGGCAATACGAATGTAGACTACACTTCTCACCTGATCGACCACCATGGAATCGAAGACTTCTAGCAGTTGATCCAGCTTTCTACTATTATCTGGTTCAAGAATCTGCAACGCATACACCACAGCTTCAACTGTGGACAAGCAACCGAACTGCCAATCGAAAGAGGGGGAGGAGGGGGGTAGGGTAGGGGGGTGGGGGGGAAGGGGGGGGGAACACACAGGAAAAAAAACATACAAGGCATGGGCTAACAGGTTAGGTCGTTAGAAACAGTTGGCTAACATGACGCCTGACAAGAACCAAGGCCCACCTTTGGTTGTTTTCGAATGAAGCCATATCGTGAGGACGCAGCAGCCTGCGGCGGCAAGTGGTAGTGCGGCAGCTGCTGCAGCCAGGGATGCTGGCACAGAATCCTCTTCGCCTTGGGCCATGTGCCATCCAGCACGATCAAATGAGATGGTCTCAACGGTTCAGATGGCTCGCTACCAGTGGACGCTGTAGATGTGGATGGTTGGGCATCATGACAAGGTTGAGGCGGCGTCAGCTCAATGGATCTGGGAGAGGGGTACAGTAGAGCAGCACCAGGCGGCAAATCAATCCACTCTGGGACCTCCACTGGCCCTTCACTTGAAACCTGTGTGCTGCCATCGCCCCTGCTACTATCACTGCTACTGCCAATGCTGCTGCTCCTGACGCTGCTGTTGGTAGCGGTGCTTGTGGTGAGCGTTCGATCTTCAAGAATCGCACGACTTGTGTGGGTGCTGGGACAACTGGCGGTGCTGCTGTTCTTGCCGACAGACCATGTGCCAAGTATGCTTAGGCCATGGGAGGAACTGGTGCATGCTCTTTGCTCTCGCAAGCCGCAGTCCTCCTGACTTGCATAATCCTCCGAAACAACACGCCACCTGCTGCTGCTCCTTTTACTCTTGCTCTTGATGCTGCAACTGCAGCTGCTGCTGATGCTGCAACCGTCACCACAAGCAGTGCCGACCACCCCCCTTGTCACCCCCTCATAGCGCATACCACCAGCATCAATTTCTCTGCTACCATCAGCACCATCGTCAGCACCAAAAGCACCCTCACCAGAAGCACCCTCACCAAAAGCACCCTCACAATCAGCAGCAGCAAACGGCAGGAGGTCGAAGCTAAGATCACCCATCAGCGCCCCATCCCCTGTCTCCCCATTTCCTCCCTCCTCTCCCGCAACTAGCCCATCCGCTGCTACATCCCTGCCCCCTCCCCCCTCTACTCTGTTCTCTAAACATCTCTCACCCTTTCTCACGTCACCCCTCTCAACCCCTTCACCATCCGCAGTAACAGCCGATACAGCTCCTTCTTCGCTCGTGATTGGCTCCCCATCCCCTTCATAAGCTCCCTCCGCCTCTTGCCCCTCCCCCACTTGACCCTCCCCCTGCGCCTGCTTTTCCCCTCGCCCCTGCCTTTCCTCCTCCCCGTACCCTTTTCCCTGACCTTCTCCGTGCTCCCTTTCCCCTTGCCCTTCCCCTTCCCCCTGGCTCCCCCATTGCCCTTTCTCTTGCCCGTCCCCTTCCCCCTGCTTCCCCCCTTGCCCTTCACCTCGCCCTTCCCCTTCCCCATCTTTCCCCCCTTGCCCCTGCGTTTTCCCCGCGCCCCTGCGCCAGCGCCCCTTGCCCGAGCGCCCCAGGAGCGTGCGGCGGGAGCAGGGGTCCTTGGGCTGCATGGCGAACCGCCCGCGCCCCAGCGGCACCACCATCACGCGCACGCGCTGCATCCCCAGCAGGGCAATGCGCGCCGAGCCCAGGGGGTGGTACTTCTCCTTGGGGTGCTGAAACGGGGGGAAAGGAAGGGGGGGAGAAAGAGGGGAGGGGGAGGGGAAGGGTGGGGGGGAGGAGTTGGAAGAGCAGAGGGGGTGCTAGGAAACAACCAGGAAAGGGTTTTGCGAGGGGTTAAGGAACAGAATGGTGGAGATTGGTGCTGAGCGGTTCGCAGAAAGGAGAATGATGCCTACGCGACCCTGGTAGCTTGCACGAACCCTGCCTAGGGTTATTACAGGAGTCGTTTACCCTACGGTCGCCGTAACAAACCGCGGTTAAGTAGTTTAGTTTTGAGGCGTCTCAAAACTGCCTGTGCGACCCTGGTAACTCGCACGAACCCTGCCTACGGCTATTCGAAGCAGCTCCAGGTAAACGCGGAAGCAGAGGGCGTGTCCGGTGGAGGCACACCTGCAGGATGGTGACGCCCACGCGGTTGTCAACGGGATCGCCGAAGCGGTCGCAGATGCACACGCTCTTCGCCTTGTGGCACTCCACGCAGAACGCTCGGCTCCCTCTTTGCTCCTGCAACTGTAGCGGCTGCTTCTGACCTTTCCGCTGCCGCTGTGGCCTTTGAGGCGACTCAGAATGAGACGCGTCTACGCGGTCGCAGATGCACACGCTCTTCGTCTTGTGGCACTCCACGCAGAGACCCCTCCGCTCCTGCTGCTGCTGCTGCTGCTGCTGCTGCTGCTGCTGCGGATGCGGCTGCTGCGGATGCGGCTGCTGCGGATGCGGCTGCTGCTGCTGTGGATGCGGCTGATGCGGCTGATTCGGCTTGCGCTGTCGATTTTCCGGTCGATTCTTCTGCTGCCGTTGCTTCTCCTCCTGTTTTGGCTGCGGCGTCTCTACCAGCTGTTCTCTAAGTTCAAACCCTAATTCGCCTAATGAACTCGTTACGTCGGCTACTAATCCGCTATTCTGAAAATGGCGATGCCGCGGATCGGCAGACGGGTCACCTCGCGGCGACAGGAGATCAGCCACGTCAGCAACTGACATCAAATCTGTTTCAGAATTTTGACAGATTCCGGCAGGAAAATCACACCGGCCGTTCATTTTTAACGGGCTGGTCGCCCGATCTGAATCATCGCCTGCGACGGGTTCTGCGACAGCGTTAGCGACGGCGGTTTCCGTGTCGTTACAGCGCGCCGACCGAAGCTGCGAAACCATCGCCTCGAAAGATCGCAGATCTGTCAGAAGTGAAAGCCCGTACCGTGACGGAGAGGGAATGACGGTCAGCTACAGAAGCCTAAAGATGAGACGTTTTATAAGTGTTATTGACCAGAAAGGTTGTTGGAAGAAGGGTGGTCCATATTGCGGTGGCCTGGCGGCGGCACTGATGATGTGAATTGTAACGCGGATGTCGCACACTTCTGCAGGAAGACGACCCCACTCAGAACCAGGCAACTGCTTCATTTGTTTTAGTCGCAAGTGAAGAGATCGAGAGCATATAATGTTACATTTGGAAGAATTAATCATCAGTTGTTAACAAGTCTTGAAGTTCTGCACTTCGAAAAGTCATGTGCCCAATAACATGTTCCTGAAAAAAAAGGCATGGATTTAAAAATGAACTCTCAAATTCTCAAATCAACTACCGTATCAATGGTGTGGGTAGTGGGCAACAGAAGGATACGTACCAAAAGGAATGTTGAACGAGATCCATAATTTTCCTGCTCAATATGAACATCGTGTATGGGGTACAGTTGCAGTGCAGGTTAAAGCCATAATTAACCTATCGCATAAGTTCATGCAATCAACAAATACTCACCTCTAGGGTAGGAGCCTGCCATGTCAACCACTTGTCCACAGACTGCCAGCTGTCATAGCCGATGTCAGAAGGCCACGTGGCAGGCATGAGCATGCTGCTGACAGGCTGGACGATACTCAAGGCGTCTAGCTTGTTGACAGGCGAGCATGCATGGTAGGGGGAGGCGGGGACAGGGAGCACAAGAGAGAGCGGAGAGAATGGACAAAAGAGAGGGCATAAGTGTAGAAAGGGTGGATAGAGTTAGCTGCCAAGATGTAAGGTAAAAAAACACTCTGCACCACTCGATTTTGGCATCACTCCATGTGGCGTCACACACTCACTGCGGTGTCACTCACTCACTGTGGTGTCACTCACTCACTGAGGTGTCACTCAGTCACTGTGACGTCACTCACTTGTAACAAAAGCCTCTACCCAAGTGGCACGCTCACTCCACTGCGGGGCTTGGATGCGTATGGGGATGCCCCTCTCCCCGCACGCACTGCAGAAAGAGGGAGGGCGTAAGGCGAGGGAGCGAACAGACGAGTCTTCCAAGTGCCTCATAAGATGCGAAGGATGTCCGAGCAAGGCAAGAAAAGAGGGAGCAACAATTTCTGAGGCACCTCAAAAATGAGCCCAAGGCGAGCAAACAGTCGAGTCTTCCTAGTGCCTCATAAGATGCGAAGGATGTCCTGTTTGCTCGGCAACAGCAAGGCAAGAAAAGAGGGCGCAACAGACACAAACGCAAGGCAGAAGGTAGAGGAAACTCACTCGATGATCGCTTGACGGATGCTTCCTGGGAGGATTCCACTCTCCAATGACGCTGTTTGGAGCTCGTATCCGCGCCAAGGAGGGCCATGGCTTGTGTCACTGCCACTTCAATGATCGAACCGATAGAAAGGTGAAAGTGAGTTTGTTTTGAGACGTCTCAAACCAACGAGGGCCATGGCTTGGGTCACGGCCACTGCGAGGACCACAGAGATACAACAGAAGGGACAACTAGCGGTTAGGCAGAAAATCATTTGCGTCCTGCTGCAGGCTAACTCTTGCCCGCTTCTCAGCGCACAGCAGAACGGAAATGGTTCCGTTTCTTCTCACTTCTCAGTCACGCCAATTTTACAAAAACCCTGCTGCTGCCGTACCTCGCAGGTTCGGTCCGGGCCACAATAAAGAGGTTCGTGGTGATGCCTTCGAGGAGTGCATTACCGTCGGTTGATAGGATCACATCCCTTGCCTCCGCTGGCTTGGCTGTCTCCAATGCCCGGCGGACGCTGCAGACTTGCTCACAGGGGAATGGGGGGCAATGGGAGACAGAAGAGAACCAGGGTGATTCGAGAGCAATGCTTGTTCTTTTCTGCCACCATTTGATGAAGCACCCATTTGATGCAGCACGCATTTGATGAAGCACGCATTTGATGAAGCACCCATTTGATGAAGCACGCATTTGATGAAGCACGCATTTGATGAAGCATGCATGTGTCAGCACTCTGGAGGAGTGGATTGGAACAGGAAGGAAGGCTGGCACCCAGGAGGCGAAGAAGGGTGTGGGACATCGAAGGAGGGACGAAAAGGAGACAGAAAGCAAGGGAGGGAGGAGACACACTCACAGGGGCCAGGAGGAGAACTTAGCGAGTGGGGTGTGGCGGCCAGGCCCCATGACAGCAGCACAGATGGGTGGCGGCAGGGCGAGGGACGCCAAGGGGGTGGTGCGGACAGTGCTTGCATGCACGTAGACCTCAACGCCCTGCAACAGAGGGGTGGCTATAGCCGTGCCTGCCGTCCCTGCAGATGCAGCCGGTTCACAGGTCACGGCTCCAGATGCAGCAGGTTCGCCTGACACGGCTCCACCTGCAGCTCCTTGGCCGCACAGGAGAATCATCAGGCAAACCTCCACCTGCTGCTGCTGCTGCTGCTGCTCCTCTTTCTGTTCTCCCTCCGCTTCCCTCCTCCACCAATCACACTCCACCATCGCCCGCACAGCCACAAGCACGGAATCTCTTATCTCCTTCTGCAAGCCAGCAACCATGTTTCGAGCCCTCCTCGTATCTCGCATCTGAGTCTCATTTTCCTGGCCCTCCTCGTGCCGGACCTCTTCCCCCTGTGCCTCGTAAATGGTTGACAGCAGGTCCGTCAGCAGGCTTGGTGGCAGGTTCGGAAACAGCTCCGGGTGAGCTTCGGCGAGCAGCAGCAGCGACTGGGTGACTCTATTGAGGTGGAAGTCCCACAAGAAAATGTGAGAGCCACTATTGAAAGTGCGAGTAGTGGTGTAGGCGCCTAGAGATTTGGGGGACACACAGACGTTGAAGGGAAGGGCACGGGAAAAAAAGGCAGGGGGTGGGCAGAGGTGGGCAGAGGTGGGCAGAGGTGGGCAGGGGGGGGTTGGGGGGAGGAGGCGAGGGGGAGGCGAGGGGGGGGATGTGAGATCAGCGGGTGCGTCTGAGTACTGCAGTCGGCATCGCCCTGCTGGCAGCGCGGGTAGGTGGGGAAGCACTGCCGAGTATGCGATGCGGTAAGATCCGCAATAAGGCACGGCAATAAGGCAATAAGGCAATAATGCACGGCAATAAGGCAATAAGGCACGGCGGAACCGGGTCAAGACGCGCATACCTTTCGGCATGGTTTCTAAAAACGCTCGAGGCCCTGAGGGAAATGAAATAGGCTCCTCACACCCGCTCGCGTTTCCTTCTCCTCCTTTTAACAACCGGCCGTTACGTACGACGGCATATGGAGGCTCGTTAGAAGATTCTCCTGAATCCGAAGCCGCGGCTGCTATAACGGGGACTGGAGCCCACCTTCCTGGTGTCTGAATCCTCCTGCTCGCTGGGGCTACTAACTCTGGAGCGCCATTGAAAGGCATCGCCAATCCTAGTGGAACGCTCGATAGAGTCACATTCGCACGGTTCTCCCGGAGAAAGCCTGTGCGACAGATCGGCCTACCAGGCGAACAATCGAGCCCTGGCGAGCTAGTCGCACGAGACGCTACGAAAGATTGGCAAAGAGACGGACACGTCAGCGATGTGGTCATGGTTCTGTCTGCGAGACGTGTCAGACACGCATCAATGAGATCCTCATGCGGGGAAAGCGAAGGTCTACTGGTTTCTGGCTCTCACTTCCCGCTCGCTGCTGCAAAGTCTAGATAAATACCAACGACAGCATCAAGCCCTACTAGACTGCTAGTCCCAAACTCCGCCTTCTACGGCAACGGTCCAGCATCACCTAAATTTACGACTACTAACGCCCCTCTGCTTCCATTGTCGCCTGCTTCCCTGCTTCTTAGTTGGTCTGCTACAAATAGCTCATCTATGCAGCAAGCACCCCTACATAGTAAGCTGCACAGTGTACATTTTGAAGCTGCGTTATATAACAGTTGCAATGTTCCAAAGTTCCAAACGTACAAAAACAATATGTTTAATGCAAAATGATCAGCACAATTAAACAAAGCATAACCATACTGCATAACGCTGCAAAAATAAAGCGGACTTGTATAGCCCAGTATTGCTACCATACAATAAAAATCTGGACCCCTCTTGCCCGCTAGGGGTGTTAGCACTGCCCCTAGCGTTACACCCGGACACCACTAGGAGGTGGGGGACCGCCGCCCGGTAAACACATGGCCAAAACAAGGCAGGGACCGGAGTCCCAAAACATTAGGCAGCAGCCATGTTCGAAACCACTGGCCGGGAGATGCAGTTTCCCGGGTGAGTGGCTGCGACAGATGGTTCCCGCAACAGAGAGATAGTAGTAGTTTCCAAGTAGTTCATCCAACCAGTGGCCAGGAAACCCGGTTTCCCGAACCAATGGCTGGAAAATATGTATAGCCCAAAGCAAGAAGTAGGAAACACGTATTTCCCAAGCCACTGGTTGGGGATTGGTCCCGAAGCAGTGGTTAGGATAGATAGTTCCCCTGGTAAGGGTTAGAAAACAGGCATATCCCAAGCAGTGGCTGGGATGCATGGTGAAAAACCAAGAAGTAGGGAAGAGGTAGTTTCCCAAGCCATTGGTGGTGGGGGATTCGGTTCCCCCAGCAATGGTTGGGACATATGTTTGCCATGATAGTGGCTAGGATGCATGGTTTTGCCATGATAATGGCTATGATGTATACTTTTGCCAAAATAATGGCTAGGATGCATACTTTTGCCATGCGAATGGCTAGGATGTATGGTATTGCTATGATGGTATAGTTTTGCCACCCCCCTCCGCCCCCCTCCGCCCCTCCACTCTTCCACCTCCCACTCCCTGACACCGTCCATCCCTCCTCCCACACCTCTCCTACCCTTCCACCCTCACCTTCAGCTTCCCCCTCGCCTCCAGCATCCACCACTGTTTCAGCTGGATCCCCTCTTTCCCCCTCATTCAACTTCCACTCTGCTTCAGCTCCCCCCTCCCTCTCTGCTTCACCTGCATTCTCTGCTTCAGCTTTGCCCTTCTGCTTCTGCCACCCATCTGCTAAAAACATCCCCCCTGCTTCAAATTCCCCTCTGCTTCAGCATGCTCCTCTGCTTCAGCATGCTCCCCTGATTCAGCATGCTCCTCTGCTTCAGCATGCTCCTCTTGCTTCGGCATGCTCCTCTGCTTCGGCATGCTCCTCTGCTTCAGCATGCCCCTCTGCTTCGGAATCCGAGGAACCTGTTGATTCAGCTGCATCCTCCCCTTCTCCTCCACCCCCTCATCACCCCATCACCTCATGGGTGAGTTACATGCCATCTCAAAGAGTGTGGGGCAGTTGCCTCCCATCCTCCACACTCTGCTGCTCTGCGCTCTTAAAGGGTGTGGGGAGCACCGGCACACTCTGCTTCCAGCCATGGCAGCACCGGCACACTCTGCTTCCAGCCACGGCAGCATCGGCACACTCTGCTTCCAGCCATGGCAGCACCGGCACACTCTGCTTCCAGCCATGGCAGCACCGGCACACTCTGCTTCCAGCCATGGCAGCATCGGCACACTCTGCTTCCAGCCACGGCAGCATCGGCACACTCTGCTTCCAGCTACGGCAGCATCGGCACACTCTGCTTCCAGCTACGGCAGCATCGGCACACTCTGCTTCCAGCCACGGCAGCATCGGCACACTCTGCTTCCAGCCATGGCAGCATCGGCACACTCTTCTTCCAGCCACGGCAGCATCGGCACACTCTGCTTCCAGCCACGGCAGCATCGGCACACTCTGCTTCCAGCCACGGCAGCATCGGCACACTCTGCTTCCAGCCACGGCAGCATCGGCACACTCTGCTTCCAGCCACGGCAGCATCGGCACACTCTGCTTCCAGCCACGGCAGCATCGGCACACTCTGCTTCCAGCCATGGCAGCATCGGCACACTCTGCTTCCAGCCACGGCAGCATCGGCACACTCTGCTTCCAGCCACGGCAACACCGGCACACTCTGCGTGGGGCCAGCTGCCCTCCATCCTCCTTCCTCTGCTGCACGGCGCTCCTCCCAGCAGCGTCTTCCCTCCTCTGCTGCACGGCGCTCCTCCCAGCAGCATCCTCCCTCCACTGCTGCATGCTACCTTGGAGAGTGCTGAAAGAGATTACCACCAAGCACAAATAAGGCGCATTGACAAATAACTCAACAGAAAAGAGTTTAACAGCAAAGAGCTCAGCACAGAAGAACTCAACAGGAAAATGGTTCAACAGCAAGGAGCTCAGCACGGAAGAACTCGACAGAAAATAACTGAATAGCAAAGAACTCGACAGAAAATAACTGAATAGCAAAGAACTCGACAGCAAATAATTCATTCGCAAAGAACTCAACAGGAACCGCTAGCGTTCTTCAAGGCGCCTCCAAAAGGACGACCAACTGAACTTACAGCAGCAGCAAGGAGTGATCCTGTGTTGATGTGTTGGCATTTTCTCCATCTTCCCTCCTCCTGCAGACCCGCGCACCCCTCTGCATCACACTCCGTTCTGCTGCACCGCGCTCTTAAAGAGTGTGGCGCAGCTGGCCCCCATCCTCCCTCCTCTGCTGCACCGCGCTTCCAAAGAGTGTGGGGTAGCGGCCTCCCATCCTCCAGGAGAGCGGCGGCATACTCTGCTTCCAGCCACGGGAGCACCGGCACACTCTGCTTCCAGCCACGGGAGCTCCGGCACACTCTGCTTCCAGCCACGGGAGCACCGGCACACTCTGCTTCCAGCCACGGGAGCACCGGCACACTCTGCTTCCAGCCACGGGAGCTCCGGCACACTCTGCTTCCAGCCACGGGAGCTCCGGCACACTCTGCTTCCAGCCACGGGAGCACCGGCACACTCTGCTTCCAGCCACGGGAGCTCCGGCACACTCTGCTTCCAGCCACGGGAGCTCCGGCACACTCTGCTTCCAGCCACGGGAGCACCGGCACACTCTGCTTCCAGCCACGGGAGCTCCGGCACACTCTGCTTCCAGCCACGGGAGCTCCGGCACACTCTGCTTCCAGCCACGGGAGCACCGGCACACTCTGCTTCCAGCCACGGGAGCTCCGGCACACTCTGCTTCCAGCCACGGGAGCTCCGGCACACTCTGCTTCCAGCCACGGGAGCTCCGGCACACTCTGCTTCCAGCCACGGGAGCACCGGCACACTCTGCTTCCAGCCACGGGAGCTCCGGCACACTCTGCTTCCAGCCACGGGAGCTCCGGCACACTCTGCTTCCAGCCACGGGAGCACCGGCACACTCTGCTTCCAGCCACGGGAGCTCCGGCACACTCTGCTTCCAGCCACGGGAGCACCGGCACACTCTGCTTCCAGCCACGGGAGCTCCGGCACACTCTGCTTCCAGCCACGGGAGCACCGGCACACTCTGCTTCCAGCCACGGGAGCTCCGGCACACTCTGCTTCCAGCCACGGGAGCACCGGCACACTCTGCTTCCAGCCACGGGAGCACCGGCACACTCTGCTTCCAGCCACGGGAGCTCCGGCACACTCTGCTTCCAGCCACGGGAGCACCGGCACACTCTGCTTCCAGCCACGGGAGCTCCGGCACACTCTGCTTCCAGCCACGGGAGCACCGGCACACTCTGCTTCCAGCCACGGGAGCACCGGCACACTCTGCTTCCAGCCACGGGAGCACCGGCACACTCTGCTTCCAGCCACGGGAGCTCCGGCACACTCTGCTTCCAGCCACGGGAGCACCGGCACACTCTGCTTCCAGCCACGGGAGCACCGGCACACTCTGCTTCCAGCCACGGGAGCACCGGCACACTCTGCTTCCAGCCACGGGAGCACCGGCACACTCTGCTTCCAGCCACGGGAGCTCCGGCACACTCTGCTTCCAGCCACGGGAGCACCGGCACACTCTGCTTCCAGCCACGGGAGCACCGGCACACTCTGCTTCCAGCCACGGGAGCACCGGCACACTCTGCTTCCAGCCACGGGAGCTCCGGCACACTCTGCTTCCAGCCACGGGAGCACCGGCACACTCTGCTTCCAGCCACGGGAGCACCGGCACACTCTGCTTCCAGCCACGGGAGCACCGGCACACTCTGCTTCCAGCCACGGGAGCACCGGCACACTCTGCTTCCAGCCACGGGAGCACCGGCACACTCTGCTTCCAGCCACGGGAGCTCCGGCACACTCTGCTTCCAGCCACGGGAGCTCCGGCACACTCTGCTTCCAGCCACGGGAGCACCGGCACACTCTGCTTCCAGCCACGGGTGCAGAAGCCACCTCCTGGAGAGGGGAACAGGAGAGAGGCAGAAAATTGAAGACAGAAAACGTGAGGGAGATGAATCACGCAAGTCGACTAGCTGGATTTAGATATTGGATTTAGCCTCGAATAGCTGTTCAGGAGCAGAAGTGAACCCATGGGCAAGCAAAGAGCAAAGAGCAACTAGCAAGCACTTGAGTGCTCGGTCCCTACCATGTGTGACTGCGTTCCCCTCTGCTCCACGCCCTTCGTGTCGCCACGCTCCTTCGCCGCCTGCGTTCCATCCGCCCTCTGCTCCATCCTCCCTGCGTTCCATCCGCCCTCCTGCAGGCCAGCGCACCCATCTGCACCACACTCCCTCCTCCTGCACAGCACTCCTCCCAAAGGGTGTGGGGCAGCTGCCTTTCCCATCCTCCACGGGAGCACCGGCACACACTGCAGCCAGCCATGTGACGCCACCTGCACAGGGGAACAGGGGAGAGACATAAGTTGAGAGAGCGGGCTCGCTAAAAGTGCAAGCTGAAATGGATGTAGCGCCGACTAGCTATCTGGAAGCAAATGTGACCCGATGGGCAAGCAAAGAGCAAAGAGTCAAGAGCCAAGAGCCAAGAGCAAGAACCAGCGTACCATGTGTGACAAGAGCTCGCCTCTGCTCCATGCCCCCTCCTGTCTCCACGCTCCTTAGCTCCATACGCTCGCCTCTGCTGCACAGCGAGAGACAGAAATTCAAAACAGAAGCCGTCAGAGTGTGAAGCATCGACCAGCTATCTGGCAGCAAAAGTGACCCGATGGGCAAGCAAAGAGCAAAGATTGAAGAGCCAAGAACCAAGAGCCAAGAGCCAAGAGCAAGCACTAGCGTACCATGTGTGACAAGCGCTCGCCTCTGCTCCATGCCCCCTCCTGTCTCCACGCTCCTCGGCTCCATCCGCTCCCCTCTGCAGCAACAGGCCCCTCCTGCCCGCCTGCCACAACATGCTCCCCACCACTACATTCTTGGAAACTGCTGCAAGAGACTGGGCCAGCACTTAACTGAAACACACGAGGAAACCACCAAGCAAATTGGGGGAAAAAAATAACAACCAGCAGCACCTGCTAAATACACTTACAGCAGACGTAGAAGGCGCTCCCCTTGGCTGCTCCCCCCGTTGCCGCCCCTCACAAAAGTGCTGCCGACGCCTGAGGAGAGGACAGGTTCCAGAAGAGAGATTCAATAACGAGAGGAAAGAAAACGAAGTGCAGGAAGAGCGAACGGGTTGAGTGGAAGCGGAGGAATAGAAGGCGAAAGGGTGAGGTGCTTACCAGTGTTGGAGTCTTTGCGCCTGCCCTTCTGCTTCTGGTACCTGGGAGGAGGGGAGGGGAGGGTAGGGGAAGGGGGAGATAGGAACGGGAGGGGGACAGAGACAGGACGGGGGGGGAGAGGGGGAGGAGGGGGATGGGACGAAAAGACACAAAACAGAGTGCAGGGAGAGAGCAAAACAATGAGGAGAAGGGAACGGATAAAAGTAGAGGTGCTTACCAGTCTTGGCGTCTTGGCGTCTTGGCGTTGTCTTCGTGAGGTGCACACCACCCCCCGCCCCACCCACCACCCACCACCCACCATCCCCCACCCCCCATCCCACAAACCCCACCACCCATCCCCCACCACCCACCACCACCCACCACCACCCACCACCATCCACCACCATCCACCACCACCCACGCACCACCCACCACCGCCCACCACCCACCCACCACACGCACCACCCACCACCGCCCACCACCCACCACCCACCCACCACACGCACCACCCCCCATCACCCCCCACCACCCACCACCACCACCACCATCCACCACCATCCACCGCCACCCACCACCACCCACCACCCACCACCCCCCCCACCAAACACCACCACCCACCACCATCCACCACCAACCACCACCACCCACCACCACCCACCACAACCCACCACCACCCACCACCACCACCCACCACCGCCCACCACCCACCACCACCCACCCACCACCCACCCACCACCCCCCACCACCCCCCACCACCCACCACCACCCACCACCACCACCCACCGCCACTACCCACCACCACCACCACCACCACCACCACCACCACCACCACCCCCCACCACCCACCAACACCGGCCACCACCCCCCACCACCACCCACCACCACCCACCACCACCCACCACCACCACCCACCACCCACCAACACCCACCACCACCCCCACCACCACCCACCACCACCCACCACCACCCACCACCACCCACCGCCACCCACCACCACCACCCACCACCACCCACCACCACCCACCACGCACCACCACCTCCACCATCACCACAGCCACAAGCTGTCTGTGCTGTCTGTACTGTGCTGTGCTGTACTGTGCTGTGCTGCCTGTAGGTGGGTAGGTGGACGGATCATCACGGCAAGTGACACAAGGCAAGCAACAGGCGACGCGAGGGGAGAAGGGCTAGCATGCTGCTAGCTCCACTCAGGCAGAGAAACACAGCGACTGAAGCGACTGAGGCACAAAGAGAGAGCAGAGAGGTACGTACCATCAAGCTAGCAGCCCCACTCAACCGGAGCAACCCGACGGCGACTGAAGCGAACGAGACACGCCAAAGGGAGTAAGGAGTGGGGCAGGATGAGGCAGCTAGATACGTACCAGCCGCTCCCCTCCCGCAGACCAGAGTTGTATAAAATGTCTTACTAGCTCTGCCTGCTGGCAGCTAGATACGTACCAGCAGCTCCCCTCCCGCTCCCGGCAGCTCATTGGGGCGCGGTGGTCAGCAGGGCATGCGAAGGGCAGTCACAGCCCCGTGGCTGCATGCCGTGCGCCATCCCACGGCTGCCCCCCTGCTGCCTCTACTCGCGGCTGCTGCATAGGAGGGGCAGAGCAGCGGGGGAAGGGGGGGGATGGGGAAGGGACAAGTGAAAGAGAGAAGGAGAGGAAGTGAGTGAGTGCCCAAGCGAGTGAGACAAAAGAGCAGAGAGATGATGATCATGAAACGTACAGGAAAGTGCAAGCGATGGTGCAAGTAAGTAGAACTGAACACGAAACGAGGAAGAGGGAGAGGGAATTGTCCCGGTAATGGTTGGGTTGTCGGTCTTGGGGTTGCGGGACGAGTGGGTGGGGGCGCTGCCGGTGTTGGAGGGCTGCAGGCGCAGTTGGGGCAAGTGGGTGTGTTGGAGGCTCCAGGTCCCACCAAGCGACCATACCAACTCACAGTGAGTGTCTACCTCGCAGCCACCATGCTCACATCATGGCACTTGCCTATCACCTGGGGAGGGTCCCTTGGTGGGAGAACTGGCAGCCAGAGGAGGAGGGACAGATGAGAGGAGGAGGAGAGCGGGAGCGGTGTGAAGCCGCGTGTGCAGCACGCTCCTCCGCCCCGTGGGTTCTTGCAGCCGCACTCCCTCCAGCCGCACTCCCTCCAGCCGCACTCCCTCCAGCCACACTCCCCCCAACTGCACTTCCTCCAGCAGCAGCACCCGTGAGCCTTCAGCACAAGGGGGAGTGCAGTGGTCAGCAGGGCTCCCAGCAGCGGCACCCGCAAGCCTTCAGCGCGGGGGGGAGTGCAGTGGTCAGCAGGGCGAGCAGGGGGCAGTCACACCGCTGTGGCTGCCCGCCGTGCGGCATCCCACTGCCCTCCCACTCCGGCTCTGCAGGGCACACTCCCGTGGGCCTGGTACAGGGGAATGGTGAGGGGGAAAGAACGCACTTGGGGAAAGAACGCACTTGGGGAAAAAACGCACTTGGGGAAAAAACGCACTTGGGGAAAAAACGCACTTGGGGAAAAACGCACTTGGGGAAAAACGCACTTGGGGAAAAACGCACTTGGGGAAAAACGCACTTGGGGAAAAACGCACTTGGGGGAAGAACGCACTTGGGGGAAGAACGCACTTGGGGAAGGAGTTGCAGAGAATTAGATCAAGGCATGCCAATCCAAAGACACGAGCTAAAACAAGCACAAGTTACGTGCATGAAACGCGGAAGATTTGCACAAACGAAGCCCTTTGCGAGAAGCAAAAGCGCTAGCGAGAATGCATCTTGCAAAGCCCAACTAACAGAGAAAGGGCGATGGTAGCGCACGGCATCAGGGCATGGAGCTAGCACGCGAGGGGGACGAGGTAAGAGAGGGACGCGGGCATGAGGATGAATGCGTTTCTACCCCCTGCAACTCTAGTATGAGCCCTTCCGCCCCAGTGCCATGCGCTACCACCGCCACGCGCCCATCACCCCGAAACGAGCTTTTGATCCCCCCATTTCTTATAACGAGCTTTTGATCCCCCCATTTCTTATAACGAGCTTTTGATCCCCCTATTTCTTATAACGAGAAAAGCCAGCAATGATGGAAGGAACACGCAAGCACCAACGGGAGGCAAGCAATCCTTGTCTGAGGAAATACAAGACTGGCAAGGGATGAGGAGACTTGACCGTATTGGTGGGCCAGTCATGAGGCGAGCGCAATGGCTGCAGCACGTGCTGCCTCCACCAGCATCCCCAGCAGCAGCACTCCTGACAGCAGCACTCCCAACAGCAACACTCCCGACAGCAGCACTCCCAGCAGCACGTGCTCCCTCCAGCAGCACTGCCGACAGCAGCACTCCCAGCAGGCTCACTGGAAGGCCTCGCGCATGATGGAGAGCAGCGGTCAGCAGCGCGAGCAGGGGGCAGTCTCACCGCTGTGGCTTCCCCCGTGCGTCATCCCACTGCCCTCCCTCCCCGGCACACGGCAGGCGTGGCACAAGGCGAGAGGAGGAGGAGGAGGAGGAGGAGGAGGAGGAGGAGGAGGAGGGAGGAGGAGGAGGAGGAGGAGGAGGAGAGGAGGAGGAGGAGGAGGAGGAGGAGGAGGAGGAGGAGGAGGGGGGGGAGAAGGGGGAGGAGGAATTGACGGTCTGCTGCTGGTGCTGGTGCTGCTGCTGCTGCTGCTGCTGGCACTGGCGCTGCTGCTGTTGGCAAGGGCGTTGCTGCCCGCATTCCCTTTGGGAGAGGGTTGAAACACGAAGCACTGTGGGGAGGGGATGCAGGAAACTAGGTCAGTAGAACGAAGTAGTACAAAGAATCACAAATAACAGCAGATTACGTAAGAAGGCACGCAAGGCCAGCATGGGAAGTCAATCCAAGACAACCAAAAAAGAGATATGGCACTAAATCACAAGGTAAGGCGATGGTAGCGCACGGCACCAGGGCATGGAGCTAGCACGCGAGGGGGACTAGGTAAGAGAGGGACGCAGGCATGAGGATGAATGCGTTTCTACCCCCTGCAACTCTAGTATGAGCCCTTCCGCCCCAGTGCCATGCGCTACCACCGCCACGCGCCCATCACCCGAAAACAAACTTTTGATCCCTCCCATTTTTATTCGAGAAAGCCCACAAAGTGATGGGGAGGGAATAAGCAAACATTAACGGGAAATCGAAGATTGGCAAGGGATAAGGAGACTTAGCGGTCAGGGTGGCAGTTGGAGGCGAGTGTCATGCCTGCAGCACTCCCACCAGCGGTTCTTCACCATCGTCGCGCACGGGACTCCCGGGGTCGTCGCCATCCTCGCGCACGGGTCGTCGCCATCGTCGCACGCGGGTCGTTGCCACCGTCGCGTGCGAATCGTCGGCCTCGTAGCGTGCCGATTGTCGCCATCGTCGCGCGCAGGTCGCTGGCATCGTCGCGTGCGGATCGTCGCCATCGTCGCGCGCGGGTCGTCGCCATCTTCGCGCACGGGTCGTTGCTATAGTCGCGGCGGTTCATCGGCATCGTCGCGCGCGGGTCGTCGCCATCGGCGCGTGCAGGTCGTCGCCACCGTCGCGTGCGGGTCGACGACATTGTCGCGTGCAGGCCGTCGCCATCGTCGCGTGCAGGCCGTCGCCATCGGCACGAGCGGGTCGTCGACATAGGCGCGAGCGGATCGCCGCCATCGTCGCGCACGGGTCGTCGCCATCGTCGCGCACGGGTCGTCGCTATAGTCGCGGCGGTTCATCAGCATCGTCGCGCGCGGGTCGTCGCCATCGTCGCGTGCAGGTCGTCGCCATCGTCGCGCGCGGGTTGTCTCGTTCGCCGCCGCTTGCCGATCGTCGCTCGCCGCTCTCCCGCTCAGCGCTCTCCGGATCGCCGCTTTACGCCTTCACGAGGGTTGCACGCCTTCACGAGGGTTGCACGCCTTCACGAGGCTTGCACGCGGTCATCGAAACGCCATTCGAAGCCAGTCATGTTCCAGCCCCGCTGCTGCCTTCCCATCGCTCGCCGTCACCGTGAATCGCTGCTCGCCGTGCTCCTAAGTTCGACCGTCCGGAGTCCACGAGTTCGCGAGTCCGCGAGTTCGCAAGTTGCACGCCTTCAACGAAACGCAACGCTGTTTGAAGCCCAGCTGCTGCCTTCCTTCCTTCCCACCGCTCGCCGTCGCCGTGACTCGCTTGCTTCTCGCTGCTGCGTAGCTCGACCGTCCGCGAGTCTGCAGTCCGCGAATACGCGAGCTGCGCCTTTGCTGCTCGAGTTCCATAATCTCGACCGTTCGCGAGCTGCGTCGTTGCCACGAAGCACTCTCGGCAACTAGAGCGGTGCAGAAACATCAGCGCGGATGGATCCGCAAGGAGACTGGGTGTCTACCACCAAGCAAGTGGTAAGTTTCCAGCCCAGATAGTAGCTCAGGATGTAGCTCAGGATGTAGCTCGACATACTTCGCCGACGCTCTCTCCCTCTCTCCTTTCTTAATCGCAGGACCTGATGCATGATGCACAGATCGTCAGGCTGACGCACAAGCCCAGTGGCCGTGCCTTGACGCTCAGCGACCACAGCAGCCATCAGCGTCTCGTTGGAATGCTGCTACCCGCAGTAAGGTCAAACAGAAGTCGCCGAGCGGTGACCAGACTTTAAGGTGAGGAAACTTCAGCCTATCGGAATCTCAGCTTAGAATGCTATCTTGACGGTAGGCCAACCTAAGCTAAGAAGTACGCGGTGAATAGACAGCCTATCCGAATGTCGATGGCCTCGGAAGCTGGCTCGACTATCGAATTCCTTCCACCCTAAGGAGAGCTTTTATCGGGATATGATATTAGAATAATGGCTGTTACGACCAGGAGACGTAAAAAACAGAGAGGAGATATGCGGGAACCTATGTTCTCGGAAGGATTTACGACAGAAGCCATTGCGAGTCGAAGCCGCGGAAAGCTTGAGTCGCTACGCTCGCGTTCCAACGAAACCCTATTGTTAAAATCCGCTATCAACCATTTAGCGGTAAATCGGCTGTCAACAACCTAGAGGTACGGAATAAGCCCGGTCGGCGCTCATGCTGAGATGAATGATAAGGCACGGATCCAAGGACGCCATCAATATGAGGAACTGCCTCGAGCCTAGGGAATTCCGAAATGGCAGTGATCAGGCAGAGCATAACTGGGAGACTAGACGAATTCTAATGAGAAATCCACAATGAGACGGAAGGCTTGAAGGAATTCGGTCGGATTCGCTCGGGGCGTGTCAATAAAAATCCTTTGGGCCGAACCTGAACCGTTCTGGATTATTATTTGACCGTTCCCGAACGCAGAATAACTTAGCGGACCGCAAGCGAATGTACTTCGGTGACACGCCCTCAATGCATGTTGCGATAAGAGAGACGGAGGAGCAAGGTGACGGAGAGTGAGGGAGGGAGCTCTCGCGGGCTCCTAGCGGAAACCGCCGCCAAGGCGGTGGAGGACACAAAACTGAATCAGTCAGTTTCGCGAGCCGAATCGTTTGGCGAGGGAACCAGCTGTTCGCCACGAGTAAAACATTGTTGCGAAGCAAGAAAGTTTCGTCAACATGGTTACTGAAAACCGCAGCGCTAGAACCACGCGCGTGTATGAACGAATGAGCGGGAGCGTTCCCCATGAACTCTGCGCACCTGACAGAAATTCCAGTGATGGCGGAAACTGCTCAATACTACTGCTTACGTGCCTAGCCGATTCACAATGTTGATTATTCTAACGGCTGAGATAATCTTTGTGGGCCCACTTCGAAACAAGAAAAGCTGTGAGGTGACGTGTAAAGTTCCCAGCAGAGCAGGAAGGAGTCGGTCCTTGCGCTGCGGGGGGCGATTCGTCTGGGCGCAGCGCAGTTGAATGCTCGCGTGGCAGCCTCCCCTGGCCGCAATGCCGGCAATCCTCGACTGTGTAAGGATATGGCAATCCTCGCATGTGGCTAAGGAAATTAAACAATCATCCTAAGTAATTTATCCACTACGCGTATGTCTTCTTTCTTCCCCTTGTCTTCTTACATTTTGTGGCCCCAGTTTTTCCCTCACAATCACCACCCCAGAGCATGTTCTAGCGCATGCTAAAGCCTGTGCTTCCTGAGGTCCCATTTCCTCCTTCCACAACAACTCCTTTCTCCCTTGCCCTCAACTCGAACCGTCCAGAACATTCTGGAGCAAATGCTGGGGGCAGCGCGGCGGGGCATGTGGCAGGCGAGTGAACGAGGTGATAGGGCAGCTCCAGTGATGAGCTATATTTTTTTAATTTACCATTCGAAGTAGGTAACTAGAGACACCTGTTGGGCTGAGAAAAGCCCTTAGGATCTTTGCAGAGACTAAGTCCAGCTGTAGAGACTTTCAGACTTTGAGTAGTGCAGCGGAAGTTTGAGACAGTTGAACCCTTGTACTAGTATGTGAGAACAAGTGATTGATTAAAGAAACAAGCATACAGCAATATATAGAAGATAAGAAAGCAGTTGTAGAGTACAGTTACAGGAATGGTTTATCGAGTCGCACAGCGACTCGACTGCCGCTTCGGTTACCATCCGTGATGTTGTAACGGTCAGTCGCAACCTCCAGTTGCGACCTTTCGAGTCTTTTCGCATTCTTTGTCCGCCCCCTCATGTAACCTCCGTTGACTCGCGTGCTCCCTTGTAGTCTTCCTCGAGTGCAGTGTTACACTTCAGAAACGCTCAAGTCCTTTGAGATATTTCCAACACTCCCCTTCGTTTCTGGAGTGTTGACGTGTTCGGGTCCGGTGACGTTTGTTTGCCCGGTCAGGAACATGCAGTAGTCGAATTTTGCTTTCGCCAATTTCTTCGTCAGATAATCTGCGGCCATTTCTGTCGTCGGGCAGTAACTGAGTTGAAGTCTCCCCTTCGCGATTTCATCCTTGACGAAGAAGTACCGCAGGGCGATGTGCTTGGTTCGGTTGGCGAAGCCGTCCTTGTTCGCGATTTTGATCGCAGATTGGTTGTCGCAGAGGAGTGAGAAGGCGGGCAGGGTCGCAATCTTCGCTTCCTCGAGTAACTCCCGTAGGTAGAGTCCTTCCTTGGTCGCAGTACAAAGGGCGATATACTCTGCTTCAGCCGAGGATAGTGCGATTAACTCCTGCTTGCTCGACTGCCAGGAGATAGTTCCGATGGGTTCTAGTCGGTAGATATAGCCCGTCCTAGATCGTCGATTTTCCCTATCTCCCGCGTGGTCGGCGTCGACGTATCCGAGTAGTCGTACGGACGGTGTTGTCGCTTTGCTGTAGGTAAGTCCGATCGTCGGCGTGGAGACGAAGTAGAGTAGTGCCCGGTTGAGCTCCTCGAGATCTTCCTGTTCCGGTTGCTTCAGATGCGTCGCCAGTTGACTCGCACTATAGGACAGCTGGATTTGCTTCGCGGGGAGTTTTGCGGAGGTGCTGTTGTTGTTCCCGTAGCGGTAGGGAGTTGGGACCGTAGTCGGTGTTAGGCCGAATTTCTTCGCGACGGTGCCTGAGTACTTTCCAGCGTGTAGGTAGAACGCCGTGTCGTCTTCGACGACATTCAGTCCTAGGTACTGGGTCACTTCATCGGACACCGTGAGTGTTAAGTCTTCTTTCAGCTCCCTTTCGAACCAGGTAGCGATGTCGGTAGTGGAGCCGATGTAGAGCAGGTCGTCGACGTAGACGATGAGTAGGACGTACTCTCTTCCCTTCTGCAGTCGGTACATCCCTTGGTCATGCGGCAGTTGTAGGAATCCGATTTTTGCGAGACGGCCGTGAAGGTGTTGCTGCTAGAGCCGCGGGGCTTGCTTGATCCCGTATAGGGATTTTGTCAGTTGGCATACTTTCGTGGGGTCGTCGATGAATCCGTGGGGTTGTTCGACGAAAATCTCAGCGTCCACAGGTGCGTATAGGAACGCATTGGCGACGTCGATTTGGCGTAGTGGTGGTGTCTTCGTGGCCGCGACGGCGAGTAGGATGCGTAATGAGGTGTGACGGGAGACTGGAGCGAAGGTTTCTGTGTAGTCAGTTCCGTATCGTTGATCGAAGCCTCGTACGACCCATCGAGCTTTGAATCGTTCGATGGAGCCGTCTGAGTTGGTCTTGATGCGGTACACCCATTTCCCCGAGAGGACGTTCTTCCCGTTGATGCTTGTTGCAGGTACCAGTTTCCATGTTTCTCGGTCTTGCAGAGCCTTTAACTCCTTTTCCATCGCTTCTTTCCATTTTGCCTTATGTTCCCCCCCTAGAGCCTGCGACAAGGTCGAGGGCTCACGCGGAGAAGGCGGCGGCGGATGCTGGATGGAGACCCAGAGGCCTAGAATCTGCAGTCCCGTGGGTGTGTGTCGAGGGGAATTTTCGTTCCCGGAATAAGCTGCTTCGTCACCGTCTTCTGGGTCAGGTAAGAAGTTGGGACTGATGCGTTCTGAAACATTTGTGTCGACTGGGTGGGGTGTAATGTAACCTTGGTCAGCGAAGTGGTAAAAGGTGTCGAGGTTGTTGCTATCGAGAGGATTGTCTTCGTCGAGTGGAACAGGGACGGAACAGAATGGGAGTGGTCCGGCAGCTTCCGAGGCTTCAGGTACGTCTTCTTCTGCTGCGTCAGCTTTGGCAGCACGGTCGGCGAAGGAACGAAGTCCCGAGAAGCCGTCGGTGGGGTCTTGTGTGTTGGCAATGTTGTCCAGGTAATGCTGCAGCGTCAGGCGCTCGTAGAAAATAACATCACGTGATGCCACGGTATTTTTGTCTTGTATGTCGAGAATTTTCCACGCGTGAAAATGTTTTGCGATGCCGAGGTGTAGTCCCCACCGAGCTCGTTGTGTGAAGCGTCCTGCTCGGGCTGTGTGGGGTCTGTACTGTACCATGCAGCCGAAAACTCGGAGTAATTTTGTGCTGCCCCTTTTTCTTGTCCACAACAGGTGCGGTGATGCGTTGTTGGGAAGTGATGACGAGGACAGCAGGTTGTGCAGGTGAACGGCATGTGTCATCGCGTCTGGCCACAGTGTGGTGGGCTGCCTCATCCCCAGCAGTAGTTTTCGCATCGTCGTCTGCAAGGTCCGGTTCATGCGTTCTGCTACCCCCTGCTGCTGGTGAGCATAGGGCAGAGACACCAGGCGTCGGATTCCTCTTTCCGCCAGATAGGTCCTGAAGCGTTGTGACTGGTATTCCAGTGCACCGTCTGACTGGAAGCTCTTGAGCTTGGTTCCTGATTCTCGTTCGGCGATGGGAAGCCATGTGGTGAAGACCTCGAAGGCTTGATCGCGCGTTTTGAGATTAAAGTGCCAAACGTATCTGGTTGTTGCGTCGATGAACGTGATGACGTAGTTGAAGTCGGCTTCGGTGTCTTCTCGAGGCATGTTTAAAATGTCGCTGTAGACCTTTTCCATCGGAGCGTAAGTAGGTGCGCTTGGGTTGTGATGAGATGGGAAAGGTTGATGAGGAAGATCTGCTTCGGGGCACGTGAAGCATCGTGCTCGTGGTCGTCGAAGTTCTTGGCCGCTCGTCGTTAGAAGGGCGTTGCGTTCTAACACCTCTGCTTGGATTGTTTGTAGTATCGTGCTGTTTGCAGGATGTCCGAGACGTTGGTGCCAGATGTCGTCGGAAGCGCGATGACCGGGCGAGCGATGGTAGATGTCGGCGTTGGAGAAGAACGCGACGACTGAGGCGGGACTTCGACAAACTTCTCGTGTGATGGGCATAAGCTGGTCTGCTTCGGTTGGCGGTCCTCGGGTCGCTGGTGGTGGGACTCGGCTGGGTCCTGCTGCCGATACTGCAGGTGATGGTTTGGTTGGGATACTTGCGGGTACTTGTCTTTCTTGTCTGATAACTGCTAATGCTCGTGTTCTCTCTGCTGCAGGTACGGTGTTGGAGTGCCAGAAGCCGTCACTGTCGAAGTCGGGATCAAGATCCGGCGGGTGAGTCCAGGCGGCGAACGATACGATACCGTCGCTGTCGGCAGTACCGCGGTCGGGGACGAAGTCCAACACGAAGACACCGGACTTCAGGAGGGCACGACCGATGAAGAGGCCGCCCTTCCCGTGGTAAAGCCGAAACTCGTTGGAGTAGGAGTCGCACTCCAGGTGAATCCCCTTGGCCATTAGTTGGCTTACGCTTAGTAGGTTGTATCCCAGATTGTCGACAATGAGCACTTTGTTGAGCTGAAGTATGACGTTTGTCTCCATGGATTGTAACTGAACCACGCCTTGTCTGTTTGTCTTCAGGTTTTCGTTGTTGGCGACGGTGATGACGACGTCGCGGTTGAGGCGTTTCTCCTGTTGCACGAAGCGTCCCGAGGAGCACATGTGTTGACCGCAGCAGCTGTCCAAGAACCAGGTGTTTCGCCCGGTGGGTTCGGCGTTGGCGACCGCAGCATATGTTGGATTGACTTGAAGGCCTTGTGAGCGCGGTGGCGGCAGCTCTTCTTCGTCTGGCGCGTAGGTGGGTGGTGATCCGGGTGCGCAGTTTTCGATGTGTACCATGCAATTGATAATGTTTGGTGTTTGTTGTGCAGATGTTGAAGAGCGCCTTGGGGGACTTGCTTGAGTGGAGGCGACTTGTGGGTCTGCTGGACGGTAAACGCGAGGGCGGTTGCAGTTGACCTTGGAGTGCCCGGAAGTCTGGCAGTTGTGGCAGAACGGCGGCACGAAGGTAAGTCCCCTGTTGTCGCGTTCTTGCTTGCCGCGTCGATTGTAGGTGTTGTCGTTTCTTCGTTGAGTGTAGAAGACTAACTGTTGTTGCTTTCTTGGTTGTCTTTCTTCGAACAGGTCCATCTCCTGTTGTTCAGCGTGAAGCTCGGCGCAGAGGTGCATCTCCGAAATCCTTCCGTGGGCGCGAAGAAGCGATCGTGTGGTTCTCCATTCTGGCCCGAGCCCGGCGAGGACAAGTGTTACAAAGCTTTCTTCAGTGATTGTTCCTCCGCACCGAAGCAGGCGGTCGCGGAGGGTCTGGCAGCGACTCATATACTGCATCGCCTTTTCCCCGGTCTTCATCTGTATTGTTGTCAGTTGTTGCATGAGTCTGCTTTGTGTCACGCTGTCGTTTGCTTGGTAAAGGCACTTGAGATGGTGCCATGCGAGCTCCGCGGAGTTTCCATAGCTCCTGTATGTTCTGATGCTCTGCTGTTCTTGTGGTGACAGGTTTCTCAGGAGAACCGTATACGCCAGCAGCGACTGATACGTGAAGATTTCTTGTTCCTTTCCAGTGCCGTTGCTTGGGAATGGCAGGGACCCGTTAAAGTATCCCAGAAGATGCGCGGCCTCCATCAGCAGCTCGAACTCGAAGCTCCAGGTAAAGAAGTCGTGTCCGTTGAACGGTGAGGATGTCTGCAGTTTTATCACGTGCGAGAACTGCGCCTGGAGACTTAAGATTTCGTTTGGTGTTTGTTGTGATGCAGCTGCTGTTGGTTGGGCACGGGGCGGCATAAACTCGAACGTCCCCGGTGAAGAGTGATAAGGCGCAAAGGTAGGCGCTTGATTGTGTCGCCCAAACGATGAGTTGTCGAGGCTCATCGGCGCTAATCCCATGTTTCCTCCATTGCTTTGTGTTGAATGCGCAGATGTCCTTGTCTGCTGCTGCTGGTCGAAGTGCGACATGAAGCTGAAGAACCTTTCCATAAGATTGGGGTCCACGCTTGAAGAGGAAGATGGAGTCACCATCTCTGGTACTCTTCCCGTTGTTTCTTGAGCAGTTCCGGTCTCTGTCTGCAGTCCTGAGGTGTGCAGACCAGAGTTGCCGTGTTGAGTTTCTTGGCCGCTGGGTGAGCCCGTAGAGACTTTCTTGCCCTTGCTGTCCATGTCTTGTAATCAATGAAGTCGTTGAATTGAGTTGAGTTGCAGGTTGTTAATGGAGCGTAGTTGCTGGGAGTTTGGTCTCTGACCAGCTCTCATACCATGTTGGGCTGAGAAAAGCCCTTAGGATCTTTGCAGAGACTAAGTCCAGTTGTAGAGACTTTCAGACTTTGAGTAGTGCAGCGGAAGTTTGAGACAGTTGAACCCTTGTACTATGTGAGAACAAGTGATTGATTAAAGAAACAAGCATACAGCAATATATAGAAAATAAGAAAGCAGTTGTAGAGTACAGTTACAAGAATGGTTTATCGAGTCGCACAGCGACTCGACTGCCGCTTCGGTTACCATCCGTGATGTTGTAACGGTCAGTCGCAACCTCCAGTTGCGACCTTTCGAGTCTTTTCGCATTCTTTGTCCGCCCCCTCATGTAACCTCCGTTGACTCGCGTGCTCCCTTGTAGTCTTCCTCGAGTGCAGTGTTACGCTTCAGAAACGCTCAAGTCCTTTGAGATATTTCCAACAACACCTAACCTAACAATGTAGCACGGTCTTCTTTACTACTGAAGTACACCCACTACCACCACCCCACCACTGGTAGTACCTACCTACCTACTGTTCTTTTCAACGAGCGCCATCGCTGGTGGTTCATGGGGTTCTGTTCTGTGGCGATTTTTTCCAATGCTTCCAGGTCTGATCCTTGTACTGGGTCAGGACTCAGGACTCAGGGTCAAGCCAGGCCACTCCTGCTTGATACGAGGAGGAAGCTTTTGAGTCGACTCAAAAGAACGATCACTGTTGGTTCATGGGGTTCTGTGGTGACTTTTTCCACTGCTTCCAGATCTGCTCCTTGTACTGCGTCAGGGTCAAGCCAGGCCGCTCCTGCTTGAGGCGAGGGAGCTCCGACTCTTCGAAGGCCTGAGGTTGGGAGGACCGAAAACACAAGGTAGGGTGGTAGGGGAGGCAAATGACCCGGGTTAAGGCGGTTGGTCAAACAACAAATGGGAGGAGAGGAAAGAAGGGAGTACAGCGAGGGACAACCAACGGCCTTGGTGGATGTTGGAGTGAGGGAAGCCAAGATTCTATTTTTGAGGCGCCTCAAAAATAGACTCTTCACTTGCTAAACCGCCTTCCTAACTGCGCTCACTGGAATTCTGTCCGGTGGATGGTGCAGTGAGGGAAGCCAAGATTGAACGACAGGCTGTAACTGAAGATTGGGAAACCAACATCAGGCGCTTTCCTCACATGGTGCTGAAGATTGAACCACATGTGGCACTCTCACCTGCCTTGCGGGCCTTCCCACCCATCCTTTCCAACACCACACCACACACATCCTCTGTGGTTACAGCCAGCCCTATCCACCTTACAGACTTCTCCTTCCTCCTCCCTCCTCCCGATCTCCCAAGCTACCGACCTCCCAACCCTTTCGCCTTCCTCTCTGACCCCTCCATTTCCCTCCTCCTCTCGCCTTGTAAGCGGCTTTCATTCTCTTGTCCACGTGCTAGCTGACTCAGCGCCTCCCCCTCATCATGCACGCTCCGCGCATCCACCGACGCCACCTCCCGTTCACACACCCTCCTGCCTTCCACCTTACAATCCACCCTCTCCAAAACCCCTTCTTGCAATCATCGTCCCCTCCCCCCCCCCTCCCCCTTACCTCCCCTCCCCCCCCCCCCCCCCTCCCCCACCCCCCCCTATTTCTCTCACCTTGTAGGCGGCCTTCATTCTCCTCTCCGGGTGTTTATCCACGCTGCTGCTCCCGTCGTCCCCAGTCGCCACGCTCAGCTGGCTCAGCGCCTCCTCCACGTTTTCCACCAACTCCCACCAACTCCCCTTCAGACGCCCTCCTCCCTTCCACCTGCCTCCCTTCCACCTGCCTCCCTTCCACCTGCCTCCCTTCCACCTGACAGCCCACCCTTGCCAGACCCCTTCTTCATTCATCCTCCCCCCTGACCCCTTTCCCATCCCCACATTGCCTCCTCCCTCCCCTCCCCCCTCTCACCTTGAAGGCGGCCTTCATTCTCTTCTCCGGGTGCTTATCCACACTACTGCTCCCTTCGTCGCCAGCCGCCACGCTCAGCTGACTCAGCGCCTCGCCCACGTTTCGCGCATCCACCGCCACCGCCATGCGGTTGGTGTTTTCCACCTCTAAGATCCGCGCGTACTCCGCCTCTTCCGCCACGCGCGCGGCCTTCTTCCGCCGCTCCGCCTCCGCGCCCGCCAGCTCCTGCTGCTCGCGCTCCTTGATCCGCGCAAGCTCCGCCTGGGTTACTTTCGCGCTTCCACCACCGCTGCTGCTCCCCGCACCCGCGCGCCGAGCCCCCGCGCCAGCGCCTCCGCCTCCGCCCCCCCCCCCAGATACGCCCTTCCCCGAGATCTTGGCCATTTCCTTCGCCTCGAGCTCCTCGAGTCGCTTCTTTTCCGCGCGTTTCGCGGCGGCTTCCACGCGCTTCTGCTCGTCCTCCTCCTTTTTCTTCGCGGCGCGGCCCTTGGGGGCGTCATCCGCCCATCGCGCGTCCTCCTTGGCTTTCTCCGCCGCGCGTTTCTTATCGTCCGCCGCCGCCGCCTTGCGCTCGCGCGCTTCCTCCGCCTTGGTGTTGGGCGCTAGTTTCTTCGGCATTTTGCGCCAATGCGCGCTAGAATGCGCGCTAGAACGCGGGAAGCGAAGCAGACAGAGGGACTAACTAGGGTCCTCGTTCGGATCAAATATTCGGAACTATGACGGAATAGATCGGAGGGAGCGGCTCCGTGGAATCGGAATGGGATTCCAACGGCTCCGTGGAATAGGATTCGGGAATGGGGATGGGACAGTGTCACGTAATGGGGAATGGAGCTTGGATTAGGAGGAATCTTGGGCGTGTGCTGGAATAGCATTCCCAGAGCCGCCTGCGTATCTATCCACGTAACGCAGCCAGCTTGGATTGTGGTCCTCAGCATACGCGGTACAGCCATCGACCGGATTCCTGCACCATTCATCTGTAGAATGCAGAAACAGTTGCTAGTCCCTATAATACTAATTAGTAATAATTATTATAACACTGACATAACATAGCGATATTAGTACGGAAGACCGACATTTTTTGTGAGCATATGATCAAAACCCGAATCCAAGCATCTTCATCAGGCTGGACCCCCTCTTTTTCTCAGTAGGCGACTCGACCACAGTCGCTGCCTTCCATGCTGCATCCCTGGCCCTCAGCATCTCAATATACTGCTTCTCCTGCTTCTGCCTCGTATCCTTCAAAAACACATGCTCGTCTGTAGCCACCCTCCTTGTCTCCACTGGCACCTCCTCCAAAACTCCAACCGGCCCATCTAAACCCAAATAGGCGTTATTATCACCCAGTACACTTTTGCTCCAGGGACTCCCAGGGCTGCTTCCAGCAGCAGTAGGAGCTGCTTTGATCGAGGCGGATTGGGCAAACTTCATCCCCCAACCGCCGATGTCATTATCACCAAACGAACCAGAGCCGAAATCGGATTCTGGCTGAGAAACTGGAGCGTAGCTGGGGACTCCTGATGCTGAGCTGGACTTGGTCAGCGGGGAATGCTGCAGCAGCTTGTTCTCCTTGCCCCCTCGGCTCCTCCCCCCCTTCACATACTCCTGGACACCCTGCTCCTCCCCTTTCCACGTTCCCGCAGAATCTGGGCTTCGGCTTCCACCCTCCTTTCCAGAGCGCACCACAGGCCCAAGGGTGTTACCAGCAGGCAGAAGCACAGGGGCCTCGCCAAAGGTCAGCACCCTTGCAGGGGGACTTCGGTAATTCTCCTGCTCCTGCTGCTCATAGTCCTGCTCCTGCTGCTGCTGCTGCTGCTGCTGCTGCCCCACTCCCTGGGCTTCTCTCCCTCCCTGCATCCTGCCAAAATCGACACTCGTATTCACATCCAAGTCTGCTGCTCCCCTCTCTCCAGCTGCTGCTGCTCCCGCAGGTGCTACAGCCGCCGCGTGCCTAATTTCACTGAAGTTCCAGCACTCGAGCGAGGTCACAAGCAGGGCCTCCGGCCCCCCCAATCCGTCACTCCCGCTGCCACTCGCCCCACTCGCCCAACTCGCTTCACTACCTTCCCTGCCTCTAATGGGCGATTTGTTTCTCAGCAGAACCGGATAATCATTCTCCACCACTTTACCTGCTCTCTCACGGCCCGATGCCGCTCCTCCTCCTCCTCTTCCACTCCCAGTAGCAGCAGCATCCCCGCGCCGAGCAACAGACGCACCTCGTCCCTCGTTGGACGAGGGTGTTTTCGTCAACAGCAGTTGGGTGCTTTCCTCTGCGCTCTCCCTCACCACCACGTGTGCACTCTGGGACCGGACCACCCGCCCTCCCCTTACAAGCCCAGCAATGTCCCCCCCAGTTCGACCTCCCCCAGTATCACCTCCCCCGCTGCCTGCCCTCCTAGAAGCCAGCCCACCCCTGGCGCCAGCAGCAGCTGCACCCTGCAGGCGGTTTCCTGGAACGTTCTGGGAGACAGAGATTCGCTGCTGCCCGTTCTGCTGCCCGAGCTTGCCTGTGCGGTAGAGATCGGGGCTCGGTGCGCGGGCACGGGCGCGCGACAAAATAGCAGAAGGGGATGCTGCAGCAGAGGCAGCAGCAGCAGTAGGGGACATCAATTTCGGAGCAGCAGTTTTCACAGCAGCGGCAGCAGTAGCAGCTGTAGCAGCTGTAGCAGCTGTAGCAGCAGCAGCTGCTGCTCTAGCAGCGGATGTAGCAGTAGGGGCAGTGAGGGAAGAGGAGGAGGAGAGGGCGCGGGACACCCCACCACCAACACTGGGCCTGGAGGTGCGAGGGGCGGAGAGGGGCCGCGAGGGCATGGAGCAGGGGGAGGGTAGCTGCTCCTTCTTTTGTGCGGCCAAGGTGCTGCTTGGCGTCGCAAGGGTAGATGCTGCTGTTGGTGCTGCCCGTGCTGCTCTGGCTGAAGCAGCAGCAGCGCCAGCAGCAGCAGTGGTAGTGGTAGCGGCAGTGGTGGCGGAGTGAGAGGCAGAGGAGAGGGAGCGGCGTCGCTCGGAGAGGGAGGCAGAGGAGGAGGAGGAGCGGACGAGGGACGAGCTGCGCCTGAGCCGCTGCTGCCGCGCATCCTCCTGCTTGCGCTTCTCCTCCTCCTGCAGAGGGGAAGGGAGAGGAAAGGGGGAGGGGAAAGTAGACAGATCGGGCATGGGGTTAATTCAGGGGCCTCAAAGATCGCCTTAGGCGCTGCTGCTGCGCCTCTTCCTGCTTGCGCTTCTCCTCCTCCTGCGCAGGGGAAGGGAGGCAAATGGGAGCGGGGCATGCACAGCAGGTGAATGCAACGTTGGTGGGCCATGGGATGGGACAGGATGGGATAGGATGGGATAGGATGGGATAGGATGGGAGAAGGGTGCAACACAACCCAAGGGTGCAATGGCACAGAGGAAGTGCGAAAGGAATTGTAGGATGAGCCAGGCACAAGGGGAAGAGCAACCAAACAAGGGTGCAAGGGCACAGACGCACAAGAGAAGGGAGTGCCACTCAGCACCCCCCAGCACGTTCCCGGCGTTTGGCTGCTTCCTGCTGCTTCCTCTCCATCACGATCATCGAGAGCGAGAAGACGTAAACAGCACAAGAACCCCCCTAGCCGAGCAGGAACCAAGGGTACAAGTGTACATGCAAGAGCTGTGAACACAAACGTGCAAGACCTGTGAGCACATACCCGGCGCTTGGCTGCTTCCTGCTGCTTCCTCTCCATCACCATCATCGCCCTCTCCTGCACACTCAACATTCCGCCTCCCCCTCCCCCTCCCCCTCCGCCTCCCCCTCCGCCTCCGCCACGCCCCCTACCCGCTCCCCCCCCTCTCCCCGTGCTCCCAATACTCCTGCTCCGCGCCAAAGCGCCCATTCCGCCAGAACCCATCCCCCAAGCGCGCGCCCCAGGGCCGACACCTCCGCTCCCCCTTCCCCCCGCTCCCCTGCCTGCTCCCCCCACCCCTCCGCCACCTCTCCCCCCACCCCTGCCCGTCCCCCCGCCAGCGTCCAGGGAGTTGCGGAAAGCTTCCCCCTTCATCACGTCTTCCCCCTCTTCCTCCCCCCCAGCGCTCCCTGTCAGGATCTCCATCACTAGATCCTCACCCGCCAATCTACGGTCATTCCCAGTGCCACGTGGGCTGGTCAGACCATTCAGGCCAGTCGTGCCTCCCCTGAGCTCCGCCTCCCCCAGATAGTCCCTCCCCTCATCCGCATTGCCCCGTGGCGAGCCCTTCTTGGGAGTGGTAGAAGTCACCATTAGGATATCAACCGCCCCCCCTGCGCCGCTTGCTCCCCCTGCTCCCCCCGCCTCTCCCTCGGCTCCTCCCTCGGCTACTCCGCTGGTCCCCGCGCCCCTTCCCCCGCTCCCCGCTCTCACTTGATGCGCGGACTGAGAGCGGATGAAAGGGGAGAGATGCGAAGGCCTCGCGTTTCCGCTGCCGCTCCTATTCCCGCCCCCCATCGGGGTCCCTGCCTCCATTCTCATTCCCATTCCGGCGGCTAAGTCCCACCCACTCGCCGCATCCCTCCCTGCACTCCCTTGTTCCGCCTTCGCCCCTCTCCTCTGCAATCCCTGGACGAAATCCCTCAGCTCCTGCGACGATGCGCGCGACATCGGCGACGACGTGCGCGACCTGGGCGATGTCGCGCGACTGTTCACCGGTCGCAGCGGGCTCGCCGAGCAGCTGAGCTGGTTCTCTGCGACCGAGCTCGTGATGCTGCTATCCTCTACTAAATTCCCCCCCGAGAAAAGCACACTCGGTTCAGTCACATCGTCCCTACAAAACACCGCACTGCTCGTATCCGACAAATCCGTCCACGCTCCCGCGTTTCCCGCCACACTCCACGGCCGCTGCTGCCACGGCATCAGCCGGCTAGCCGACTTGGACTTAAACGGCCGCCGCCTTCTTGCGGCAGCGGGCGAACCGCCGCGAAACGCGGCCGGCCCAGTCCCGTACCCCCCTCCTCCGTTAGTGTCATCCGTGCTCCATTCTGATCGGTCCTCCCCGGACCACCCTCCAGGCGTGGAATACGGGCTATTATACCCCGCGAAACCGGGGGCACTCCCCCAACCACCCGCGCCCACACTACCGCCCCCGCCGCCGCCGCCGACGCTGGTTCCGCGCACCATCCCGCCGAGAGCTGCGCAGCTCATTCCGCCGCCTATTCCGCCGCCCATTCCGCCGCTGCCGCCGGTAACGGCGTAAATCTCCCCGTTAGGACCGACGAGGCCGTACGTTATAGGCGTACCCGGCGGGGGCGATATTCCCGGGCCCATAGCGCCGGGGATGGGGCCGGGGATAGCCCCGTTATACAGGGGAACGAAGGGGTAATAGCCCCCGGGAGTCCCTGTAACGGTGTTGCCGGCGACGTGGCCGTCGGGTAACCAGACTCCGCCGCCTCGCCCGCCCGCCAGCCCGAACGCCTGCTGCTGCTGCTGCTGCTGCTGCTGCTGCTGCGGCGCACCTCCCGCGCCCCTTCCCGCGCCCGCGCTTGCGCCGCCGCCAGGCTGCGCGGCGGCGGAGAGCGCAAACTGCGCGCGGGTTAGGCTTTCCGCGTAGGCGGAGTCTTGGCGGCGGAAAAGGGAGGCGAATTTGATGCACGCGTGCTTCAATCGGACGGCTCCGAAGCAATCCGCGAAGCAGAGCAGCAGCGGGAGCACGTCCGGGGAGAAGCCCGCCGCGGCTGCGCGCGCGATCGCCACGCCTTGCTCTCGTTTCAGCATCAACGCGCGCACGTCCATGGCTCTGCGCAGCCGACTGGGAAGAGAGGAGGAGAGAGAAGGAGAGAGAAGCAAGGCGATAGGGGAGTGAATTGGGGGAGGGATCGCCACCCCTTGCTCTCGCTTCAGCATTGACGCGCGCACGTCCATTGCCCTGCGCAGCCGACTGGACACGCGGAGAAAGGCGACACGCGGGGGACAAGGGGGCCCAGGGAGGTGAGCAGAGGTGATTTTTGAGTTGACTCAAAAATCACCAAGGGGGCCCAGGGAGGTGCGCAGAGCAGCAGCGGGAGCACGTCCGGGGAGAAGCCCGCCGCTGCTGCGCGCGCAATTGCCACGCCTTCCTCGCGCTTGAGCATTCACGCTCGCACGTCCATGGCCCTGCGCAGCCGACTGGGGAAGAAGGGGGAGAGAAACAAGGCGATAGGAGAGTGAATAGGGGGGGCGATGGTCACGCCTTGCTCTCGCTTCACCATTGACGCGCGCACGTCCATGCTCTGCGCAGGGCCATTAGGACTGCGCACGTCCATGCTCTGCGCAGGGCCATTAGGACTGCGCAGACGACTGTCCTTTGAGTCGACTCAAAAGTCATTAGGACTGCGCAGACGACTGTCCACGCAGAGGGAGCAGAGAAAGAGGAGTGAATGGGAGAGACATGGGGACACGGTAGAGAGCACGGCAGAGAACACGGTAGACAACACGGTAGAGAACAGCGGACAGGAGAGAAAGAACAGAGCTGCGGACACCGGAGAAAGAAAGAAGCCGCGGAGCTAGTTACTATTGACTTTACTATTGACTTTAGTATGAGCCACAAGGTATGAACCGTAGAGCTCTAACCACGCGCCCTACATGATCAGAATGTATGTATCAGTCTCACCTCACGCGCTCGCCGTTGTCGTCAGCCGCACCCCCCTTGAGACACATTCACATTCACGCGCTCACGGCAACACGGGAGCACGGCGGAACACGGACGCGCTCTACATGATCAGAATGTATGTATCAGTCTCACCTCACGCGCTCGCCGTTGTCGTCAGCCGCATCCCCCTTGAGACCGCTCTGCAGCATTCGCATTCACGCGCACACGGGAGCACGGAGGCACATACAGGGGAGGGTAGAACCATCAACGAAACCGTACCGGCCGCCGCGACATGAAGCGACATACCGTACCGGAAGAGAGGCGAAGTTCGCCAAGGGAAAAACGGCAGTTTGTGAGCGACATTCGCGCGAGCAACTCACAAGGCTGCGGACGGGCGACGGCGACCGCGAGGACGCTCGTCTGCCGGAGAGTCGGTCTCTCAGCGGCGTGGCCCCTAGCGGCAACCCCTCCTCTCGGCCACTCTGCTCCACCTGCAAAGCCAGGAGAATCGAATACAGGGGGATGGGGGATGCACAGGAGCGAGCACACATTGGTGAGGGGAGAAGGGCCTGCACTGGAGTCGGTCTCCCAGCGGCGTGGCCCCTAACGGCAACCCCTCCTCTCGGCTGCTCTGCTCCGCCTGCCAAGCCAGGAGAATTGAACACCGGAGGGTGGGAGGCGCACACGTGCGAGCGCGCATTGGTGACGGGTTCGGACGTGAGAAGGGCGTGCGCCGGAGAGTCGGGAGGGACGAGAGTAGACGAGAGTTGGGAGGGACTTGGGGTTCGGACGGGGGAAGGGCGTGACTGCGGTAGAGACAAGATTCGGGAGGGAGGGAGCGGGGAGTCGGAAGATCCGAGGGCTCTTTGATTCACCTGGAAAGAATCAGAGGCGGTTGCCCCATGCCAGGTCTCGTCCAGGTTCTGAAGCTCCGCCTCGATTGTGACTGCGATGAGAGACTCGAGTCGGAAGGGACTGGGGAGTCGAGGAGGGAGCCCCGAGGGTCCTTTGACTCGCCTGGAAGGACTCAGGCGTACCTGGACTCAGGCGTACCTGGACTCAGGCGTACCTGGACTCAGGCGTACCTGGACTCAGGTGTACCTGGACTCAGGTGTACCTGGACTCAGGTGTACCTGGACTCAGGTGTACCTGGACTCAGGCGTACCTGGACTCAGGCGTACCTGGACTCAGGCGCACCTGGACTCAGGCGCACCTGGACTCAGGCGCACCTGGACTCAGGCGCACCTGGACTCAGGCGCACCTGGACTCAGGCGCACCTGGACTCAGGCGCACCTGGACTCAGGCGCACCTGGACTCAGGCGCACCTGGACTCAGGCGCACCTGGACTCAGGCGTACCTGGAGGGAAACAGCGGCAGTCGCGCCATGGAGCGTCTCGTCCAGGTTCTGAAGCTCTGCCTCGATCGTCACCGCGTGCTCCAGTAGCCCCGGCGACTTCACGAACGTCACGATCCTGCGTGTCCGGGACAGTACGGAGATGGATGTGAGGGGGGAATGTCTCTACCATACCAAGTCTCCAAGCATCGTGACCGCGTGCTCCAGGAACCCCGGCGACTTCACGAACGCCACGATCCTGCGCGCTTAGGGGGGAAAGGTGGAAAAGCGCAGTAATGGGTGTGCGCATAACGAGCTGTTGAAGAAGCTCCGCCTCGATCGTCACCGGCGCGTGCTCCAGTAACCCCGGCGACTTCACGAACTTCACGATACAGGGATGGCGAAGGAGATAGTTTCAGCGAGTCAGCTAGTCGTTACAACCGGAAGGCACTTCAGCCGCGGGAAGAAAGGCGACACGGGTAGGGTGGGGGGGAGAGGGTTCCAGGAGGGTGGGGAGGGACGGGAAGAGACAGCGGGGGAGGGAGGGGGGAAGAGAAGCCCACCTCTCAACGGTCTTCGGGGTGAACCATCCGACAAGGGTGGCCTCCTCGGCTTGATCCGCCGCTACAGCCGGAAGGCATTACCAGCCGTTAAAAAGAAAGAGGAGTAGAGGGGAAGCGGGAAGGGGGTGTGGGGGGGGGGGGGGGGGGGAGAGAGAAAGAGAAGCTCACCTCTCGACGGTCTTCAGCGTGAACCATCCGAGGAGAATGTCTTCTTCCGCTTGATCCGCCGCCGCTGCCAGCAGGTACTTCAGCCGCTGCCGCTCCAGAAACTCGGGGCACTCGCGCGGGTCTAAGGGGGGGAGGAAGAGAGAGTGGGGGGAGAGAAGCTCACCTCTCGACGGTCTTCAGCGTGAACCATCCGAGGAGAGTGTCCTCTTCGGCTTGATCCGCCGCCGCTGCCAGCGGGTACTTCAGCCGCTGCCGCTCCAGAAACTCGGGGCACTCGCGCGGGTCGAGCTTAATTAAGTGCGCGCCGCTCTTAAACTGGTCGTCCACCGCCTTGATGTGCGACGCGAAGGGACGGATCAGCCCCGTGGACACGATAGTGGCTTCTTCGTTACAAGATACGACCACGTCGCATCTGCATCGGAACATGATATCACAAGCGGAGAAAACGAATCCATATCATGCAAAAGATGCTTGAGATGACAGTGACAATCGGGAATATGTGTGTCTTTCAAACAAATCTAAAATGAGATTAGCAACTATTGCATAATATGGATCTCATTTTGGATTTGTTTGGAAGACGTTGCACAATCTACAACAAATCCATATCTTGCAAAAGTTGCTTGAGATGACATGCCAATCGGGAGCAGCAAGTTATCTGGAGAATCTCACGAGATCTCAAACTTATTGCACGCGGCGGTGTCAGCACGGCGATGCCTGAATCGGGTTACTTCGTAACGAATCCCCATCGCACGGAGAAGAAAAATCCAATTCATGCTAAACATTAACATTGAGTAGTCTGAGTGAGGCTCACTGACCTGCTCTTAGTCGTGTTGAGCTGCAGAAGGACGTGGTCCAGGATAGAGCCTTCCATCGTCGTCAGATCAGCATTTGAGTCGACTAATAACGCATTTGAGTCGACTGAGAAGTCTTTCGAGTCGACTCAAAAGTCATCTCGGGCTCACTGACCTGCTCTTAGTCGTGTTGAGCTGCAGAAGGACATGGTCCAGGATAGAGTCTTCCATTGTTGTCAGAAAGTGTCAGCTATGGCTTCTCTTGATCATCTGCCAAGGCCAGCTATTTCTCCTTCAAATTTCCATCAGAGAATGGCTTCACCTTTTCTTCCACGTGAGGTCTAGATTCCTCAAGACAAGTAGTCTACAACACTCGAAAAACTACAGCGATTGTTCTTCCGAGGCTCCGTAACACTTTAGACCTCGTTAGGTTACTCGAGAATCCTTCAAACTACCTCACCAGGGAACAGATGGGCATGTTAGCCGAAACGGACGAGGAGAGAGGCCTGAACCGGAGGAGTCTCCTTGAGACGGAGTCTGGTGTGAAGGCATGAGAGAAACGAGGAGTCTGGTCCACCGGAATTCAGCTCAAGAATGAACTGTCAAGGCTAGCGGAGTGTACGGTGTTGAATGCCACTAGAAACGAGGACGCATCAGCAGCTGCGGAGCATGGCGGTTTGAAGGAATCAATTGAGCAACCCAACAGGGATGATGCCGACTGCATCATTCCCCATCTACGCTGGACGCTGAGCCATGCCGAGCTGAAAAGGTTTGGGCTTCCAACGGACAGGAGCGAGCCATACCCGTCACGCATGGGGTCCGCTTCTCACCCATCACATGCTGGGGGGCGAGCTTCTGCGACTGGCGGTGCTATGTAGGCTGGATGCTGGCTGGATGGTGGATGGTGGATGGTGGATGGTGGATCAGGGAACGAAACTGGAGGGATGGAGCGGGTTGGGATGGAGCGGGTTGGGATGGACCACAAATGCAGCCATTGTCAGAGATAACAGATTGTTGACTTCGATGGGGGAAGCTTGATGGGAGGAGGGATGGCATGGTGGTGTCTCGCCAAGTGGTCCCGCGGCAGTTCTCGGTGTCACCGTGGGGGTAGTAAATATTCTTCCGGAGATCCAAGGGGTAAGCGGAGAAGGTCTATTATGGAAGGAGGAACCCGGATTTACGCCCAGAAACGCACTGGTCTGGCTGGATCCGGCTGCGAATAGCGTCAGGAGGAAGGTCCAAACCAAACCGTTCACAAAAGTTAAATAAAATGAACGGAAGAGGGAAAACTCGGGCATGCCTAGAAGGTCGAAGGGGATGCCGGAATTCATTCTTGAGGGGCTGGATGTACCCGCATTTTTTGGGTGTGAAATGAAAGTCGGTAGCACAAAAAATGTGTCTCCAAGGGAAACGGAAATCTCGAGGTATGTTTCACTCGAAGCGCTCTGATTTGAGCAACCTTGCGGTGCGGTGAAATGGGCGGGAAAGTGATTTGTCAGAAGTCGGCACTCCCATATTCGACTGGGCGACGGCGAACGACTCCGAACGACGCCGCGCAGAGGTCGCCAACCAGGACCTGTGAACCGCGCTCTGCGACTACGACTGCGGCGACTTTGGTTGGCTCACCCCGCCCAACCCAAGGATGCCATGCGATGCAGGACAGTATTTGGAAACAAGTGGTGAAACTCCCATGCGACTGTAGCGACAATTCCTGCAACTACCGTATACACTAGCTCCCACTGAACGGTTTCCTTACGCTCCCACTAATTCTTGTTACCCCAGGCTAAGAATCAGCCTAATATGTAAAAGTGAACTTAAATAATATACAGAACCCTGAACACCCCTATCTATGGAGCCCTAAAAAACATCCAGATATCACACACAAGTACTAGATCTGATTCTATGCTCTTCTACAGCCATGTGAAAAGTATGGTCGAAGGACAGCTTCCAGGTCGTGGACTCGAACGGGTTTCGTGAGGAAAGCGTCCATCCCTATGCTTGCACACTTGTCACGTTCATGTTTGAGTGCACTTGCTGTAAGTGCTGTGATGAGGGGTCTATTCATTGTAGTGCTAGGAGGCTTGAAGAAATACCTGCTGTTGCTGCTGATAACGGCACCATGTTCTAGCGATGCGTTAGGTGGTGATGGTGATGTGCAAGGTGGTGATGGTGATGTGCTGCCGTTCACTTGAGAAAGCTCTCGGATCCGCCTGGTTGCCTCATAACCATCCATCTCTGGCATGTGCACATCCTGCAAAACCGTTGAGAGAACAAAGGCACAAAAAAAGGAGGACTGGGGAATGCATGGATGGAACCGGACTGAAACCACACATGCAGGCAGGCCACACGAGGAAATAGCCACAGCGCATCATCACCAGGCATGAATTAGGTGATTTTTAAAATTATCACAAATCACCGGGCATGAAAAGAGAAACGTGGCGTGGTACCACAAAGACAGTCGCACCATGAAGATGACATCGTAGTCCTTCTCTTGGCATGCTGCCACAGCCTTGACCCCATCCTCTGCCACATCACAGGTCACCTGAAGGCTGCCCAGCAGCCGCACCACAACCATTCGATTCACAGGGTTGTCCTCCACCACCAGACACCTCAGCCCTGCAAACGAGGTCAGCTCTGCAGTAGGTGGCGCTGCTGTGGACTGGGAGCTGCTGGGAGCACGACCAGGTGGCACTATGGCGGCGGCACCAGCTGCAACCCCGAGTGAACTCGAACCAGAGAGACCAGGTGGATTGGCATGTGGGATAACGAATGAGCCCTGCCTCGTGGCAGGGGAGGATCGGAGGTGAGTGTGAGGGAGGAGGGGTCCAATGGAAGTGGTGGGGACGGGAGGGCTTCTGGAAGGAGGGAGAAGCGGTTGTTTGCTGGTGAAAGGGGCAGTAGGCACAGGAGGAGGATGGAGGGTTCGGGTTTCTGGGGATGTGGATAGGGGGGCCCAAGTGCTATGGCTAGGGTGGGAGCCTTCGGATGCCGACACGGGAGTTGGAGCGATAGTTGAAGTGAAAGTGGGGATGCTGTTAGTAACAGTTGGGTTTCGGGTGGTAGTGGCAGCAGTGATGGTGGTGGTTGTGTTGGTGTGTGTTGCAACAAGAGCGGGGTCGCTGCTGCTGCTGCTGCTAGTACTGCTGAAGGGATGTAACTGGCTCAAGGGCTGATTACCAGGCGCAGGGGAACCAAGCAAAACAGGCGTCTCTACTTTGCCTGTGCCTGAGCCTGAGCCTGAGCCAGTTCCTGCTTTCCCTCCTGCGCTTCCACCTATGCCTACCTCTCTGCACCTAGTAGCATCACGAGTGTGTGTGGCCCCAGGAGCTTCCAAGGAGGTTTCAGGGGGGAGAGTGAATGGCAGGGCGAAGGAGAAGCAGGAGCCCTGGCCTGGGAGAGAGGAGGCGGAAATGGTTCCCCCCATTAGGGTGACAAGAGACCGGCAGATGGCCAGACCAAGCCCGGTGCCTCCGTACCTCCGAGAGGTTGACTTGTCGGCCTGTAGGGGGTGAGGGAGAAAGGGTTGGGAGAATGAAGGAGGGAGGAAGCGGAGATGGTTTCCCCCATGAGGGTCACAAGAGACTGGCAGATGGCCAGACCAAGCCTGGTGCCTCCGTACCTTCGAGAGGTGGAATTGTCGGCCTGTAGGGGGTGAGGAAGAGAGGGAAAGAGGGAGAGAGGATAGGAGGGGGAGAGGGTTGGGGGGATAGAGGAATGGAGGGAGAGAGGGTTGGAGGGATAGTGGAATGGAGGGAGAGAGGGTTGGAGGCATAGAGGAATGGAGGGAGAGAGGGTTGGAGGAATAGAGGAATGGAGGGAGAGAGGGTTGGAGGCATAGAGGAATGGAGGGAGAGAGGGTTGGAGGGATAGTGGAATGGAGGGAGAGAGGAATGGAGGGAGAGAGGAATGGAGGGAGAGAGGAATGGAGGGAGAGAGGAATGGAGGGAGAGAGGAATGGAGGGAGAGAGGAATGGAGGGAGAGAGGAATGGAGGGAGAGAGGAATGGAGGGAGAGAGGAATGGAGGGAGAGAGGGTTGGAGGGATAGAGGAATGGAGGGAGAGAGGGTTGGAGGCATAGAGGAATGGAGGGAGAGAGGGTTGGAGGAATAGAGGAATGGAGGGAGAGAGGGTTGGAGGCATAGAGGAATGGAGGGAGAGAGGGTTGGAGGGATAGTGGAATGGAGGGAGAGAGGAATGGAGGGAGAGAGGAATGGAGGGAGAGAGGAATGGAGGGAGAGAGGGTTGGAGGCATAGAGGAATGGAGGGAGAGAGGGTTGGAGGAATAGAGGAATGGAGGGAGAGAGGGTTGGAGGCATAGAGGAATGGAGGGAGAGAGGGTTGGAGGGAGAGAGGAATGGAGGGAGAGAGGAATGGAGGGAGAGAGGAATGGAGGGAGAGAGGAATGGAGGGAGAGAGGAATGGAGGGAGAGAGGAATGGAGGGAGAGAGGAATGGAGGGAGAGAGGGCTGGGAGAATGAAGGAGGGAAGAGGCGGAGATGGTTCCCCTCGTGAGGGTCACAAGAGACCGGCAGATGGCCTGGCCCAGCCCTGTGCCTCCGTACCTCGGATTTTTCAGCCTGCGGGCAGGGACGGATGGGGAGGAGCAGAGAGAGCGGGCTGGGAGAATGATGAAGTTGAGAGGTGGCGATGGTTCCTGCCATGAGCGGCACTAAGGACCTGCAGATGGCCAGGCCCAGGCGTCTCGGAGGCACCAAGTACCTCCGAGACGTTGAATTGTCACCTGCAGGCAGGGAGGGAGGAGGAACGGGGCCAGCGAGCATTACCAAGTGACGGTAGGAGCCCAGGCAAGCGGAAAACAGCAAGGATGGAGATGTGTAGAGGTGGAGCCTTGCACATCTCGAAGGAGCGAGGGAGGGAGGGAGGAAGAGAGGGAGGGAGGGAGGGAGGGAGGGAGGGAGAGAGGGAGGGAGGGAGGGAGGGAGAGAGGGAGGAGGAACAGAGGGTGCACAGACAGGAGCACAGATTGAGGACTGTTAGTGTCCTCTCACCTCACCTGCATGAAAGGCTGGAACAGCTTCGGCAGCATCTGCTGGGGAATGCCGATTCCCGTGTCGGACACCTCAAAGCGCACCATCACCACCCGTGGCTTCCCTGGAGGTCCCTCCACCGGAGCATGCCTCGCTGCAGGACCCTCTATCGGAAAATGCTTCTGGGGTGGACCCTGAATCTGCTGCTCTGTGCTGAAGGACCCTGCCTGGTCGCCATGCTGTGCCTCTGCTGCATCAGCTGCAGCAAGATTGAGACCTCCTGCTCCTCCTCCTCCTGCTGCTGCTGCTGCTGCTGCTGCTGCCCCTCTTCCTACTGCTACTGCTGCAGCTGTTGCTGCTGCTGGCCCCGTTTTCTCCGCTGCAACACCTGATGCCAGTCCCAGAACAGCCGTCCCATGCTCACTACTAGGCCCTCCACCAGCTCCACCTGCTCTGCCGTCTCTTTCTCTTCTTGCTTGCACTCGCCCATTTTTCCCGCTTGCCCCTTCTTCTGGCTGACAATCGCAGGCCCCACTTCTCGGGCCGGACTCCAGCCGTGCCTTGTCATTCTCAGAGCCCAATTGGCCCACGTCGTGGCTCGAGGCGGCACCTCCGTCCTCATATTCGAATCTTGCCCCCGTTGCCCGCGCCTCACCCCTACTCTCACACCTCGCTCTCTTTCTGTTGCTCTCTTTGAGAGGTGCCTTGAGTCCTGCTGATGCTGCACCGGGCTCCGCTGATTCTGCTCCTGCCTCTGCTGACGCTGCTGCTTGCTGTGCTGACACTGCTACTGGCTCTGCTGACGCGGGCCCTCTCTCAGCTGGGAGTGCAATAGGCTCGGCTGTTGCTGCTTGTGGCTCTGCTGCCGCTGCTGGAATTTCAGACGATGTTCCCAAGGTCACACGTAGTTTCACATGGCCCCTGTTGCAGGGAGAAAGAAAATCTTGTCATTGAGTGGACTCAGACACCTGGACAAAACACCTGAAGGTGGACTCAGACACGTGGACAAAACACCTGACAGTGGACTCAGACACCTGAAAGCTCCTGATACAGTACAACGCACGTGGAGGTCAACTACCTGGAGGTGAATGTAAAGGCGTTGGAGAGAAGGTTGAGCAGCACTTGGCGCAGCCTGCTGGGGTCCCCAAGCACACAGCATGGTGCCTGTCTGGCAACGACATTGACGGCAGTTGAGAGTAGACCCCTGCCTCACCCCAAAGCTCACCTGGAGGTGAACTTGATGGCGTTGGAGAGGAGGTTGAGCAGCACTTGGCGCAGCCTGCTGGGGTCCCCAAGCACACAGCATGGTGCCTGTCTGGCAACGACATTGACGGCAGTTGAGAGTAGACCCCTGCCTCACCCCAAAGCTCACCTGGAGGTGAACTTGATGGCATTGGAGAGGAGGTTGAGCAGCACTTGGCGCAGCCTGCTGGGGTCCCCGATTATGCATGAAGGAACGGTGGGATCCACGTCGACGAGAAGCTGGGCGGTAGGAAGGGTTCAGATCAGAGGGGTGCGACGAGGAGCACATGGGCAGGAACAATGAAACACTTGGCGCCGCCTGCTGGGGTCCCCAACCACACATGAAAGGACGGCCGGATCCACCTCCACACGCTGCTGGATGGTGAAGAGGGTGCAGAGGAGTGCAGAGGGCTAGAGAGGGGTGCAGCAAGGAACAATGGAGCACAATGAAACACCAGGCCTGCCTGCTGGGGTCATCCGCCCACCCCACCCCACCCCACCCCACCACACACGATGGCACAGCTGGATGCACGCACCTCCACTCGCAGCTGGATGGTGGAAAGGGTGCAGAGGGGTGCAGAGGGCTGCAGTGAGGAACAATGGAGCACAATGAAACACCAGGCCCGCCTGATGGGGCCCCCCACCCAAGCTACCACCACTCACAATGGCACGGCTGGATGCATGCACCACCACTCGCAGCTGCATGGAGATGGAGAGAGGGACATGGCACCTCGGTCGGTGCATGCATGGTGGGGGGGAGACGTGCGAGGGCGGAAGCCAGAAGCGGGGGTGGGGGACGTGGCAGTGATGGAACAGGGTATGTGTGTGTGGGGGGGGGGGGGGGGGGGGCATAATGGGGGGAAGAGGGTGAGAGCATACCTGAATGCCTTTCTGAAGCAAGAGGACTCTGCTTCGGGCTCGGCCACTGCCGCCCTCAGATCGAACGGCACACACTCCAGCTGCAGTGAGCGACTGGGAGAAAACATACCTGAAGAGGGGAGAGAGCATACCTGAAGGGGGAAGAGCATACCTGAAGAAGGGAAGAGCACACCTGAAGAGGGGAGAGAGCATACCTGAAGAGGGGAAGAGCATACCTGAAGAGGGGAAGAGCACACCTGAAGAGGGGAAGAGCATACCTGAAGAGGGGAAGAGCACACCTGAAGAGGGGAAGAGCACACCTGAAGAGGGGAAGAGCATACCTGAAGAGGGGAAGCGCACACCTGAATAGGGGAAGAGCATACCTGAAGAGGGGAAGAGCACACCTGAAGAGGGGAAGAGCACACCTGAAGAGGGGAAGAACATACCTGAAGTGGGGAGGAGCATACCTGAAGAGGGGAAGAGCACACCTGAAGAGGGGAAGAGCACACCTGAAGAGGGGAAGAGCACACCTGAATAGGGGAAGAGCATATCTGAAGAGGGGAAGAGCATACCTGAAGAGGGGAAGAGCACACCTGAAGAGGGGAAGAGCATACCTGAAGTGGGGAAGATCATACCTGAAAAGGTGAGAGCATACCTGGATACCTTTCTGCAGCACGAGGACCCGCACTGTGGACTCGGCTTCAGCTACCGCCACCCTCAAATCGAACGGCACCGACTCCAGCTGTAACGAGTGCGCCTCAATCTTGCTGATGTCCAGCACGTCCGAGATGATCCTCAGCAGCGCGTCCCCAGACGTGCGGATCACCTCGAGGTACGACCGCTGCTCGTCGGTCAATCCTGTCCTTAGAAGCAGGTCCGCGACACCGATCACACCGTTCATTGGCGTGCGGATCTCGTGGCTGATCTTGGCGAGAAACTCGCTCTTGGACTCGTTGGCTCGCTCCGCGTTGTCCCGCGCTTTTCTGAGGGCCTCCTCGTGCTCCTTCGTATCAGTCAGGTCGTGCCACACTGTTACAAAGTGGCTGCGGCCGTTGGCTTGCACACACTGCCAGATGTGGGGTGGAGTGAGAGGAGAGCGGGCCGGGAGGGGGGGAAGCGAGTGAGAGAGGGGGGTGTGTGGGCAGGGAGGGGGAAACATGATCTCGTGGCTGATCTTGGCGAGGAATCCGCTCTTGGAATCGTTCGCTCGCTCAGCGTTGTCCCAGGCAGAGGGAAGCGCCGCCTTGTGCTGCTATATGTCGGTCAGGTCGTGCCATACTGTCACAAAGTGGCTGCGGCCGTTCGCTTGCACACACTGCCATACACAGGTGGAGTGAGAGGAGGAGGAACAGGGGGCGGGGGGAGGGGAGGTGGTGGGGGGGTGAGACGAGGCAGGGGGGAGGGGGGTGAAGAAGGGCGTTCATTGGCGATCTCGTGGCTTGGGTGGAGTGAGAGGGGAGGAGGGGTGGGTAGGGGGGTTTGCAAGGGGGGGGGAAGGCGGATCTCGTGGCTGATCTTGGCCAGGAACTCCCTCTTGGACTCGCTCCGACTTGCCCCTGAGCCTTTCGAAGCGACTCCTCATGCTGCTTTGTGACCAGACTAGACCAGAATGATTCTGATGATTCGCATCAGAAGACTAAAGAAAGGAGAAGAGCTCCATTGAGCTTCACACATGACCATCCTGCAGAGCACCATGGTCAGCTCAGACCACGCCACACCCACACAGGCCAAGAAGGCAGACCAAACGCACCTGAAAGATCACAAGGACAGGAATGATGAGGGAGGGGTCGTTTCGACACATAGTCGGCTTTTGAGTCGACCCAAGAACGCACCTGAACTTTCACGAGTACGGGAATGATGGATTTGTCCGACGCATAGTGCCACCCCTTGCCGATCGCAGAGCCTCCAGGGAGCACTATGCTCAGACCACGACACACCGTGACAGACAAACCAAACGCCCCTGAACTTTCACGGGGACGGGCATGAGGGATTTATCTGACGCGTAGCCGGCTTTTGAGTCTACCCAAGAACGCACCTGAACTTTCACGAGGACAGGAATGAGGGATTTATCCGACGCATAGTGCCACCACTCGCCGATCGCAGAGCCTCCAGAGAACACCGGGCGGCGGAACTCATCCAACTTGTCGAGGGATCTCGTTCCATCCGGCTGGAATTCCGGCGTCAGGCTTGCCACGTCCACCTTTCCCGCTATCTCGGATTTGTCATTGAATTTCAGGATCTTGACGGCTGCTTCGTTGCAGTCCTGAATGACCATGCCGTCAGAAACTATAAATACCGGGTCCTGGAAAGTACAGATAGAGGCACGGAGAAAAAATGCCATGAAAAAATGGTAACTCAGGCGCGTAATGTCAATGGTATGGACCCTACGGTCCGTTCGACGTGCGCAGCATAACCCGAATGGGGCATCGGTTGCATGCGAGCTTGACAAATCTGTGAAATTGCAGACATTCTCTCACCGCCCTTACCATTGACATTTCAAATATTCTTCTGAACTTCTCATTCTCCAGTCCAGTCTTGAGACTTTCTTCAACCAGATTAAGTCTGTAGAGAAATGTCTCTGGGTCTTGGTATAAAGATGGCGGATCGAAGTCTCCAAAAGATGCTCCACAGAGCCCAAAACACCGTCCGAGCCCTTCCAGAAGCCGCTTCTGCAATAATCGCAGCAGAGTTAAACGGGCCGGTAAGGCCAGACAAGAGACGTACTGATCGCGTGCGTTGTAACATCATTATGAATAACTGAAGAAACCGAAGAACGGCGACAAAATACGGGGTGGAGGAAGGGAACAAAGGTTGGCACTCTCAAGGAACATGCAATGGTAGCAGTGACTGCGCCGTGTGAGACCCAACCTCTGCGGCTTTCCGCGTTGAGATGTCATGGAACATGCAGTAATAGGACGAGACTGGTCCATCTGTGGAATGGTCTGCTAGAGCCGGTCGCATGGAGACGTCAAACCATGCGACGACGCCATTGTGACATCTCAGACGAAGCTCGAATGCTGTTTTGTGTACTAGAGCCTTCTTGAGCGCACCCTGCGTGAAAATCGAACGGACAATGGTGGTTTGGTATCGGTGAAACGAATGCACAAAGCCGGGCCACATCCGAGGGACGCCTTATCATGGGGAACTCCGCAGCTGACGCAGTACACAGATTCTTAGTCTTATTCGGGTACGTCTATCGAAAACATCTCAGTGACATGACAGGACAAGATGCTACGTGCCTGAAAACAGCTCCTGTCGCTGTGGTGTACAATCTCTTCGAACGGACGGTGGAGGAGATCGCTCTCCTCATAACCAATCGTTTTGCAAAACGCCGAGCTGCAGGTACCATGATACAGTAGCGGTATTTTGTTAGAGTAAGAAAAGATGGCAAAATAAGGTGACTTGAGTCGACTCAAAGACGATGAGTTGTCGCAAAAGATAGGAGTTTTCAGCAGCACACCTGCAATCCGTCAGCTCGCCGTGCGTGGAAATTATGGCGACACATGCAATATCTGAAAGCGCCGCCTGTTGTGATAAACCCAACGCCATATTTTCCTTGCTACGAAGGGGGTCTGTTTCCACGCAGTCCAGATTGTAGAGAAAGCCGGGAAGCTCCAGCATCGAATCTGCCTACCCAACATTCACGTCAGATTGACAACGGGTCGTAGATACTGTCTGATCAGCGGAATGCTTTGCCCTGAAGTTCGACTACTGTAGGTTAGGGGTTGAGTTGAGTTGAGAGTCACTCGATCCTTGCTCGGAGGACCTCGGTGGATAGGTAGTAGTGATCCCTCATTGATTTGATGCTGCCAGGGAATTGCTTGCCTGCTTGTTTGCCTGCTTGCTTGCCTGCTTCCTCTGCCTCCTCCTTGTCAAATCTGATCCGTGGCCTCGTTCTGCTCAGGAAGTCAGGAGGCACGGCAGACAGCAGCGATGGTGTTCACTGTGCAGAAGCTTGTGGTTGGCACTGAGGGAGAGAGGCTTGGATCGGGTCGATCTGCGCCGTTGGTTACTGAACACGTGGCTCAGTGTGCTCTGTGGTGGTTGTTTGTGCTGACTAGCCACCAGCCGAAAGGTGAAACACGCCTTTGTCGTGAGCCATTGCTTCCAGCATCACGTCTCACGTCGTGCCTACAACACTCTGCTCGTGTGGTGGGCGGGCACTGCAAAAGAATCTGGCATGGATGTGTACATAATTGTACACGCATTAGTGATCGCGCTAGTGAAATGAAACACATAAAAATCTTATCAGTTAAACGGACTATGTACACATCAATCAATCAAATGCTTCCTCTTCATTTGTTGTGAGCTATCCGCACACGATTTGGGACAAGCTCAACAAGCGCTGAAAAATATATCACTCCATGTCATCCTGCTCAACAACATGATCCTCGCAACCACCTTGCAGCAAACTGCAAGGTTCAAGCACGCTCACAAGATGCCGTAATCTAACAGGCTTGGTCAAGAAAGCATCCATTCCAGCTTGACCACATTGGTCGCGATCATGTTGTAGAGCACTTGCTGTCAGTGCCACAATCACAGGCCGGCTCAGAGAATGGTACTGCTTGAAGAAGCACGTCATCTGGAACTCACTTCCCTTCCAGCACTCACGGCAAATTCTGTTCGTTGGATCGTTCTTGAGCTGGCGAATTCGTTGAGTCGCTTCAAAGCCATCCATCTTTGGCATGTGGACATCCTACACGCAGTACCAAATTAAGGAGACAGAAAGAACACTGAACCAAAGCAAAAACCACAAAACGGAAACAGCACAGCACCCCTCATTTCCTGCTTTCTCCCCCCTTCCCCCTTCCCCTTTTCCCTTCACCTTTCCCCCTCCGGCCCTCCAGATGGTGACTATTACCATGAATATCACGTCGTAGTCCTTCTCTTGGCATGCTGCCACAGCCTTGACCCCATCCTCTGCCACATCACAGGTCACCTGCAAGCTACCCAGCAGCCGGACCACAACCATTCGATTCACGGGATTGTCCTCCACCACCAGACACCTCAGCCCCGCAAACGAGGACAGCTCTACGGACGGAGAGGATGACTCCAGGGATGCTGAGTGGGGTAATGCGACATGCAGGGGAGGAAGGTGCACTGATGCTGCTGGCAGTCCAGGGACAGGATTACCCTTTCCTGAGGTGGACATCTGGCCTGATGGCGGCGCAGCTTGCTCTGGTACTTGAAATGGTAGTGTGAAGGAGAAGGTTGAGCCTTGACCGAGTGTGGACGAGATAGATATTTTACCCCCCATGAGGACCACAAGGGACTGGCAGATGGCCAGTCCTAGCCCCGTGCCTCCGTATTTCCTTGAGGTTGACTCATCTGCCTGCAGGGGAAAAAGCTGGGTATTAGTACATCTGTTTGAACTGGCTACTACGAACTGACAGAAACCAACCATAGCTGTGCATGTACCTGTGTGAACGGCTGAAAAAGCTTGGGAATCATGTCCTCAGAAATTCCGATTCCTGTGTCCGAAACCTCAAACTGAACGAGAGTAGTCGAGGACTCAAGGTCGCTTCGCACTGCGGAATCCTCATCATCTGCCTGTAGCCTTATCCGCTTTCCCACCTCCTTCCCCTCAACCCCTGCCATTCAGCAAGGAGAAATCGTAACCTAAAATCATACAGGATAACAAAAATTCTAAGGTCACAGGATCATAACTGACATGATGAAGTGCATGGTGAGAGACGGGGGTTGACTGCCAGTGAGTCCTTCGAGCCCTTGATGGTAGCTCGTAGATCAATTCTGCCACTGTTAACAGGAAAACGGAAGTCAACTCTGAAGCATGGAAAAGCTATATTACTATGAAGCAACGTTACACAGCCTGAGATGAATACCTCTCAGTGAACTTGATTGCATTTGAAAGCAAGTTGAGCAGAATCTGGCGAATTCTGGTAGGGTCCCCAATGACCTTGGAAGGAAGCGCATCCTCGACAAAAACATTGAGCTGTTGACACGACAGAACATGCAAATGAAAGATGAAGTGCGTGTAGTGAAGGTTTTGCCGTGCGACAAAAGCCAATACGCTACATACCTCTAGATTCTTCTGGAGTGTTAGCACCCGAACTGATGACAGTGAGTCATCAATAGCATCCTGGAGGCTGAAAGGTATCGACTCGAGCACTATAGAACGGGCCTCAATCTTGCTGATATCAAGCACATCAGAGATGATGTTTAAGAGAGTATCTCCTGATGAGCGAATCACCTCCAGGTACGATCTCTGCTCCTCTGTCAATTCAGTCCTTAAGAGCAGCTCAGCAACACCAATGACGCCTGCCACATTCAGACAACAAACGTGGAAACTAAATTTTCAGGTTCAGCCTTTCAAAGGGAAGCTCCTGGCGGATCCATCAAACAATCACCAACCATTCATAGGTGTCCTTATTTCATGGCTGATGTTGGCCAGAAACTGGCTCTTGGCTTGGCTAGCGGCCTCTGCAGCCTCCTTCGCTTTCTCGAGCTCCGCCTCACGTTTCTTAATTTCAGTCAGGTCATGCCAGACACAGACCATGTAATTCTTCCCATTGGAAACGACGTTCTGTAGAGATGAGAGAAAAACGTTAGTTGATTCTCGAGGAAAAGACCAAGGCTAGTAACAAGGACGCAGAGAGAACGTACCTGAAGCTTCACAAGCACTGGAAAGAGGGTCCCCTCAGCATTGTAGTGCCACCATTCTCCCGTGACCGTTTCCCCAGCGAACAAAGGCTGGCAAAACTTCTGGAGCTTATCTATTGTCCTCGAGCCATCTGGCTGAAATTCTGGAGACACCATCGGCACAGTGAGCTTATGTACAATCTCGGACATGTCGCTCAGCTTCAAAATGCGAAGAGCAGCATCATTACACTGGTGAACCGTCGTGTCCTCTCCGATCAAGAATATCGGGTCCTGCGCAGGGAAGTGACGCTTGGTAATGTTCTTTGAAGGAACAAACTACAACCATGACAATTGAGAACGAACTTACCATGGACATCTCAAATATCCGCTTGAACTTTTCGCTTTCCAACCCCGCCTCAAGGGCTTGCCTCAATTCTATTACTTGCTCCCTTAATTCCTTAGCATTCGGTGCTTGCCCTTGTGACGAATTCGACCGTAACTTAGCAAGAGCGAAGCACTCGTCAAGAGATTCCCTGGCAACATCCTGCGCGAAGATATGGCTACGTTAAGAATACGTGGAGAAGAACAAAGGAACGCAGGTAACGAAAATCATGTTCTGACCTCGAGGCGTCTCCATCTAGAAATGTCGTGAAATGTGCACAGAATCCCAGCTGTTTCGTCGTCAAGACCGCATCTTGTTAAAGTCGTTTCGAACCATGCGCAGTCACTCGAATTGCGTAAGATTCGCAGGTCTATGCTTGTACTCTCCTTCGCCGCCCTGAGCGCATCCTGCAGTTACTAATACACGCTTATCAGACGAGACAAATGAATTTTATAAGTGCCATCGCTGGTGATGCTTTACCTGTACGCAATCTCTCTCATCCCCATGTACGTAGTCCACCAGAATTTTGCCAACCGCTTCCTCCTCCGCCAAGCCTAGTATCTCGCAAAAAGCAGGAGTGCACTCCTGAATCTTGCCATCTGATGACAGAAGTGCTGCTGGAGCGAGGCGTTCCAGTCCTAGAAGCAACGGAGAAACTTGGATCGCCATCTAAAGCACCTTCGTCTGCTTCGTGGAACGAGTTCGGAGTACTGTGCTTAACCTAGTAGTAATGAGAACGGGTTTCAGGAGAGCTACCTAGTAATTCATTGACACGGAAGAGCGCTTTGCTCAACCCACTACGGTACTGCACAATAACAAGACTACACCATGACACTAGTGTTTGCTTCTTAGGAGACGAAGTGCTCGCTATTCAAAACAGAAGTGATGAATGCCATGCAAGCCAACCAACCATCCATCCAGCCACCCTGATTCCCGAACTGAGGGCGTGGAACCTACAGTTCCGAACTCCTGAAACTCTGGACGGCGAAGGTGGTAGAGTGATTTTCCAAACGGTTGACGTATTCAAGTTAGATAACTGCGTGGTACAGTGTGGTGGAAGTTCGGACGAAGGCTGTTCGGAACTGTAAGTTCCACGCCCTGATCACTGGTGCTGTGCTGCTGCTTGCTTGCAGCACTTCCTTGCCCTGCTTCTGTTGCTTGCTCACTCACCAAAGAATCAGCAGCAGCAGCATACCCGCTAAGACGCATACCGAGCTGACGTCAACAACCACCTTCTGTCCTGAACGGCCCGAACTGTTGAACCTGCAAAGTTGACGACTGTACAAAAAGTCCCGCCACTGAACAGCCAATAGGAGATCGAAATGCATGAACAACATGGGGACCTCGTTGGTACAAGGAATGAGTAATTCCTTACTGAGGCTTGCTACAAGGCGTACGACTCGAAGAGTTTCGAACCAGCGATAGGGTTCCAGACCTTTCAGCTCGAGCCTCCAGGACCATTCCGGACCTCGCTTCGACACATCGACGCCCTTCGATACCTTTCCCGAACCTTCCAATCCTACGTCCAAGATCACCCTAGGTTTTCTATGTATTGTGTTGTCTTTCATTTTATTGTCATTCACTCGTTCACAGTTTCGCCATTGCCCTCCGCGCTACTCGGAAGTCCCATTCATAACAGTTGGAATGGAAGAATATCACCTAGTATACACTACGAAAAGTACGCTGCATTGATAATTACTTAGAATAGAAGGCTAGAGAACTTGTCGTTGACTTTCCATATGATTTTGGTATGTAAGGGCGTGCCACTAAAATTTGTTCTGGCAAAATACCATACTGAACCGTTCTAGATTTTTAATTGACCGTTCCAGAACGTAAAATGGATTTTAGAACCGTAATAGGACGTACTTTAGTGACACGCCCTAAATAACAACCTAGGGTTGGATTTTTACACGACAGAAAAAAGAATGCGTAGACAAACATGCTGGTTGCTACTCTTACCACCAGCTCGTAGCCTAGCATGTCTTGGTCACGTTTTTTTTTGTTGTGATATAATTGATACTTAGCATTTCTGTAAGTCGATTAAGTGTAGTTAGTGTCGAATCATACTGTAGAAGATAAATCCGTAAGTATGACGTCAGCAAATAGCGCTCGTCATAGGACAGTCATTTCAGTCACGCGAACAGTCGCATCTCTTCATTATCATCTAGGGCGCATAGCGCAATAGTGAAGAAAAGGTACATTAGCGAATAGGTACTTTTCCTAGAACTATAAATCCTTGTTAGGTCTTTTTCATTATTAACTTTGCTTACTCACAAGTTCACATACTGAGGTTATTCAACCTTGACCTTTACATTTTACAAGACTTCCGCTGTCTTACTAACTAGTCTACCATTCCAGCAAAGATCCTGGACCAACACTTGAGGATTTGCCAAGTGTTCGCATTTATAGTTTTATACTTAGTCTCTTACAACATCAGACGATTTATTTCACTTTCTACACAACAGCCCTACGCAAGAACAAATGTGGCGGTACATGTTGCTTGCTAGTCTTGCCACCAGCTGGTAGCCTTGCCTGTCTTGGCCACCTTGTCAAAGACATCCTGTGGTTTCACGTCACCCACAACAGTCACCTTCTGCTTCTCTAGGCTGATGTCAAATGACTGCACGCCTGTGGAAAGGCAAATGTGTGGAAGAACGAGCATTTGGGTAGCGAGTTAAAGTATGGCGAGGTTACGAGAGAGGCCGAAGAGGGGGAAAGGAAAAAAACAAAAGGGGAGGAAGCGGAATAGCGTTGACGAGGAGAACACACGGATGGTGGCGAGGGAGAGGGTGGCGTAGCGAGTGTCAACGCAGGGATTCAGCTGGGACAGAAGTACGCTAATACGTGGCGCTGTTCGCGAAAATTCGCCTACCTTCCATCTTTTCCAGAACGCGCTTCACAGCAGCAGAGCAGCCACCACACGGCATCGCAACCTTCAGGTGAACCGTCTGCACGTGCGGACACATCGGGACCCGATCATCAGTATATATTTTCCGAAGGTACAGGTCGAGTAGAGGCGGAGGAGGGTTCATCAGTTCCGAGCGAGGCGAGCGGATAGCAGAACGGAGGGAGTACAAACCTGAGTCATCTTGTCCGCACTGCAGGAAACCGCAACGCCTCTACGACCTGGAAATCGAGATCCGACGGAAACAAAAGGCACGGGATGCTGGCTACTGGGACCTGCTGACTTCTGAGCGAGACGGAGTATGCTAACGCCTTTCGAAGTGCTGAAGGAGAGAGGACAAGGAAAAGTGCAAGCAGCCATAGAATCATGGACTGCTAGGGCAAGAAATATAAGAATTCTTGCGACGACGGAACTAGGACTGGTTGGGGGGAAGAGACGGGGGGGGGGGGGGGGGGGGGGGGGGGGAACTCCGCTGAGTCAGGCAGGGAATGAAACTCCAATGTTCGCAAAGGTTCGCAAAGAGCTGCCGACGATTGAAGGCTGCATAAAATGTCACAATTGCGACAGTTCGCTCGAAGTTGCAGAGTGGGGAGGGGAATCGAAGTGGAGGGATCTGCGTTTGTGCGATTCGCATGGCCCCGCGAAGACGGGGTGCGTGCGTTCGCGTCCCCGGACGAGTGACAGTCCGACCGCGCTGCGATTCGTTCCTGGTGTCGTACATGTCGTACATACTTGTTGTCGAGTGCTTCGTTGTCGATCAATTTGATCGCGTTTTCTGTATAGTTTTCATCGTATAGGTGTAGTTATTTCCACTAACCTACCCTCTATGCTAGACACGGGCGAAGTCGTCCTTGGTTTCTGATGCAGCAATGTGGGGGCGAGTGACGTCAGCGTCCTCGGTTTTGTCAACCCTGGAAACTTGGAAGTTGGAACACGGATAATCAAATTTGGTTCAAGCGTGAACCGTACCCGTAAAGGGGTCACTAACCCCGACGGGGCCCATTCCTCGGTCACAAACTACCGGGTCCAAGATTCCCGGTTGGAAGTGCAGCAGTCACTTCCGAACCGCGCAACAAAAACCTGGCGTGTACGCTATGTTGACAGAAACAAAGGTCAGATTGAGGCGTTACGATAGGGTAACAATTCAGCGGGTTCCGAAAACAGAACGAAGGTCTAACGTTTAGAAAAGCCGCAGTGGAAATTGAGCAAGCAGCAAAGGCGACCAGGTGTCATCCCAGTTACTGTACACAGTCTTCGTGTCTGCCTCCCTTGCATCCTGTTTCCAAGGCGGTCTCAGATCAGACTAGCAGTGGTCGTAGCATAGTTTCATCCGTGCCTGTTTTCACTTTCCCCAAAAGTTCTAAGGAGCGGGTTGTAGCGGCACGACCATAACAACAGGTGACGAGACGTAATATTACGAAACCCGTTTCTTTTCGTTGCTGGCGCTGCGGGGTCGCCGCGAGACACCAGCCAACCTTAGGGTAGAGCGTCGAGAGGATTATTGTAAGGCCAGTCCAGCAAGGTGCTAGTCACTTCGCCAGCTGGCAAGATGCCACCGACTCAAGACCAGCGGCCGTTTCGGCACGTCATCCGAGATAGTAAGCCCTCACTGAGCGATGTCATAACTCTCGGAAACGCTCATACCGCGATCTTACCCGTCTCGCTTGCCGGCAGCTTTAGGTTTCTGCAGTCCAATCTCATCTTTTGTAATCCCAGTGCGTGTTATTTTTTCTCCTTCAAATATTTCCCCTGATATGTTACGATGATCCAGCATGTTTCTCGCCTTCCGTATTCTTGTACTGCGAATCCCCGGGCCATGTCGCAACATTGCCATTCGCATTAATTTACAAATCATCGCTCAAGCGCCTATTCCGTTTCCTTCACTCGCGACTGCAGGAATGCTCATAGAGATGCTCCGAGGGTCGAAATCAGCAGGCGGTGGCGAGTGGAAGGTGAGCTCTTTCGCTAATGCATCGTTCGTTCCCTCTTAAGCTCGTTTAAGCTCGGTTGCTCCTGTGTTGAATCTTTCGCGTCTCTTTGTTCAGCGGGCCATCATAAGGGTCCGATGTGAGACATCCCGTTTACTGCTAAGCATGAAATACTCATCCTCTCTTGTTTTGTGGTTTCCCCGATAATGTGGTTTCACGTCTCCAATCTCCTCCACGCCTTTCCTTAACTCCCTCCCTCCCCTACCCTCTCTCCCGCAATTCCCTGGTTGTTTGTGAACCTTTTGAGGCGCCTCAAAAATGTTTGTGAACCTATCCGATGCTGTCCAGGTTCTGATCACCGACGCCTTCACCCTGCGCGTCATGTCCGCGTCTTGCAAGATGCCTGACGTCACCGAGGAAGGCATTTCCCGTGAGTACAGGGTCTCTCGCCCATGGTTGTCTTTTGTCCATTCACTTCTAAAACGTCTAGGAAACACAGACTCCTTCAACCTGCACGTTATGTCCACCGACGTCTTGCAAGATACCTGACGTCATCCAGGAAGGCAACTCCTGTAAGTGAACAGGGAAGGGAACGGTGTCGGTCGGATCAAATTTTCGCCCATAGTTCTCAGTTCTCCTTTTGTTGTGGGGAGTCGGCCCCACATCTTCCAGCCATGGAGGCACGCTTCCTCCAACTCACGGCGAGGCCCCTCTCGCCTTCTCTCGTTCCCCCCTTTTCTTCCCTCCTCTCTCCTTCTTCCTTCTCCCCCTCTCCCCCCTCTCCTCCCTATCCAGTGGTGGAGGACATCAACAAGAGGCGGCAGCCGCTCCCAGCCATGGAGGCTCTCTACTTCATCCAACCGACCGCTTCCAGGTACTGCACCGCACAGCACTCCTCGGTTTGACTTGCTTCGTCTGCCCCCCTGCCTCTGGATGTCTCCCCACTTCCCCTCTCCTCAACCGCTTGCGTTTGATCCGGCCCAGGATTAATGTGTTTCATTTCCCTCCCCCATGCATACTAATCCCTGCAGCATCGGTCAGTTTATGAAGGACATGCAGGGCAAGTCACCTCTCTACAAAAAGTACGTAGTTTCATGCCATGCCATGCCATCCCATGCCATGGGCTTGCCATGCCAACGCATAACGTTCCATGCCATGCCAGTTCAGCTGATGAGGAGATTCTTGGCAACTACAAGGTCGTAATGCAGGGTGTTTTTGAGAATTCTCAAAAAACACCCTGCAAAATCAAGTACCTTTCTTCCTCACCCCTGCCCACATGGATGAGCAGGGCGCATGTGTATTTCAGCCGCCCGGTCTCCAAGGACAACCTGCAGCCGATTAAGGCAGACCCTCTGCTGCGCTCCCGCATTGCGGCTTTAAGAGAGGTAAGTGTAGCGGGGAAGTGATATTAGTGAGGTGAGGGTCTGTGTGCTTGGAGAAGCAATTGTTCGTGCTTGGCATCTCCGTCCTCCTACGTCACGGAGATCCTCACTGTGGGCTATGTGACGAAGCACGACCATTCACGGGCGGATCTGTTCATTCTGCCCCTCCTCGTCTCCTCCTCCTCCTCCTCCTCCTCCTCCTCCTCCTCCTCCTCCTCCTCCTCCTCCTCCTCCTCCTCCTCCTCCTCCTCCTCCTCCTCCTCCTCCTCCTCCTCCTCCTCCTCCTCCTCCTCCTCCTCCTCCTCCTCTTCCTGCTCAAGCTGTCTCTCTGCCTGTCCCTGCCTGCCCCTGCCTGCCCCTGCCTACCCGTCTGCTTGCCTGTCTGCTTGCCTGTCGGCCCGCCCATTTCAGATGAACCTGGAGACCCTCACGGTGGACATCCAGGGCGATGTGGTTAATATCGTAGCTGAACACCCGCACCATCCCCCCCCCGCTCCCCCCCCACCCCACTTCGTATGTGCTAGATGAACCTGGAGACCCTCACGGTGGACATCCAGGGCTATGTGGTTAATATCGTAGCTGAACACCCGCACCATCCCCCCCCGCTCCCCCCCCACCCCCCTTCGTATGTGCCAGATGAACCTGGAGATCCTCACGGTGGACATCCAGGGCTATGTGACGGAGCACGACAGCGCGCTGGTGGAGCTGTTCAAGGAGGACATCAGCACCAGGGAATACGAGCTGCTCATTGACGATATCGCCACGCGCCTCTCCACTGTCTTTGCCTCACTCAAGGTGGGTTGGCAGCTACTACTACCTACCTGTTTGTTTGGTTGGTTGCTACCTGCTTGGTCGGGTTGAGTGACAGCACTGGACACGGGTGGGGCTGTTCAAGGAGGACATCAGCACCAGGGAACACAAGCTGCTCATCGACGACATCGCTACCCGTCTCTCCACTGTGTTCGCCTCATTCAAGGTGAGAACGGAAGGGCAGTGCACTGACGGACTGCTGGCTCCAAGGCCGCAGGGGACGAAAGGGCAATGCGCTGGCGGAGCTGTTCAAGGAGGACATCAGCAAACGCGACTGCGAGCTACTCATCGACCACATTGCCACTCGCCTCTCCACTGTGTTTCTGTCACTCAAGGTGGGCTGGCTGCTACCTGCTTTGTTGGGTGGCACCTGCTTGATTGGTTGGTTCCTGCTAGTTCCCAGCAGTGCGCTACAGAGCGGCCAAGGCAACAGGCGCAGGGTGAGCATGCAGTGGATGCGCGAGCCGGTGTCCACCAAGCTCGCAACTGCGGTGTGGGGAAGACCAAGCCACAGGCACCGACTCCCCTCCCGTCCCCACCCGGCCCTACCCCCCCCTCTCTCTGTGCCCCTCTGTGGCCCCTCTCCTCACCCACACATTCTCAGGAGTTCCCAGCAGTGCGGTACAGGGCGGCCAAGGCCACAGGCGCAGCAGTGAGCATGCAGAGGATGCGCGAGCTGGTGTCCACGAAGCTCGCAGCAGCAGTGTGGGACAGGCTGAGCAAGTACAAGACGTCCATCCAGGGGTTTCCAACCAGCGATACCTGCGACCTCCTGATAGTTGATCGCTCCGTGGATGCGGTGAGTGCACCGTACAGTGACGGGTGAAGAGTGCAGGGTAAGAATGGCTGAAGAGTGAAAACAGGAGTGAGGGCACGCTGCAGCAGCAGTGTAGGGCAGGCTGAGAAAATACGAGACGTCCATCAGGGCTTCCCCACCAGTGACACTTGCCCCATGCCCCATGCCCCATGCCCCATGCCCCATGCCCCCTGCCCCCTGCCCCCTGCCCCCTGCCCCCTACCCCCTGCTCCCTGCCCCCTGCCCCCTGCCCCATGCCCCGTGCCCCATGCCCCATGCCCCTTGCCCCATCCCCCCTGCCCCATGCCCCATGTCCCATGCCCCATGCCATGCCCCATGCCCCATGCCCCATGCCCCATGCCCCATGCCCCATGCGCCATGCCCCATGCCCCATGCCCCATGCCCCATGCCCCATGCCCCATGCCCCATGCCCCATGCCCCATGCCCCATGCCCCATGCCCCATGCCCCATGCCCCATGCCCCATGCCCCATGCCCCATGCCCCATGCCCCATGCCCCATGCCCCATGCCCCATGCCCCATGCCCATGCCCCATGCGCCATGCCCCATGCCCCCTGCCCCCTGCCCCCTGCCCCCTGCCCCCTGCCCCCTGCCCCCTGCCCCCTGCCCCCTGCCCCCTGCCCCCTGCCCCCTGCCCCATGCCCCATGCCCCATGCCCCATGCCCCATGCCCCCTGCCCCCTGCCCCCTGCCCCCTGCCCCCTGCCCCATGCCCCATGCCCCATGCCCCCTGCCCCCTGCCCCCTGCCCCCTGCCCCCTGCCCCATGCCCCATGCCCCATGCCCCATGCCCCATGCCCCATGCTCCATGCCCCATGCTTCATGCCCCATGCCCCATGCCCCATGCCCCCTGCCCCCTGCCCCCTGCCCCCTGCCCCCTGCCCCCTGCCCCCTGCCCCCTGCCCCCTGCCCCCTGCCCCATGCCCCATGCCCCATACCCCATGCCCCATGCCCCATGCCGCATGCCCCATGCGCCATGCCCCATGCCCCATGCCCCATGCCCCATGCCCCATGCCCCATGCCCCATGCCCCATGCCCCATGCCCCATGCCCCATGCCCCATGCCCCATGCCCCATGCCCCATGCCCATGCCCATGCCCCATGCGCCATGCCCCATGCCCCATGCCCCCTGCCCCCTGCCCCCTGCCCCCTGCCCCATGCCCCATGCCCCCTGCCCCATGCCCCATGCCCCATGCCCCATGCCCCATGCCCCATGCTCCATGCCCCATGCCTCATGCCCCATGCCCCATGCCCCATGCCCCCTGCCCCCTGCCCCCTGCCCCCTGCTCCCTGCCCCCTGCCCCCTGCCCCCTGCCCCCTGCCCCATGCCCCATGCCCCATGCCCCATGCCCCATGCCCCATGCCCCCTGCCCCCTGCCCCCTGCCCCCTGCCCCCTGCCCCCTGCCCCCTGCCCCATGCCCCCTGCCCCCTGCCCCCTGCCCCCTGCCCCCTGCCCCCTGCCCCCTGCCCCCTGCCCCCTGCCCCATGCCCCATGCCTCATGCCCCATGCCCCATGCCCCATGCCCCATGCCCCATGCCCCCTGCCCCCTGCCCCCTGCCCCCTGCCCCCTGCCCCCTGCCCCCTGCCCCATGCCCCATGCCCCATGCCCCATGCCCCATGCCCCCTGCCCCCTGCCCCCTGCCCCCTGCCCCCTGCCCCCTGCCCCCTGCCCCCTGCCCCCTGCCCCATGCCCCATGCCCCCTGCCCCCTGCCCCCTGCCCCCTGCCCCCTGCCCCCTGCCCCCTGCCCCCTGCCCCCTGCCCCCTGCCCCCTGCCCCCTGCCCCCTGCCCCCTGCCCCCTGCCCCCTGCCCATGCCCCATGCCCCATGCCCCATGCCCCATGCCCCATGCCCCATGCCCCCTGCCCCCTGCCCCCTGCCCCCTGCCCCCTGCCCCCTGCCCCATGCCCCATGCCCCCTGCCCCCTGCCCCCTGCCCCCTGCCCCCTGCCCCCTGCCCCATGCCCCATGCCCCATGCCCCATGCCCCATGCTCCATGCCCCATGCCTCATGCCCCATGCCCCATGCCCCATGCCCCCTGCCCCCTGCCCCCTGCCCCCTGCCCCCTGCCCCCTGCCCCCTGCCCCCTGCCCCCTGCCCCCTGCCCCATGCCCCATGCCCCATGCCCCATGCCCCCTGCCCCCTGCCCCCTGCCCCCTGCCCCCTGCCCCCTGCCCCCTGCCCCCTGCCCCCTGCCCCCTGCCCCCTGCCCCCTGCCCCCTGCCCCCTGCCCCCTGCCCCCTGCCCCCTGCCCCCTGCCCCCTGCCCCCTGCCCCCTGCCCCCTGCCCCCTGCCCCCTGCCCCCTGCCCCCTGCCCCCTGCCCCCTGCCCCCTGCCCCCTGCCCCCTGCCCCCTGCCCCCTGCCCCCTGCCCCCTGCCCCCTGCCCCCTGCCCCCTGCCCCCTGCCCCTTGCCCCTTGTCCCCTGCCCCCTGCCCCCTGGCCCCTGCCCCATGCCCCATGCCCCATGCTCCATGCCCCATGCCCCCTGCCCCCTGCCCCCTGCCCCCTGCCCCCTGCCCCCTGCCCCCTGCCCCCTGCCCCCTGCCCCCTGCCCCCTGCCCCCTGCCCCCTGCCCCCTGCCCCCTGCCCCCTGCCCCATGCCCCCTGCCTCATGCCCCATGCCCCGTGCCCCCTGCCTCACACCACATGCCCCCTGCCTCATGCTTCCTGCCCCATGCCGCATGCCCCCTGCCCCATGCCATATGTCCAGGTGGCTCCCATCATCCATGACTGGAGCTATGGTGGCATGTGCTTCGACTTGCTGCCGGTTGACGGGCAGAAGTATGAATACGAGGCAAGTACCAACTGTCGCTTCAACATATACATGTTGGCATGTCTACGAGTCCGCATAGTCCGCATGCATCATGACTACCTACAAGTCTGCCCGCTCCTATCTGTGGATGTTTGCATGCCGTTTCTCTACCCACCAATCTCTCGACTACATGCGTCTCTCCCTCACAGGTGACAGGGCAGAGCGGTAAGCCAGAGAAGAGGACAGTGCTGCTGGACGAGCATGACCCTGTCTGGCTGGAAGTGCGCGACCTCTTCCTGGCCGAGGTGCGTGTTTCCCCCCAGTGGAGTGTTGGCTCTATCTCGTTAAAACACGGGCAGTCCATAGATGTAAGGCGATTTTTGAGGCGCCTCAAAAATCGTCTCTATCTCGTTAAAACACGGGCATTCCATAGAGTGTCAGGGCTAGTGGTGGTAGGTAGGTTCAAGGCGACATGCTCTTGGACGAGCACAACCCCATCTGGCTGGAAGTGCGTGACCTCTTCCTGGCCAAGGTGTGTGTGTCTCCTCAGCAGCGGAGTGTTGGTTGTACTTCTTTGGAGGACGGGCAGTCTATAGCGTGTGAGAGCTAGTGGTAGGCTCAAGGCAACGTGCTCTTGGGCGAGCACGACCCCATCTGGCTGGAAGTGCGCGACCTCTTCCTGGCCGAGGTGCGTGTTCCTCTTACCTTCCCACTCAGGTCCGTTTCACATCCTGTGGTTTGGGAAGGCTCATGTGTGGGGGTGGTTTTGGGGTATACTCCTGGACTGTGCCCTTGGCTGAGCATGCCCCCATTTGGGTGGAAGCTGGGGTCGGAGGACCCATATTTGGCCAATGTGCGTAGCGTTCTATGTGTTATTTAGATGCGTTCCCATCTTGTGTGGTTTGAGTTTTGACCAGCTCGAGTGTCTGAGTGGCTGTTCCTTCTACCCAACTCATATCGCTTTGCTTTGTTTTTTTGCCCTTGTTAACACAACCCCGACAGGCATATGAGAAGGTGAAGGAGGTGTTTGACCAGATCAGCGCCAAGACGTCCACCAGGTGAGATGCAGGGGAATTGCATGCCAGGCTGCCATATGCATTGAATGATCTGCTGGGAGCATGGAAGGAAAGCAGAAAATGAAGGAGGTGCGTGATCGGATTAGCGCCAGGACCACCACCAGGTGAGACTAAAGAGAGAGGCATGCTCCATACCATTACATGCCACAATGCATCGTGCCATGTGTATTGCGCAATCTGCTCGGACTTCTAGAGGAGAAGGTGAAGGAGGTGTCTGGTCAGATCAGCGCTAAGACTTCCACCAGGTGAGTCTAAGTAGAAGCGCATGCCATGCCATGCTGTGCCGGGCAATAGTGTGCCATGCCATGCCATCGCATCCTTTGCCATGCAATGCCATGCCATGCTGTTCCTCGCTCTTCCCCTTCTGCTGTCTTTTCTGCCCCTGCCTGCCTGCCTGCCTGCCTGCCTGCCTGCCACTTCTACCCCTGCTGCCTCTACTGCCTGTCCTTGTTCTTCTCCTTGCAGTGATCTATCCGGCAAGGAGCTTCACAAGCTGGTCCAGGTTAGTTCAAGCTCGCATTAGTCACTTGGGCCACGGCCAGTCTGATGCCTGCACCTGTTCAGTTCACACCTGTTCAGTTCACCAGTCACCTGTCTGTGTCTTAGTTCGTTCCATGACTTCCTCCCGTGGCTGTTTGTAGCATTCATGCTCGTGTGCAGTGAAGCGACATGCCGACTCATCTGCACATGCTCTTACAAGGACTCTGTTTCGTCCGTCCCCATCCAGCCTCCTCTTCATCCCCTGTTCCGGCACTCCCTTTATTTTCCTCTCTGCCTTTCCCTACTGCAGTCACTCTCCAAGTACCGGGAGCAGAAGGACAAAGTGGAGCTCCATATTAAGGTATGGATGCATTAAGGTTTGGAGGCATCAAGGCATTGGTGTGACATGCTGATATGTGTGACATGCTGATATGTGTGGCATGCTGATATGTGCGACATGCTGACATGTGTGGCATGCTGATATGTGCGACATGCTGATATGTGTGGCATGCTGATATATGCGACATGCTGATATGTGTGGCATGCTGATACGTGCGACATGCTGATATGTGTGGCATGCTGATATGTGCGACATGCTGATATGTGTGGCATGCTGATATGTGCAACATGCTGATATATGTGGCATGCTGATATATGTGCAACATGCTGATATGTGCAACATGCTGATATGTGTGGCATGGCATGACAGTGTGGCTGAAGTTCCACTGTCAGTGGATTTTAAGACATCTCATCTGTTGAAGTTCAACCCCCACTCCCCATTCCCCGCCAGATCTCCTCTTCTCTCAGAGAGCGCCTGAACGCGGACGGGCTGTTCGACGCGGGGAAGCTGGAGCAGGGCTTGAATGTTTGGGGTGCTAAGTCATCCCCGCTCCAGCTTCCCCGCATCTGGGGATGTGGGGGGTCATGAATTTCCATCTTCCCCACATCCATGCGTGAGGAGTCTATTTTTGAGGCGCCTAAAAAATAGACTCCTCACGCTGGGGATGTTGGGGGTCATGAATTTCCATCTTCCCCACATCCCCTCTGCTTCCCTCTCCCCATGTCCTCTTACCAACCGCCCCCCAGAATTCTTCCTCCCTGAGCGAGCAACTGAACGCGGACGGGCTATTCGGCATGGGAAAGCTGGAGCAGGGCTTTTGTGTTTGGGGTGCTAAGGCATCCCCCTCTCTCCCCTTTCCCCTCCCCTTTTTCCTCCCAACTCCCGCAGATTTCTTCCTCCCTGAGTGAGAGGCTCAATGCAGACGGCCTGTTCGACGTGGGGAAGCTGGCGCAGGGCTTTGTGTTTGGAGTGCCAAGTCACCCCCCTTCCTCCCCTCCTCCCAACTCCCGCAGATCTCTTCCTCCCTGAGTGAGAGGCTCAATGCAGATGGCTTATTCGACGTGGGGAAGCTGGAGCAGGGCTTTGTGTTTGGAGTGCCAAGTCACCCCCCTTCCTCCCCTCCTCCCAACTCCCGCAGATCTCTTCCTCCCTGAGTGAGAGGCTCAATGCAGACGGCCTGTTCGACGTGGGGAAGCTGGCGCAGGGCTTTGTGTTTGGAGTGCTAAGTCACCCGCCTTCCTCCCCTCCTCCCAACTCCCGCAGATCTCTTCCTCCCTGAGTGAGAGGCTCAATGCAGACGGCCTGTTCGACGTGGGGAAGCTGGCGCAGGGCTTTGTGTTTGGGGGCCTGACTCTCTCACTCGACCCCAATCTGTCCCCTCCCTCCTCTCCTCTCCCCAGATCTCGTCTTCTCTGAGCGAGCGCCTGAATGCGGATGGTTTGTTTGATGTGGGGAAGCTGGAGCAGGGCTTTGTGTTTGGGGACTCGGGGGCGAGCTACAAGGAGCTGGCGGCGCTGATCAACAAGTACCCCGACATGAGCACGCACAACAAGATGCGGCTGCTCATGGTGTATGCCGCCATGCACCCCGAGAAGCTCGACCCGCAGAAACAAAACTTCTGGATGAAGGTGGGTGGGGGGAGGTGGGGTGAGAGAGAGGGGGCTTGGTTTGCTGTATGCTGGACGAAGGTACGGGTGAGAAACTTATGCTCTGGACGAAGGTGGATGGATGGAGAGGAGGGGAGAGTCGGCAGTGCGTGAGGGATGGTGGTGAATAGATGGGGCTTGGCGGCGCTGATCAACAAGTACCCCGACATGAGCACGCACAACAAGATGCGGCTGCTCATGGTGTATGCCACCATGCACCCCGAGAAGCTCGACCCGCAGACACAAAAGAAGGTGGGGCGAGGGGGAGGGGCAGGAAGAAACACAGCTGCCCCCACAGGTGGCCTCACAGCTGGTCGCACAGCTGGCCGCCCAGCTGGGCCAGGCCGGGCACTGTGATCCACGTCGAGTCCCTGGGAGTGATTCCCAGCCCCCTTGTTGTTTCGTTCATTCCATCCCCTCTTGGCCTTTTCCTTCACAGCTGGCGAAGTTGGACTAGACGGACAACCTCGTGATCGAAGGATTTTCCTTGGTCGCTGGCGAACTCGCCCTTCAACACCTTTCCCCTTGTCTTCTCTGCAGCTCGCCAAGCTGGACCAGGCGGACAAGCGCACGGTGATCAACCTCGAGTTCCTGGGAGTGATGTTTGGTCGCTCTTTTTCCCTTCGAATCCTTCAACACTGATCCCCTTTTCTCCTCTGCAGCTCGCCAAGCTAGACCAGGAGGACATGCGCACGGTGATCAACCTCGAGTTCCTCGGAGTGGGCATCAACAAGGACGCCTCCTCTGGCTTCTCGCTGTCCTTCGGCAGCCGCAAGGTCCGTATTCCCAATCGAACGGCTCACAGTGTGCTGCCTGGCAGCGCTTGTGTCTCTAGTGTGTAGTTTTCTGTGCCTCAAAGCACTGAGGAAGTTCCTCGGAGTGGGCATCAACAAGGACGCCTTCTCCGGCTTCTCGCTTTCCTTCGGCAGCCGCACGGTTTGCTTGACGAGTTTGCTTATCAAGGTGTTATCAACCCCTTCGTGCTTCTCCTGAATGGATTCTTTAGTCGACTGTTAAGCCTGCCATCCGTTTCTGTTAGCACTTGGCTGACGCTGTTTGTGGTTGTACTCGTTATTGGCTGCCTCATTTTGCAGGAGAAGGGCCGAGTTCGCAAGGAGAGGAGGACGTCAGAAGAGGCCTATGAGCTGTCACGCTTTTACCCGTTCGTCCAGGTACGCTGGTAGCGCCATCATCACATTATGATGCTATAGAGTGCTGTATATTGATGTTCTGAAAGTATTTGCTCTCAGTATAGTGCTATAAATCTCAATCCCTAGTCCTGTCTCCCCCACCTCCGCCCGTCCTGCTCTTCCGTCAACCTCTGACTTCCCCCACCAGGGTATCTTCGAGGACTTAGACGCCCTGCAGGACTACTCCTATGAGCAGGAGCCCAACTCGTCTCCTTATCTCCCCATCCCTCCCCCTCCCTCCCCTTCTCTCCCCCTCCCTCCCCCATCCCCGCACCAGGATAATCTGGCTGGAGGACTTAAACGAGGGAAAGCTCACCCTGCAGGACTACCCCTACGTGCAGGAGCCCGACTCTGGCCCCTCCAGCTCCTCCAATTCTTCTTCTCTCTTCACAACCCTTCCCCTCCTCCCCTCCCTCCTCCCCCCCCACCCACCAGGACATCTTGGAGGACTTAGACGAGGGCAAGCTATCCCTGCAGGACTACCCCTACATGCAAGAGCCCGACTCTGGCCCCTCCAGCTTCGCACGTTCTTCTCTCTTCACATCACAACCCTTCCCTTGCTCCCCTCCCTCCTCCCTCCCCCCTCGCACCAGGATATCTTGGAGGACTTAGACGAGGGAAAGCTCTCCCTGCAGGACTACCCCTACGTGCAAGAGCCCGACTCCGCCCCCTCCGTATCTCCCTATCCCCCCCCCCTCCCTCATCTCGCCTCCAGGATATCTTGGAGGACTTAGACGAGGGAAAGCTCTCCCTGCAGGACTACCCCTATGTGCAAGAGCCTGACTCCGGCCCCTCCAGCTCCGCCCGTCCCCGCGACCCCGTCTCCTCCCTCGGCTCTGCCTTTTCCGCTCTCAAACCCTCTGCTGACTCGGCCACAGCCGGCAGAGCAGGGGCTGCAGGGGGGGGAGGGTCGGCTCGGCCGGAGAAGCCTGCTGGGTCGGCGCGAGCGGGGATGAGTGCGCGGAAGAAGGCGACTGGAGGTGCTGCGGCGCCTGCTCCGGCTGCGACTAGTGGGAGTAGTCTGGCGAGCTGGGCGTTGAAGGGAGTTGGGATGGAGGAGAAGAGCTCGAGGTGAGGGAGAGTGAGAAAGTGTGTGTGAGGGTGATTGAGGGTGAGTGAGGGTGTGTGGGGATGAGTGCGAGGAAGAAGGCGACTGGGGGCAGGGCGGAGTCTGCGTCAGCTGCGATTAGTGGGAGCAGCCTGGCGAGCTGGGCGTTGAAGGGGGTGGGGATGGAGGGGAAGAGCTCGAGGCGCTTGAGATAGCGAGAGTATGAATGCTATCGAGTGTGGTTGGTTCTGAGCCAGTAGCCGCTATCTCTGAGCGCCCCTCAGTCTCCACTGCCAGTCCGGCCAGAAGAATTGACATTCGTTTCATCTTCCTCCCCCCTCCCCCCTCTTCCTCCTCTCTGTCACCTTCCCCACTCCCCCTCACTTGCCCTTCAGCTCTGAGCGCCCCTGTCCCCGCTGCCAGAAGGGGTCGTCGTTGCATCCACTCTCTCCTGTGACCTCCCTCCCTCCCTCCCTCCCTCCCTCCCTCCCTCCCTCCCTCCGTCTCCCTGTCTGCCTTTCAGCTCTGAGCGCCCCTCTGTTTCCGCTGCCAGTTCGGGCCAGAAGGGGCGGCGGCTGTTTGTCTTCATCGTGGGTGGCATGACTCGGTCCGAGGTGAGCACTGGAACGAGGGAATGGATGCATAGATCAGTGGCATGGAGTGCGCCATGTCGTGTCATGTCGTGTCATGTCGTGTCATGTCGTGTCATGTCGTGTCATGTTGTGTCATGTCGTGTCATGTTGTGTCATGTCGTGTCATGTCGTGTCATGTCGTGTCATGTTGTGTCATGTCGTGTCATGTCGTGTCATGTCGGGTCATGTTGTGTCATGTCGTGTCATGTCGTGTCATGTCGTGTCTTGTGCACCTCCCCTCCCCTGTTCGTGTTCATCGTCGACGGCATGACGCGGCCTGAGGTGAGCAGGAGTGGAGTGGTTTGGGTCAGGATGGATCACATGCTCACATGATCACATTCTTGCGTGCTCTCTCAGCAGCTCAGTCAGGAAGTCATCATCGGGTCGGCACCGCTTCAAATTCTCAATACTTTTCCCCCCCGATGCCTCACACTCTGTGCCTTCAAATCCGCGTGGCTCACATGCTGTCTCAGCAGCTCAACCGGGAGGTCATCATCGGGTCGTCGTCGCTTGGCCCCTCTCCACCTCCCTTATCGCCCAATTCGCTATTATCCCTACCTTCCCACCTCATCCCCACTAGATCCGCGTGGCTCACATGCTCTCTCAGCAGCTCAACCGGGAGGTCATTATCGGGTCGACGTCGCTCGACACACCCAACAAGTTCATTGAAGTGAGTGATAGTGCCCGCTGCCTGCTGCTCATTTGCCTCCCGCTGTGCAATTTCTTGCTGCATCCTGCTCGTGTGCATCGTGCTGCTGATGCCCTCTTCGATCCCTCTCCAGTGTTTGTGTCCCTCGCACTCATCATCGAGTCAGCATCACTCGACACGCCCAACAAGTTCATTGACGTGAATAATACTACCCGCTGCTGCTTCGCTCCCTGCTGCTGCCTCTTTGGACCCTCTTCTCTCAGTTCTGGTCTACCTCTCAAGAACAAAATCCCGTTACCCGAACCCTCTCATACTCTCATTCATCACGTGCTCTCTCCTACTCTCACTCTCCTCTCCCTCCCCTCTCTTCTCATCACTCCCGCCTACCAGAAAATGAAACTTCTCAAGAAGTAAAACGCCATCTGATCGGAGCATGCTGTTTAGGGCCCAGGGAGTGTTGGATTGGGATCCAATGGAAAGGTAACAATGGGTGTTTCAACTGGTAACAACGGGTGTTTCAGCTGGTACGGTAACAACGGGTGTTTCAGCTGGTAACAACTCCATGCCGTCACGTCATTATAATATACCATCGATCCTGCCTGCTACTACCATCAAGCAGACATGATGCTTAGACTAGGGGGTGATTCAGCTTTTTGCCCCTTGACAAATATTATTATCCTACTGGTTCTTGAATTATAGGTTCTTGGAGTGTAGATCTAACTGGAGCTGCTAAAATGAGTTGATTGACTTCTTCCAGAGCCACTGGTAAGGGTGGCAATAGCAATAGCAATAGGGAGGTTTGGCAATAGCAAACACTCACCCCTAGTACTGGAGAAAAGTGGGTACTAAAATAGCTGATAAAAATCCTTGCAGTAGGCAAAAGTCTTCGGATTGGACCAGTTATTTCTTCCCTTCTACATATCCGACTTCATGGTAGAAGACTTCTGAGGGATTCCAACTGGGAAGAATTATATACGTGCACTTAATATTGGCTCTATTGGTAGCAACGCGGCCCTCAAAAACCACAAGGATCCCTTGCGGTAATCCCCGCTATAATACAGCTCATTATGCGGAATATGGCGCTCCAAGGTCAAATTCCTACCAGACAAAAGGCGCGAGTGGCTGCGTCGGACTTGGTTCCGAAGCAGTCGGTGTCAGCACGGACATGGGGCTAGGCCCTGCTGCCGCTTCCCTCGATACAGGCACAGCATCCTTCACCATAAAAGAACCTCCGCTACCAGCAACAAGGGGCGTCTTGGGATTCACGACAAACTCAGGAATATCCAAAACCACGTCGTCACAAACCGCTGAATGAGGCTCGGCAACAGGCCCGGATGACGCCGCAGGTTCAGGACAAACGAGAGATATCAGGCTCGACCAGAGAGATGACGTGTCAACAGAGCAGCCGCAGGATTCTCGGTATCTGCGGTCCACATTCGGTGACTGAAGGTCGTACTCGGGGAATTCAGAGTGACCTAGAATCTGCGACAATAGCTGCTGCTGCGACACAGTTACAGCGTGCTCTGCGACAGCGGACGACGTGGCAAAACGTGTACTCCGCATGAGAGCGGAGCTCTGCTTTCTCTCGGTCATCCCACCGGCGGAAAGCGAAATGCCATGCCCCATCCCCATCCCCATATTTCTCCCCCGGAAGTTTGCGGCCCCCACCATCCCCCCATTCAGGCGGCTTCCGCAGCCTGGCACAGCTTCTGCCGGCTCCGGCAGTCCCGCAACAGGCGCGCTGGCGCGCGGGGGCTCCGGGTCGTCCCGCCAAAGCCGCCTTCTCCGCCTATCCTGCGGCTGCGGCTGTGGGGGCGGCTGCGGTAGCGCCTGTTGCGGCGGCTGCTGCGGTTGTCGCTTCGGAGCGGATTGTTGGAAGAAGAAAAGCGGCGTGGGGGAGAGGGGAGGGGGCGATATGTCCGGGATAGCGAGCATGCTGGGCCGGGGCTTGCGGCCGAGAGGCGGGTAGGGGTTTGGCGAGGCGCTAACCGCGGTGACATACTCCATCTGGTTATCCCAGTAAGGCGCCATTGCTGTGCGATGGCTGTGAAAATGGCTGTGAGGTGACTGTGTAAGGTGACGCGGTTCAACGGAATTATTTAGGAGTTGCTGTGAAGCAATTATGTGTCGGCGTTGAGAGAAGTCGGTGGGATCGAGGCGATACAATACTTCTGGATCCCAAACAGACTGTTTCCCGTCGAGGGAATTTGTGGTAGACAAGAGTGGTGCGAGGCTGCTGCTGTACGGCTGTGAGAGAGCGGGAATTTGTGCACTGCAATGCAATGCCGACGTTCAGGTTGAGGGTTGCAGGTTGCACTTTGTTCAGGTTGGTGAGAGGGACGTTTGTTGGTTGGGCCTGTTACTACACTGCGGTTTGATGCATTTTGGTACGGTGCGATGGCAGCAGTGGACGGAGGTTTCAGGCTTCAACCCCCAACGCGCGTGGATGGTGTAAGGAACAGTTGGATTCATGAGGACCACCTGAGATGAGCTGAGACGCGTGGCGCGTCACCCCCAGGGGGCGGCGCGAAGTGGGACGGATTTTCAGTTGACCGTAGGGGAAGGAACGAACAAACGAACGAACGCAAGTCACTGTACTGTAGCGTGTAGGGCAGGGAGTGAGGGGGCTGACAGTTGGTGGCTCGGGTGGTCTGGGTGATCTTCCCTGAGGCTCGCTTCTCTCGCCTTCTCCAATTCGCAGCGCAGACCATCGACTGACGAAGATCTGACTGCGGAGGGATCGACGGCTGACCATAAATCACCTGCTCGGGCCACTCTGCGAAAGCACTCGCGCAGCGGAACGTCGGCGTCTATCTGAGGCCTCTGATTGGCTTCGTCAGTCCCCAAAGCTGCCTCACGTTGGCTCGTTGACCAGGACGTTTGGCCTGCCTGGTTGGACAGTTAGCCATTGTGGGTGGCTGACTTCGCCCACAGAGGCCAATCATCAATCGTAGGCAGCACCATCCGCTCACCCTGGGTAAGTGATCCGTTTCGCGATTTTTGTGTATGGGGTGAGAATGTGTCGACATGCCGCCACTGGTGCTGAAAAATTATCTGCGACGCGGGCTCCAGTGAAGCCTAGCATCTATGCGTATGTCCGCGTGTGAGGTGGTCCCTGATCAGGTCCAATATTTTTATGGTCAAGCCAACTTGCTGGTAAGCTGAGGATTGACGAATTCCCCGCACAGAACATGGGAAAGCGGAGTTTTTCCCGCTCGTTTTACCCAACGCCATAATGTGTCGGCCAGGGGTCTACAACAGAGGGATTGACCATCGAACATCAACGCAATGAGAACAGGCCCCTATGGGTAGCGATGCATTTCTTACAGTGGATTCTGCTGTACCAACTTCCATGTGTTACAGGTGGTATAATCAACGAATCGTTCAACAACAATACACTTCTACCTTTTGGATTACCATTGGTTCACCTAATGTATCAAATATCAATTTGTCTAATATATATATAACTGAACCACACCCACACTAAAGCACAGCGAACACAGCAATAAAGTCTCAACTAGGAAAGCTTGAAGGTTTAACTACAACCACCGGACAAGGTGCATGGTTGACACAGTAATCCGAGACACTTCCAATCAGCATCCTGCTCAAGGACAAACAAGTGCACGGGGCACGCCACTCATCAGGCAGCCTCTTTGCGAGTCCATATGAAAAATTACACAGGAAGCTTGGAAGACCCAATAACCACCCCTTCAAGACATCACGCCCCGTATCACTCACCTCTTCACAGGCCCCATCCCTCGGCTGCCCAGGATCAACACGTCAGCATCCCTATCCGCCACCTCAGCTACGATCCGCTCCCTTGGATCTGCGTCGCGCACAACTCGAACCTCGCACTGCAGCTGAAATGGGGAAGCAAGCATGGGTGATGATTGAAATGTGACTTGAGCTGGGTAGGTAAAACGTTGCAGGTAACGAAGGATGGAGCAGGGAGGATTTCGTCCAGGAGACAATCTACGGGTCTGCAGAATTTTGACATAAAGTCGGCCCAGAGAAGCTACCAGTGGAAAGCATCTGAGAAGCCTTGCGTTGAAGTCCCTCTCCTCACCTCTGCGTTGGAGGGAGTCACGTGAAGTCCCTCAGAGTCAGTCCCTCCCCTCACCTCTGCGTTGGAGCATCGCAGCCGCAGCAGCAGCTGCAGCAGCCTCTTGAACTCCACATTGACAGCACGCTGCCTCACATCCGCCCGCAGCAGCAGCTGATGCCAAGCGCTTGCGCCAAAAGAGTCATGGACCCACATGGAATTGCTCTCCCAGACCCTTCCCTCACCTCTGCGTTGGAGCATCGCAGCAGCAGCAGCCGCTTGAGCTCCGCATTGACAGCGATCTGCCTCTCCTCCGTGCGCACCAGCAGCTGGTCCATGGCCGCCTCGCTCATCGTCGTGTCGCCCAGGGCTGGTGGGTCGAGGTCAGGGAGATTGTCATTGTGTTGGTTGTTTCCATGGTTGAGGGTGTTGTGAGGGTTGAGGTGGAGCAGGGAGTCAGGGAGAGGCGGGAGGAGGGGGAAGAGGGAGTGGAATGGGGTTAGGCACGGCTGGTGAAGCATCTCATCCACTGTAGCAGCGGCAGCGTCAGCAGCAGCAGGATCTGACGTGGCAGCGAAAGCGTCAGGATCGTCAGCACTAGAAGCTGCAGCAGGCTCAACGCTAGCCGTGCTGCTGCTGCTGCTGCTGCTGCTACCAGCACCACCCGTCTCAGCATCCCGGACTGCGCATCCGCACGAAAAAGAAAGGGCGTTCTCATATTCAGGCAGAACGAGGCCAGCGATCCATTCTACTATCGGTTCTACTCGCGAACCTAACAGCCTCCTGCTATCTTTCTGTAGTTTGTCACCTAGTACCACTACGTGACAACATTTCTTCTCTTTTATTGTTTATGTTATCGTTCTGACAGTTAAACCGCTACCAGATGATTTTTTTTCGGCCATTACCTGCATAGATTCCGGGAGCAGTGAGGGCCTCCGTCGGAGACTGCACGTGGAGCATGGTCACTAGATCGGACGGTCGTAAATGATTCTCGATAGCCCAATCGACGGCGTGCAAGCTGTTAAGCAGACGGGTGCATGGATGACACAAAGAGTGAAGATGAGGAAGGAAAACATGAGACGGACGCCCCAAGAAAGGGATCCAAAAAAAAAAAAAAAAAAAAAAAGACAAAAAAAAGGCAAAAAAACGTTTGGGGGATACGCTAGACTTGCCTGTCTCGACTGTGGTCCACGGCGACAATCACTCGCCGCTGCTCGCTCTCCTCCGCTGAGCCTCCCTTTCCGCCTGTACCCGCAGGCTTGCTTTCCGCAGCTACTGCACCGCGAGGAGCGGAGGCGGAGGCGGAGACGGCGGAGGTGGTGGAGGCGGAGGCGCGCTGGCAGGAAGAGGCGGCGACAATCCCGAGGGTGAGCGTCACGCCGGGGACAGCAAAGCGAAACATGGCTTGCGACGGTGGCTAAAAGGGAATGTGGTACGTGTGGACAACAAGGTCACGACTCGGACATAAGCGGCCAACCACGGTTCTTTCCAACGGCCTTTTTACGTGCAACTCAGGAGACGCAGACTTCGACTCTACAGGCGAATGTATATGTAGAGGGAGATGATATGGAAACAAGAATCTGATTCACTCAATCGTAGGCTTCACACAGCAGAAGAAAGGGAACGACGGTCGGCTATAGGGGATCTATGTCACGTTGTGTCCGAAGGAAGAGCTTCTGTGTTATGACAATGCCGTAAGTTCAAAAGAGTATAGATCTGCCTGCTGGCGGAGCAAAGCTAGTGGTGCCTTCGGAAACCTAGATTTCTGCAACCAGTGCCTTGTCAACCCCCTCTGTTGGAAGGAAACTTGGTTTTTACGAGCCACTTGGTTGGGTTGGGAGCCTTGAGCTTGGACTTTTAGCGCAATCCAGCTCGGCTTAGTCAGTTGCCGAACAATTTAGGCTGTTTTTAGAGTGGTGGAGGTTGTTCAGTTCAGAGTGACAGCACCCCAGCCTGAAATTTGGGAATCTGATGCGCTGTCAGATTCATGGCCCAATGTGACGTGGAAGGATGTGGCCCGTGACGAGGCAGATATTGCGAATGTGCTGAGGTGCAGTCAAGGGCAGTCAGCTCTTCAATATGGTGAGCAGCTTATTGACTCGAAAGGAGTAATTTGCATTGATAAGACCCAGCACACATCTTACGAGCTTGTGATTTTATACAAAAAGCAAGCATGGCCACCAGCATGCTTCAAAATGGATGTTTACATACAAAGCAATTCCACAGTTTCGAAGAAAGCGTTATTCATGAGTAAAAAAATACTTTTATCGCCTTTCAAGGATGCTGTCACTCCACGAGAGAAGCAAATCCATTCCAATAGATGGTATTCCTGCATAGAGGAAAGCATCATGAACGAGCCATGAAAAGTCTAGTGAGAGGACGCACAGAGAGAGACAGGTACTCCACATAATAATGCACGTTCGGCTTGACACCACCAGTAGCTTAGCTTACCTTCAACAATATCTCCCACAAGACCAGCTGTTGAGACAACAGGAAAATGCACGCTCTGTTTGACCTTGAGACAACTAGGAGCTTACCTTCGACGATATCTCCCACAAGACCATCTGTTGGCAGGTCATCCGCCACAAGACGGTAAATGTCCATCACCTATTCATGTGGGACAGAAGGGGGTGGGAAGAGAAGGGGTTGTTTGTAAGGCCGCTCAACAAAGATACCGTAGTTTCACAGTGACAAAAAAAACCTAAAATCCCTCAAAGAATGTGCAGCTATAGTAGGAGCAAGGGGCACATGGGGAGGTTAGGTGGAACAAGACAACATGATGCTTGTCGCCACCAGTGCTTTGGGATAGGACCGAGCCACACAAACAGACAGACACTCCCCCTCCCCCCCCCCACCCCCCCACCCACACACACACAGACGAGAAAAGCACACAAAAACACCTGTCTCTCACCCACTTCTTGGACATGCAGCCAGGAGCCTTGGGTGAACGCCAGCAGTATCTGCCTCCTGAGCCCTGGATCCATAAGCAGCACCCGAGCCCCGTCCCTTATCGTGTCCCTCAGGACCAAACCACCCTTCAACCCCACACCCTTCAAACCCACACCCTTCAACCCCAAACCCTTCAACCCCACACCCAACCCCACACCCTTCAACCCGACACCTTCATTAGACAGTGAGCAAGGGCAAGCACACACCTCTTTAACATGCAGCCTTGAGTCTTGGGTGAACGCCAGCAGTATCTGCCTCCTGAGCCCTGGATCCATCAGCAGCACCCGAGCCCCATCCCTTATCGTGTCCCTCAGGTCCAAACCACTGTCCGCCACGGCTGCTGCTGCTGACGTGGCTGCTAACGTGGCTGGTCTGGCCATGCTCGTAGGGGAGAAGCCTGTCAGGAAGGCTGGAGCAGGGATCGGCAGGGCGAGCTGACTGAGGCTCCTGTGGGGGGAAAGAGAGTGGGAGGGGAGGGGGAGAAGAAGAAGAAGAGAGAGGAAGCACAAAGGGAAATTTGGAGAAGGGGGGAGGCGTGTGAGGAAGGCTGGAGCAGGGATTGGCAGGGCGAGCTGACTGAGGGTCCTGTGGGGGGAAAGAGAGTGGGCGAGGAGGGGACGGAGGGGGGAAGGGGGGGGGGGGGGGGGGGAGGGGGGGGGAGGGGGAAGAAGAGGGAAGGACAGGGAAAAGCAATGTGTTGCTGCAAGGGGAGCCGAGGTAGGCAGGGCAAGGTGTTAACACATGGAAGGGGTACGGCGTCATTACTTGAAGCGGTAGGGCGCGTCATCTCCAGAGATTGGCACAGCAATGAGCAGGGGGAGAGAGAGGGCGCCGACCATTTGAGACTCACCCAAGGGCAAGCGGAAAGATTTTTGAGTCGACTCAAAAATCGACTCATTAAACACGGCGCCGAGCATTTGAAAATCACCCAAGGGCAAGCGGGATCAAGCGGGATCAAGCGGGATCAAGCGGGATCAAGCAGGATCAAGCGGGATCGAGCAGGATCAAGCAGGATCAAGCGGGATCAAGCAGGATCAAGCAGGATCAAGCAGGAAGAACCGCGAGCCCGGGACAACGGCCGCAGGAGCTGGCACTGCCTGCTGCTGCACTGCAATGCCCTCGGCGTGCCGTGCCTGGTTGGCCAGCGCCACCTGCTGCTCCTTGGCCAGCTTAATTGCAGTGACTTGAGTCGACTCACAAGCCACCTGCTCCTTGGCCAGCGTGATGAATCAACTACCAAGGAGACTCACCCGAAGGCGGCGGGATCCAGAGGGAAGAACCGCGAGCCCGGGACAACAGCCGCAGGAGCTGGCACCGCCTGCTGCTGCACTGCGGTGCCCTCGGCGTGCCGGGCCCGGTTGGCCAGCGCCACCTGCTCCTTGGCCAGCGTGATGAGGTTTTCCAGGCGCTTCCACTGGAACACACCGTCCTTGAATAGCACCTGGTTGCACGTGAGGGTGGGAGGTGTGCCGGAGAGAGGCGCTATGAAGGGGAGGAAGGAGGGGGAGCTCGAGTGAAGGATCCTTGGCCAGTGTGCTGAGGTTCTCCAGGCGCTTCCAATTGAAGATACCGTCCTTGAATGGCACCTGAGGGGGTGGGAGATGGAGACAGGAAAGAGGGGGGATGAGGAGCAAAGTAGGGAGGAAGGAGAGAGGAAGGTGGAGGAGAGAGAGGAGGCCGGCGTGCTGAGGTTCTCCAGGCGCTTCCACTGGAAGACATCGTCCTTGAATAGCACCTGAGAAGGAGGGGAGAGAGAGTGTGTGAGAGAGGTGCACTACGCTGAGTCAGCAATGGGCCAGCCGTCGCTCAGCAGCGAGTCAGCAACAGCACAGAAACGCATCATCACAACTCAGCGATGACTCAGCAACCCACCTGGATGAGACGAGAGCAGAGAGCAGGGTTGGGATCAGTCAACAGTCTCTTGGCCACGTAGGGGTAGGCGACCTCGAGGAACTTGAAGTTGGGTTCGAGGGAGAGGCAAATGCCCTCCTGGGTGAGCAGAGACCCAACAACGGCTCACCAGCGACTCACCAATGGCCAAAGTCCACCAACCCACCTGAATGAGTCGCGAGCGGAGAGCAGGGTCGGGATCAGTCAACAGTCTCTTGGCCACGTAGGGGTAGGCCACTTCCAGGAACTTGAAGTTCGGCTCGAGGGAGAGGCAGATGCCCTCCTGGGTGAGCAGCGAGCGGATCACAAGGGAGAAGCGCTCCGGGATGCGGATGGGGAAGTTGTACACCAGCTGGTTGAACTTCCCTGTGAGGGAGTGAGAAAAGAACGGGTGGGGTCAAGAGGTGGGGGGGGGGGAGGAAGGAGTTTGGGATTTGGGAAGGAAGCATTTCAATCACTAGGGAGTGGTGAATCCGCATTCAAATGATTGTTTGGAATTCTCAAAAATCACCTACAACAGGAAGCATTTGAATTACGAGGGAGAAGTGGTGAACCTGTACAGTGTACACCACATCCGCATTAAAAGGCGCATTGGGAATTTGTACACCAGCTTGTTGAACTTTTCCGGAAGGAGAAAAACAAGAGCAGGGGGGGGTGGGGGGAATTTGTGCCGCCAGAGCCGGCAATATGAGAGTCACATCAGTGCCCGGAGCCAGGAACCCAAGGTGGATGTGGTCTCCCGCCATCTCCACACAGCCCTCGTTCACCGCATGCACACCAACCAAGCTCATACCATTCCTACTCCTCCCCCCCCCCTTCAGCGCCCCCTCCCCCAACCAACTCACGTGTGACAGTCCGGAAGTTGAAGTCCGCCAGGCTCTGCCCCGTGCTGTTCTGCCAGATGGCCTCCAGAGCCGGCACAATCGGAGTCACGTCGGTCCCAGGCGCTAAGAAACCCAGGCGGGTGAAGTCGCCCGCCATCTCCACATAGTCCTCGTTGACGGCATGCACGATAGCGTCGATGAGGATCTCCTTGTTGTACTGGCTCAGCTCCGCCACGTTGCCAAAGTCCACGTAGGCAATGCGCCCGTCGCGCATGGCAAAGATGTTGCCTGTGCTTTTCAGATGGAGAGGGAGAGAGGGGGGGGGGAAGGAGAGGAAGGAGGGGAGGTGGAGGTGGGCGAGGGAGGGGAGAGGGAGGAGAGGAGAGACATTGTACACGTCACATCTCATCACACAACGTCCTAAACATTGTGTGGGAGGCGAGGAGAGACAATGCCTCTAACAACGACGCCTCACATCCCATCGCGCTTCTGGGTGCAGGTCGCTGTGGAAGAGGTCGAATTCGAGCAGCTGCCGGAGAGCCGCAGTGGGAGGAGCAGGGATAGGGGCCATGGCAGTGTAAGGGGGGAAGAGCCATCCATGGGCGAGGGGGGACAATGGGTGAGGCAACACACCTGGGTGCGGGTCGCCGTGGAAGAGGCCGAATTCAAGCAGCTGCCGGAGAGCCGCGCTCACTCCCACCGTGAGAAACACTTCGGTGTCGATGCCTGCTGCCCGCACGGCCTGAAATGGGAGAGGGTTTCAGGGAGAGGGTTTAAGGGAGAGGGTTTCAGGGAGAGGGTTTCAGGGAGAGGGTTTCAGGGAGAGGGTTTCAGGGAGAGGGTTTCAGGGAGAGGGTTTCAGGGAGAGGGTTTCAGGGAGAGTGCAAGGTGCAAGAGGAAGGGAAGGGGGAGGGGGAGGGGGCGAGTGACAGGGAAGGAAGTTTTGAGGCGCCTAAAAAAAAGGCGAGTTTTGAGGCGCCTAAAAAAAAAGGCGAGTTTTGAGTACTACGTAGAGCGTGAAATCACCTGAGAATGGCATGGGAATCACCTGAGAATGGCATGGGAATCACCTGAGAATGGCATGGGAATCACCTGAGAATGGCATGGGAATCACCTGAGAATGGCATGGGAATCACCTGAGAATGGCATGGGAATCACCTGAGAATGGCATGGGAATCACCTGAGAATGGCATGGGAATCACCTGAGAATGGCATGGGAATCACCTGAGAATGGCATGGGAATCACCTGAGAATGGCATGGGAATCACCTGAGAATCATCTGAGGACGCACCTGGGGGTCGGTGCATCTGATCCCGTCGATCCACTCCATCACCAGCACTCGCTCGCCGCTCAGCTCCGCGTAGCAAAGCGGAATCTTGACCGTCGGATCCCCAAGAAAATTCTCGTAGAAGCTCTGGATGTTGCGCGCCTCCTGGCGGTAGTCCAGCTCCTCCAGCAGCTTCTCCCCGAACTCGTCCACTATCAGCTCCGCGTTGCACCCCAGCTTCTGAATGGAGATCCCATTGAGAAAGGAAGCCAGTGTGCGGAAAAGGAAGAGATCCCGGTAGATCACCGGCTCGATCCCCGGACGCAGCACCTGGTGGAGGGTTTCCAGGGAAAAAACGGGCAAGAATGGGGAATGGGAAGGGTGAGAACGCAGGCAGGCGGGCAGCAGGCATGCGAAGGGAGAGTAAGCCTCCTGGCGGTGGTCCAGCTCCTCCAGCAGCTTCTCCCTGAACTCGTCCACTATCAGCTCCGCGTTGCACCCCAGCTTCTGAATGGAGATGCCGTTGAGGAACGAGGCGAGAGTGCGGAAGAGAAAGAGATCGCGGTAGATCACAGGCTCTATCCCCAGACGCAGCACCTGGTGGGGGATTTCCGACGAAAGATGGGCAAGAATTAGGCAAGTGGTGGGTGAGAAAGCATGCCATGCCATGCATGCATGCAAACAACTCAGCACGACCACAGGGGGCAACTGGACTGGACACATTGCACGAATTTCCTCATTTCTCACCACCCACCCCACCTGGCTGCCACGTTAGCCTCACCTTGACTGCCACTTCCGCCCCTGAGGCTCGCAGCCTGGCTCGGTAGACCTGCCCGAGGCTGGCTGCGGCAACAGGCTCGGGAGAGATGGCGCTGAACGTCTCCTCTAGTGGCACCCCCATGTTGGCCTCTATTATGGCAAAGGCTTCCTGCGCAGGGAAAGAGGGGGATTGGGAGGTCGTGGAGTGGGGTTGGGGGGGGGGCGGGGGGGGGGGGCTATGGGGTATAGGGAGTACAGCGGGAGGGACAGGGGAGTGGAAGAGTCTCCTCTAGAGGCACCCCCATGTTGGCCTCTATTATGGCAAGGGCTTCCTGCGCAGGGAAAGAGGGGGATTGGGAGGAAAGGGGACGAGCTTGGAACATAGGGGGGGTTGAGTGGAGAGCAGATGAGGAGAGTGGAGAGCAGATGAGGAGAGTGGGGGAAGGGAGGGTAAGAAGTGGGGGGGGGGAGGGGGAAGAGGGGGGGGGGGGGGGAGCAGCAAGGAGAAATGGCCTCTGTAAGAAGCCGACGGATGTGGAGAAAAGGACATGACGTCCGTAGCCTTTCTTACCTGGGTGGAAAACGCCCCACCTGCTTGGAAAATGCCTCACCTGGGTGGGAAACGCCGGCACGTCGTCCTGCAGGATGCAGAGCTCGTTCATATAGTCCTCCCTGGTGATGTCCGGTCTGAGGGACCAAGGGCGGGCTTCATGTGCACTCAGGGCAACCTCACCTGGGTGGGAAACGCCGGCACGTCGTCCTGCAGGATGCAGAGCTCGTTCATATAGTCCTCCCGAATGATGTCCGGCCGGTTCGCCAGCACCTGCCCCGACTTGATAAACGACGGCCCCAGCTTGCACAGCAGGTTGCGCAGCTGCGCCGCGCGCGTGGGCACGTTGCGCTCGTCAATCCCGAGGAGCTTGTCGTACCACAGCGAGAGGTAGAACATGGTCAGCTCCCACACGATCTCCGTGCCGCGCAGGAGAATGCCCAGAAACGCGGAAGGGGAGCTGAACGCACGTGCGCGGACCTGAGAGGTGGGGACAGGAGAGGGGGGGGGGGGGGGGGAGAGAGGGGTCGGGGGGGAGGGGCGACGGGATGACGTTAATCCCGAGGAGCTTGTCGTACCACAGGGAGAGGTGACCTGAAAGGTGGGGACAGGGATGGGGGGAAGGCATAGGTATGGCGTCAGTCCCGAGGAATCCCTGACTCCCATACCCATCCTGGCTGCTTCACTGCAGCCTACAGCTACCATGGAAGACCCCATTGACTCCCATTGACCACCATTGACCAGCGTTCACTCACCAGCGAGTACTTCTTGAACGGGTTGCACACGCCTCACTCCAACTCAAGTTGCTCCATCGCCTGCATTTCCCCGTCAAGCCTCGTTGACCAGCGTTGTCCGCCATTGACAGCGTTGACTCACCATTTCCGGCGTGTATTTCTTGAACGGGTTGCACACGCCTCGTTCCAGCTCCAGCTGCTCCATCGCCTGCATCTCCCCGTCGACCCCCATTGACCAGCGTTGACTGGCGTTGACCAGCGTTGACTCACCATTTCAGGTGTGTATTTCTTGAACGGGTTACACACGCCTCGCTCCAGCTCAAGCTGCTCCATCGCCTGCATCTCCCCGCCGGACGGGTCGGCTGCCAGCTGATTGGGCAGGAATCCCGAGTCGCCAACGACCGTTTTCCGCAGAGACAGCGGCTTCATTGCCACGTCAGCGCCGCTGCTGTTCATGCGGCTGCTGATGCGTCGGAGAGCGCGTGTCGCGGGACCGGTTGCGGCTCCGTTTCCACTGCGCGCTGATCCGTTACCGCTACCGTTAGCGCTTCTGCCGCGCGCCGAGCCGTTCCCACTACCACTGCGCGCTGAGCCATTCCCATTGCCAGTCCGTGCTGCGGAGCCGTTGCTGCCATTTCCCCGGGAGCCAGCGGGGCGCGGGGAGGAGCTTCCCCCTCCCCCTGTGGTGGTTTGCGGCGGGCGCGATGTCACAGCCGCACGGACGCGCGGAGGAAGCTGGGGGGAAGGGGGAAGGCGGAGTCCCCGAGAGGCGGAAGTAGCGGGGAAAGGTCGGGGGGAGCTAGCGAGGAATGTGGCGGAGGAGGGCGTATGGGGATGGAGGAAAATCGAGCTGTGGCGGGACGAGAGGAGATGCGGTGATTGCGCCATGGCTGACTGAATTGCCTGAAGCTATGCGTTTAGGCTGTGCCGGGATGGCTGACGCCTTGAGGTTGAATGCTGTCAAAAACGACGATGACGGTGGCTGTGAATGTACTCGCTAGCCGATATAGCGGCGATATACGACAACTAGCGAACGGCGGGCGACAAGAGCTTGGTTAACCGGGAGAGCGACGTGGGTTTCGAAACTACAAGGATGTCGCAGAGGATGTTACCAGCGTATGCAGCAACCCAATACGACGCGAGACTCAGTTATATAATGTGCGAGGGTGTAAAAGGTAGCCTACGAACTTATCCAGGCCTTCTTGAATAACCCTAGAAATTTTCGCAAGAGCGAATAAGGAATCGCGCAAGACTTGTGCGATGATCTATTGACCCTTGCTTTCGCTTTCTCGACCTAACAGCGGAAACTGAAAGCCCGAGGTTAACGCTGCAGGCGCAGCGACCGAGATGAAAGCTACAATGCGGAACACAAGGACGCTGCTGCAGCGTAGAGCGTGTAAGGCCTGGAGCTCAGAGGTAGACTATCCTCCACAATAGTACCCTGGAACTACAATTGTCAGAGAAGTACTACTGACAGAAAGACTCGACCTAGGTTCTCCCAAAACACTTCCCAGGAGTTCCTCATTCCTGAATGAGGAAGACAAAAGGCTAGCGAACCTATGAAGTGTAACAATAATGAACGAAGAGGCTGTGCGACATTCAGTCAGTGAGTTATGTACTGGCACCTCAGTGTGTTTGGCTGGGAGCAGTTCGCACGGTTCGCGAAACGATTTCGTGAACGCGCCTTCGTGCACACGACGTGTCGGTTGTGGCTGCGAGGTTCCAACGACAATGAATGGGCACCGAAGTGATGCTACGTGGCTAGCAAAAAGTCCTGGGGTCTGGGAAGCGGCTGACGTGGCATATTCACACCAACAGCCTCATTCGCGAACAGACAGACTGTCGTGTGCGATGAAGTCCACAAGTGCGTGGATCAGAGGATTGGCCTGGTGGCCGCAGAGCTACTGCCCAGCTTCAGCGAGTGTAGGGCTAATTCACATATTCTGGTGTACCTTACAGGGTACAAACAGTGAGGACTATAATCGATTAAACCTAAGTTAATGCGGTGGGATATTCACTCTACCTAGGAAAGCTGTACAGAATATTCACTCTACCCTCGTTTTTCGCTCCCACCAGACCCTACCCCTTGACTCCTCCAGGAAAAAAAAAGTATGAGCGAACAGCATGTCTCCTGAACTTACCGAATGACAAATTGGGAAATACACTTACATTTTTTTGGTGGCTATTTTCAACTCCACCCAGTCGCTGGGAATAAAGAGGAACCGGGGGAGAGGTTCGTTGGCATGTTTGGGCAGCAATCAGCTCCGGCAGAAACGAAAACCTTTGACCTTGGCAGGCAAGGCAGCTCCCAAATGCTATTCCTGTTATTGGATCCTCCAGTACTGACATTATTTCCTGCCAAGCACATGTCAGTCAGCGGAATCCCGTTATAAGTTTGATCTAGATACTGTAATGGGATTCCGCCATCCGTGGGTGTGCGCATGATCTGAGCTAAATTTGACGACTGCGCATGAAGACGCATCAGTGACATTCACATCCTAGATTCTCGCGCCGTCCGTTCGACCATGCACCAATCCCAGTGTCTCGCGCCCTTGCTGCCAGGCAATATTTCTTCTAAACTCTCCCTTTGGGCAGCGCTGAAATGGCGCCACGTGGCAGCTTCCCGCCAGAAGCAGCGCGCAATTGTCGGCGCGCTTTTGCGCTCCGTCCTTCACTCTATGTGCAAAACAGAAACTGTGCTTGTAACAGCAGATACAACAACGGAAGGTACCACACCAGCGCTACAGAACTCCCTGTCAGAGCGAACGAGCGCAGGACACGTGGCGAGGACGTCGCTCCCTGCTGACGTGTGCAAGGCTTTGCTGACAGGCGAAGTAGAGGAGGAAGAAGAAAATAGGGGGCGCGGGAGCGGGCAGGAGAGGGGGCAGGGAGAGGAGGAGGAAGGTGAGGGGGGAGGAGAGGGGGAAAATGAGGGGGAAATCCCGGGGAAATTTGAGGGGATCAAGTACTTACCTCCTGAAAAATATCGTCCGCCCTCTCGCTTCCCCTCTCCTGTCAACTTCCGCGGTGTGCCCCGACGCCCCCTTTATAAGCACCTAGCGGCCGCGCTCTTTCACTACTGTCACACTGGAAGCTTGCCGTCAGGCATGCTGACGTGTCAGGGGATGGAGGAGAAGGAGAGGAGGCGAGGGGAGGAGGTGGATCGGTGGCATGGCACGGTTACGGATGCTGGCGGGCGGCTCCTGGAGCTATTAAAGGAGTATGCTGACAGTGCTCGGAAGGAGATTAAGGAGATCCAGGATCTTGATGCAATTGAGGCTGTTGACGAGATTATTGGAATCGAGGGGATAAAGCGAAATGAGGAGATTAAGGAGGGAAGCCCTCGGAGGAGGGGGCATGTGGGGACGAGAAGGGCGCATCAGCTGCACGTGCAGGCGGAATACCTGGAGCAGCTCGCAGGTTGGGGGGAGGGGAAGAGGTGGGGAGGGGGGGGGGGGGGAGAGGGAAGGTGAGGTGGGGGGGGGTGTGGGGAGAGGGGAAGAAGGGTCTCATCCGCTGCATGTGCAGGCGGAATACCAGAAGCAGCTTGCAGGTTGGGGGGAAGGGGGGGGGGGAGAGAGGAAAGGGATGGGAGTTGGCCGGGAGGGGGGGATGGGGGTGGTACTATTGGAGGCGTGCCTGAATGCAAGTGGTGGAAGGAAGGGAGAGAAGGCCTGAACCGCTTGCTGCTTTTTGGGGGGGAGGGAGGGGGGAATTAAGGTAAGGGGGGAGGGGGGGGGGGAAGGGACGGGGAAGGGGGAGGGTTGGGGGGGAGTTGGGGGGTGGGGGGGTTCTAACTGCAGATGAGGAACGATGCCGCCACTTCCCTTCCTTGCGCTTGTTTCTGGTTGACTCGCAGAGGGAGAAAAGACAGTGGAGGGGCGCTGCAACCTGCCTCCCTACAGCAGGTAGTGCATGCAGCCTCCATGAGCTACCTGGATTGGATGAGGTTGGATGAGGTTGGATGAGGTTGTTGGATTGGATGGTGCTGCCACTATTTACTGTCAGCCACAGCACCCCCTCATCCAATCCCAAACTCACCCTCTCAGCATCTTTCTCACTCACCCTAAGGAACTCTCCAGCCTCCTGCTTTCCACACAAAAGGAACTCTCTTCCCTCTCCCCCGTCTTCCCCTCCTCCCAGCATCATTGCAGGTGATCTGCTCACGGTCAGTGATACCCTTACTCTAACCGTTAAGGTATCCTAGCACCCTTGGCTCTTACATTCTTTTGAGGTGCCTCAAAAGTAGCACCCTTAGCTCTTACATTCTTTCGGGTCGATTACCGAGCTGATTACGCCACGGTCAATGTCCCCTTAACTCTCGGAATTCTCAAAAACACCCTGAGAATTCTCAAAAACACCCTGAGAATTCTCAAAAACACCCTGAGAATTCTCAAAAACGTTAAATGACCCCTTTAATCTCACTATTCAGGTCTCCTAGATCTCGAATGCTTTGGGGTCGATTCAAGTGCTAATTAGGAGGTTATAGTCATTGACACCAGTACTCTAAAACATGCTGGTGTAATATAGATCTCACTTGCTTTTCTCGCCCAAACCACACCTGCCCCTTGGTTCTGAGAATTCTCAAGATCCGTTGGTTTTTTTTGCTTTCTTAGAATTCTCAAAATCAATTGGTTTTTTTTTTTTTTTTTTTTTTCAGAGTGTCCTTGCTTCCACCACCTGCTCGCTTCTCAAGGCCTCTCCGCCCCATGCTTCTCCCCTCCCCTCATTTCCCTCTCCCCATCCTCTCCTCCCTGTCTGTACAGCCATACTCTTCTTTCCACCACATGCTGGCCTCTGAAGGCCTCCCTGCCCTGCTCCCCCCCCCCCGCCCCTGCCCTCCTGGCCCTCCCCCTCTCCTCTCCGTCCACCACCCCTTGCACACCTGTAACTGTTCCTCCATACGAGCCTCCCCTTCCTTCCACCACATGCTGACCTCTGAAGGCCTACTTGCCGTGCTCTCCCCCTTCCCCTTCGTGCCCTACCCCCACCCCTTGCACCCCTGACGCTGTTCCCAGTCCATACGAGCCTCCCCTTCCTTCCACTATATGCTGGCTTCTGAAGGCCTCCCTCCTGCCGTGCTTTCCCCCTCCCCTTCCCTCATTGCCCTGCCCCTCTCCTCTCCGTCCGCCACCCCTTGCACCCCTGACGCTGTCCCCAGTCCGTACGAGCCTACCCTTCCTTCCACCACATGCTGGCATCTCAAGGCCTCCCTGCCGTGCTGCCTGGAGTGAAGACACTGGAGGAAGGTAAGGGAAAGGTGAGGGGAAGGTGAGGGGAAGGTGAGGGGAAGGTGAGGGGAAGGTCTCAAGAAGGTAGAAGAGCGCGCAAGTGTCAAGGGTGAAACAATACAACTAACCTGTTCCGTTTTAGCCTTTTAAAAAAATATTCCTTTCCTGCTAAGACTGGCACTGCATTCCATTTCTATGCAGAGGAGAAACGTTTTCATGCCTCAGATTCTCAGAATAGCCCTTCAAATAGATAAGGAAAAAAACTTCTCGTTTTCTGTTTTCTTTCTTTCTTACTTACTTTCTTCTCTTTTAGGAGTGGCAGTGTATCGTCGGTTCTACTCCGAGGAGAAGGAGCAGCGAGCTGGAGTGCTTGCAATAAGAGTGGGCCCTGCTATAACGGGGGCCGGAAAGGAGGAGGGTGTTTACCAGGCATGCGGATCTGCTGACGTGGATGGACGTCATGCTGATGTGGAATCTCAATTGGGCTCGCTCATTCATCGAATCCTTGTCGTAAGCCGGAGTTTTGAGGCGCCTCAAAACTGGTTAAAAAGGAATATTCGCCCTCTTCCCCTGCACTAGCTCTACTGTAATTTCCCTCTCGAATCCCTTTCCCTCTCCATCCCTCACACCCCTCACCACCACTGCAAACCCCGCTGCTCTCCCCCCTCCCTCCCCTGTATCCCCCCCAACCCCACAAAAAATCGCAATCTCTACAACCCTGGCAGGCCATGGGTCCAGGTGGCGTGAGCCGATTGGTGGGGATGCGAGTGACTGAGGGGACCGTGCTGACTGCCCTTCCTCCCTCTCGCTCAGCTCTGCCCTTCCGCCTTCACCCCCTCTCTCTCCTGTTGCCCCCGTTCCTTTTCCCCCACTCTCCACAGGCCATGGGTCTGTCTGTCCACGAGTTTGCAGGGTAGTTTTGAGAATTCCCTGTTCTCAAGAATACCCTGTTGCCCCGTTCCTTTCCCCCACTCTCCACAGGCCATGGGTCCAGGTGGCGTGAGCCGATTGGTGGGGATGCGAGTGACTGAGGGGACCGTGCTGACTGCCCTTCCCCCCTCTAGCTCGGCTCTCCTTGCGTCGTTTCAAAAACCCGTGGGGGGCGGAGTCCAAGGGAGGAAGCAGCGGCAGAGGCAGGCACGGCGGGAAATGGTGCAGAAGCAAGTAGAGCATAGAAAGCAACAGCGAAAGAAGCAGCAGGAGCAGAGAGAGCAGGAGCAGAGAGAGCAGGAGCAGAAGGCCAGACTAGATATATGTGCATCAGAGTGCGAAGAGTGCTGCTGCTGCAGACGAGAGCCAGAAACAAGCCAATCCGAGAGGAGTGAGGTGTGCGTGTGCAGGGGCGCGCTGGGGACGTCTGAAGGGCAATCAGCTCACTTGGAGGCGTCTCGGGTGCAGGCCTCCGAAGGGCCGTCTCAGTTCACTTGCACGTGTGGAGGAGGATGTCAGTGGGCGTCAGACATGGGTCCATCTACAGGAAGAGGTTCGGAGGCATCATCGATGGCGCCATGCACCACTGGTGACATGCACATGGTGCCATGCACTACTGGTGACATGCACATGGTGCCATGCACCACTGGTGACATGCACATGGCGCCATGCACCTGCAGAGGAGGACGTTTGGAGGCATCATTGATGGCGCCATGCACCACTGGTGACATGCAGATGGTGCCATGCACATGCACCCGAGGTGCAGGAGGAGGGTCCGCTCACGATTGTGCTCTTGACGAACTAGTGCCAGCTCCCTCACGACATATTCATAGCCACTCACAATCAGCACTTCTGAAGCCGCATCCGCGGGCCCACGTGGAGGCACTTACAGTGGGAGCCAGAGCCCTGTCGAAACACTACCAAACTCAACCAGCAGTCTGCTCACACGATCCAGAATCACCTGCAGGCTCTCTAGCCACTCACGCCCAACCACCTTTAACTTCAAGCGTCCTTCCCCGAGGCAATGTGGAGGCACTCCCAGTGGGAGCTGGGCTGCTGTCAGAGCACTGCTGCACACAGCGACCAGCAGTGGGCGACTCAGAAGCACCTACTGCCGTAGGGCACACACTGCAACCAGCACCCTCGAGGCCTCATCCCCGAGCCAACGTGGAGGCACTCACAGTGGGAGCCAGGGCTCTGTCGAAGCACTGCCACCGGGGGCGTGAGGGATTTTGGGGCGATGCTTCTGGACCAGGTGCCTGCGGTTCTTTCGTGACTGTCTCTATGCTTTATTTTTGGCTCAAAAGTCGTGCAGTTGTTTCCGTCACTGGCTTATCTCTCTTTCCTCTGTGCTTTATAGTGGCTCATGACTTTTGAGGCGCCTCAAAAAACTTTCCTCTGTGCTTTATAGTGGCTCATGCATTGCGTATTACTACTATTCTCTAACTCCACTGCTCCGATACTACTCCACTTCTTGACTTTTGAGTCGACTCAAAAGTCACCTCGATACTACTCCATTGTTTGGATTTCACTCCACTGCTCGTTGACTCCCTCTCCCCCCTCAGATGCAAAGCTTTTGATTCGACTCAAAAGCCACTGCTCCGACAATCCACTTGATTGGAACTTCACTCCACTGCGTGTTGACTTCCTCCCCCCCCCAAAGAGTCGACTCAGAAGCATAATCCACTTGTTTGGATTTCACTCCACTGCTCGTTGACTCCCTCCCCCCCTCAGATGCAAAGAAGAACCAGCACGCCTTGGCGTGTGTCAAGAACCTATTAGACAATGCCACGTGGATGAATGTGCATGCCTTGCCGCACGACCTGCCAGTGTTTGAATTGCGGGAGCCTGAAGGGTACGGGGCGAGATGGAGTGCAGATGGCTCACAGGTGGGGCGTTCAGTTTTATTGTGTCAAGTCTAGCATTTCACATGTCACATGCTGCGTGCCTTGCCACATGACCTGGCAGTGTTAGAAGTGCGGGGGCTTGAAGGGTACAGGGCGAGATGGAGCGTGGACGGCACACAGGTGGGGTAATACTCGTAACAGAGCACATGTAGTGTAAGATAAAACAAGTGCAGTGTAGAATGGCATCATATCGTATATCAAGCCCATAGTGTGTAATGTCACATATAGTGCCACATGCCGCATGTCACATATATTGCCACATGCCGCATCTCACATATAGTGCCACATGCCGCATGTCACATATAGTGCCACATGCCGCATGTCACATATAGTGCCACATGCCGCATGTCACATATAGTGCCACATGCCGCATGTCACATATAGTGCCACGTGCCGCATGTCACATATAGTGCCACGTGCCGCATGTCAGATATAGTGCCACATGCCGCATGTCACGTATAGTGCCACGTGCCGCATGTCACGTATAGTGCCACATGCCGCATGTCACATATAGTGCCACGTGCCGCATGTCACGTATAGTGCCACGTGCCGCATGTCACATACAGTGCCACATGTCACATATAGTGCCACGTGCCGCATGTCACGTATAGTGCCACATGCCGCATGTCATGTATAGTGCCACGTGCCGCATGTCACATATAGTGCCACGTGCCGCATGTCACATACAGTGCCACATGTCACATATAGTGCCACGTGCCGCATGTCACGTATAGTGCCACATGCCGCATGTCACGTATAGTGCCACGTGCCGCATGTCACATATAGTGCCACGTGCCGCATGTCAGATATAGTGCCACATACCGCATGTCAGATATAGTGCCACATGCCGCATGTCACATATAGTGCCACGTGCCGCATGTCACATACAGTGCCACATGTCACATATAGTGCCACATGCCGCATGTCACATATAGTGCCACGTGCCGCATGTCACATATAGTGCCACGTGCCGCATGTCACATACAGTGCCACATGTCAGATATAGTGCCACATGCCGCATGTCACATATAGTGACACGTGCCGCATGTCACATATAGTGCCACGTGCTGCATGTCACATATAGTGCCACGTGTCGCGTGTCACATATAGTGCCACGTGCCGCATGTCACATATAGTGCCACGTGTCGCGTGTCACATATCATGCCGCATGTCACATATAGTGCCACGTGCCGCATGTCACATATAGTGCCACGTTCCGCATGTCACATATAGTGCCACATGCCGCATGTCACATATAGTGCCACGTGCCGCATGTCAGATATTGTGCCACGTGCCGCATGTCACATATAGTGCCACATGCCGTATGTCACATATAGTGCCACGTGCCGCATGTCACATATAGTGCCACGTGCCGCATGTCACATATAGTGCCACATGCCGCATGTCACATATAGTGCCACATGCGGCATGTCACATATAGTGCCACATGCCGCATGTCACATATAGTGCCACGTGCCGCATGTCACATATATTGCCACGTGTCGCGTGTCACATATCATGCCACATGTCACATATAGTGCCACGTGCCATGTGTCACATATAGTGCCACATGCCACATGTCACATATAGTCCCACATGCCGCATGTCACATATAGTGCCACGTGTCGCATGTCACTCAGTCGGCTCTCTCCCCACTTTCGCCACCTCGCCCCCTCCCCTCTTCCTCCCCCATTCACCCCCCTCCCCCCTTATTCCTCCCACCCACCTTGGGTTTTGCAGTTCCGAGGATTCCTCGAGCCTCAGATGCCTGATGGCCATGAGAGGAGGTGGCGACACTGACACTACAACATTGCACAGGGGGGCACCTCAAGTGCCGCAGTTCCGAGGATTTCTCAAACCTCGGATGCCTGATGGGCATGAGAGGAGATGGAGGCGCTGATGACACTGCAGCATTGCACGGGTGGGGGGGGCACTTCAAGTGCCTCAGTTCCGAGGATTCCTGGAGCCTCAGATGATGCCTGGTGGGCATGAGAGGAGATGGAGGCACTGATGACAGTGCAGCATCACTGGGCAACATCATCACGTCACTCACACATACGCAAGAGGCTCTTCTTGCCCCTTTCACTGGGAAAAAGGTTCAGATGCCCGATGGCCATGAGAGGGGATGGAGGCTCTGATGACACTGCAGCATCGCTAGGCTACGCCATCATCCACACATGCGTGCGGGGGTTTTATTGCCTCTTGCAATGGAACAGGGGCCTCGGGGCTTTGAGACGGGATGGGGCAGTTGACAACACCGCGATATTTCTAGGCTACACCATCAACCACACATGTGTGGGGGTTTTCTTGCTTCTTTCAATGGAACAGGGGCTCGTCGCTCGATAGCCATTTGTGGAGATAGTAGGATTGGTGATAATACGACGTTTCTCGGCTGTGTCGTGTAACTCACTGCAGGGGAGATTCCCGCCCCTGCCAACAAGAGAGGGTTGTCGGTCTTGATCCTGCTACTTTGTAGAGATGCATAGACAAATTGTCGGGCTTGATCTTGTAACGAGTCAAGCTTGTTTCCTCGAGGCTTCGATCTTGCGTGACGCACCGCTCCTCCTCTCCCCCTCACTCGTTCCAAAAAACGCGTGCGTCTGTCAGGGCGTGTCCCTTGCGTACGTTTCTCCCTCAAAACCCAACCCAAACGTTTTACGTCGTTCTTTAAACCTTGTGATGCGCAGAGCATCTCACCCAACCGCAATGAAACATACGCGCGGGACACGTCCTCAACACAGCAATCAACGCACCTCTGCTTGAAAGCCAAATCAGCTCATCACATTCCGTCAGTGACGTGCGTGATTCTCGTGTTCGTTTCCAGCCTGCTGCGTTTCTCCCTGTCTCCCCGCTCTCGTCCTCTCCTTTCTGCGTTCCGTCCGGCGCGTTCCGTCCGGCGGGTTCCGTCCGGCGCGTTCCGTCATCGCCTCTCCGTATTCCCCGCTTTCGTCGTTCCGCTTTCGCTGTTCCGCCTTCGCGCCTCTGCCGTTCCTTACACGCCGCCATATCATCGTCGGAGCCAGCCATCCCACCCACCATCCCAGTTTCGTCGCAAAGCGTTTCAAAGCCAACTCCTTACCGCCTCCGGCTTTCCTTACACGGCGTACTGCTCCCATTTTGAGGCGCCTCAAAGCGTTTCAAAGCTAACTCCTTACCGCCTCCGGCTTTCCTTACACGGCGTACTGCTCCCAGCTTCCCACCATCCCAGTTTCGTTTTGACGCGCCTCACAACGAACTCCTTACCGCACTCAGCTTGCTCCCGGCTGTCCTTACACGGCGTACTGCTCCCAGCCTGCTTCCCTCACACGCCGCCATGGTCGCCTTTATCGTCGGCAACAGCCATCCCACCATCCCAGTTTCCGCCATCCCCACTTCCGCAGAAATCGCTTCCGCTTCCGCCGCTGCCGCTCCCGCCGCCGCCACAGGATGCAGCTGCGCGAGCAGAACTTGCAAGCCGACAGATTTAGACCCAACAGGTGGAGGGCAGGTTTTGACGGATCCTGGCCGTCCGATCAGTTGCTGCGGAACGGACGGTCGCGATGCAGGGAAACGGACGGAGCTGATTCCAGGCCTTCCTGATGACGTGGCAATCAAGTGCCTCGCACGCGTGTCCATCGTCTACCATCACAGGTATGTGCTGCGCTGCAAGAGAGGGTCGTCTACCATCACAGGTATGTGCTGCGCTCTCCTCTCTTCCTCTCGCCGCTCCCTCTTCCCCTCGTCCCTCTCTACTTCGGATTGCAAGTCATTGCAATTAAGTGCCTCGCACGCGTGTTCGATCTCCTGGCACCACAGATGCGCAGGTGTGCAGTGCGCCCCTTTCTTCCTTTCTCCCGAAAGCTGCAAGCCGTCTCTTCTCTCCTCCTTTCACATCCTCTTTCCCCCCCCATCTGCCCCCTCCCCTCTGCCCCCTCCCCTCTGCCCCCTCCCCTCTGCCCCCTCCCCTCTGCCCCCTCCCCATCTGCCCCCTCCCCTCTGCCCCATCCCCTCCGCCCCCTCCCTTCCAGCTGTCTGCCACACCTGGCATCGTCTCTTCTCGTCGCATCTTCTCTTCTATTCTCACATCCCCCTCTCCCCCTCTCCCCCCTACCCTCCCGCCCTCCAGTTGCAAGGCTGTCTGCCACATGTGGCATCGTCTCTTCTCCTCGCCAATTCTCTTCGCCGCCCGGCAGATCGAGGGGCGGCAGGAGCAACTAATCTCCCCCCCTCTCATTTTCCCCCTCTAATCTCCCCTCCTCCCTTCCATTTGCAAGGCTGTTTGCCACACCTGGCATCGTCTATTCTCCTCGCCTCTTCTCTTCTCACATCCCCTCTCATCCCCTCTCATCTCTCTCATCCCCTCTCCCCCTCTCCCCCCCTACCCTCCCGCCCTCCAGTTGCAAGGCTGTCTGCCACATGTGGCATCGTCTCTTCTCCTCGCCTCTTCTCTTTGCCGCCCGGCAGATCGAGGGGCGGCAGGAGCAACTACTAGCACTCTTCCAGGGTGACCCCTCAGTCTCCGGGGGCTGGCTGCTGCACCAATCACAGCATGCCACCTGTCCCCCACCCAACCAATCACGTACCGCCACCCATACTCCGTCCGACGACCAATCTCGTGCCGCCACGTGGCGCCGCCGGCGCATCCCCCTCATGATCCCCACGCTCAACACCTACGGGCTGGCCGGGTTCGGGCTGGCTGCTGCTGACACGTGTCTGCTTGTGATTGGTGGAATGGTCTTCGACGCTACTGTCTATCCTTCCGACCGACCGGTCCCCACCTCCCGGGTGTTCTCCTTTGATCTTATCTACAACAAATGGCGCCAGCGGGCCTCCATGGCCGAGTCGAGAAGTTCTTTTGCCACTGCCTCTCTCCCTTCCCCCCCTGCTCTCCTCTCCTACAGCAGCAGCAGCAGCAGCAGCAGCAGCGGCGACGGCTGCAGCGGGGGGAAAATCACGGGTTTTGCACCTAAAAGGAATGATGGGCCGCTTTCGGGTAGTATGGGTGGTAGGGGAGCGGTTTTGGTGGCAGGAGGTAGTCACAGCCCGGCGCCTGCTATGGCCAGGAGTGTCCAGCTGGCAGCCGCTGAGTGGTACGACGTGGCACGCGACACGTGGCAGCCTCTCCTCCCACTGCCAGAGGCCAGAGGCGGGTGTGTGGGAGCGGTAGTGTCTGTGCCTGCTGCTGCAGACTTCTGTGACTGTGATAGTAGCGGGGACAAATGCAGGGGGGACAAAGGCAAGGGAAAATGCAGGGGCAACTCCAGCAGCAACAGTAACAGCGAGCAGATAATGCTGGTACTGGGAGGGTTTGGTTCGGCTCTGGAGCGGGAAGTTCCAGCAGGAGTGGTGGGTGCTGCCTCTCCTGTAAGGGAGATCAACGCCTTTATTCCCAGCGCTGGTGGCTGGATTCAGAGGGACAGACAGGCAGTTGAACAAGGGGGGTTCCGAGACCCTACGGCTGTTGAGCGACAGCGACAGCGAGAGCGGGAGCGTCTTATTCCTGTTGGAGGTAGAGCACGTACGCAGCGTGAGGGTCGTTCGGTGGAGAGAGAGGAGTTAAATGGAGCTGTTGTAAATGGCACAGAGACCTTGGGAGGAGCATCAACATCAACATCAGCAGCAGCAGCAGCAGCAGAATTGCTTAGCGGGGTGTGTTTGCCATCTGAGCGCCGGACCGCTGGTCCTGTTGCTGTGCTGCATGGGCGGCTGTACATGCTGTCGGGTAACACCATCCTCTGCCTTGGCCCTGCTTCTGAACTCTCACACATAAGCAGCAACTCCACCACCACCAGCCACAGCAGCAGCAGCATTAGTACCATTAGTGCCACTAGCAGCACCAGCACTAGCAGCAGCAGCAGCACCATTAGTAGCAGCAATACCAGCAGCAGAAGCAGCAGCAGCCATAGCAGCGCCGCCATTATTAGTAGCAACAGTGGTCATCTTAGGCAGCAAGCTCCGTACACCTGGAACCGGGTCACCAGCCTGCCATTCGCCGACCCCTCCGCAGGCTTCTTTGCTCTCAACAGCGAGCTCTTTGTGGTCCCCGCTGCACCCTCCCTCTCGGGGCAGCGACCTTCCAGGCGCCTGACTCCCCTGCAGCACGCCTACAACCCCACCACCAACACATGGCGCACCGAGCGGCTGATTCCGATGCTGCAAGGGGTGAGGATGGATGGGAGGGGAGGGGGATCAGGGGGAGGTGGTGGTGGTGGTGGTGGTTCTGACAGTGCTGCACAGCAGAGGACTGTTGTTGTCATGGTGGTGTAGGCATGGGTAAGAGCACATGGGTGCTGTTGGCCCATTGCGGGATTCTTTGCTCTCAACAGCGAGCTCTTTGTCGTCCCGGCTGCACCCTCCCTTTCCAGGCAGCGGCCCTCTAGGCGCCTGCCTCCCCTGCAGCACGCCTACAACCCCGCCTCCAACACCTGGCGGACTGAGAGGCTGATTCCAATGCTGCAAGGGGCGAGGATGGATGGGAGGGGAGGGGGGTCAGGGGGGGGTGGGGGTGGTGGTGGTGGTTCTGCTAGTGTGGCACAGCTGAGGGCTGCTGTTGTGATGGTGGTGTAGATGGATGGAAGGGGAGGGGGAGCAAGAAGAGGAGGAGGCGGCGGCGGTGGTGGTGGTGGTGGTTCGTCTAGTGTGGCACAGCCGAGGGCTGCTGTTGACATGGTGGTGTAGACATGGGATAGAGCACTGAGGGCTGCTGTAGCCATATGCGCATAGATGCAGTGAGCTGATAGGCTTGCTCCTATGCTGCAGGGGGGCAGCTTGGGAGGGGGGGAGGAGGAGGAGGAGGAGGAGGAGGAGCAGGAGGAGGCATAGGCGAAGGGAGGTGGTGGTATCTCTGGTGTGTGGTACCAGACGAGAAGGAGGCAGTTCAGGGAGCAGGAGGAGGTCATTCTGGTGCAGATGAGGTTGAGTTATGGTGCTGCCATTCTTGTCTGTGCCCCTTTGTGTACTTAGCGGTACGTAATCTGCGATTCCATGTACGTTCCTTGCTGACTTCATTGTATCCCAATTGCTACCTTAAATCCTGCCGTTTCGCTGGCGTGCCTCTGAATAACCTGGAAGGAACAAGTCAATACGAGTGATTAGACTTCGAAATACGTGCTACCAGGTACTACCTTAGGATGAGACAACTACATACCACACACAGAGTAAAATGAAACCAGCCAGAACATGGAGGAAGTTGCATCATCCTGCACTTCATTCTGCCGCATCACAACACAACCCCTCTTCCCTCTAGCCTGACCACTCCCTGTCTACACACTACAGCACTGCCTATCTGTTACTCCAGCTACAAACAGGTCCGACCACCCACTCACTCCAGACAGACGAAAACTTACGACCTCCAACCTTCCCCCTTCTGCTGAACGTCAGTCTGCCGCCCATCCTCACAGCAACCATCCTCCTCTGTCCACCAGAGGCCACAAAGCCTCCCCTCCCATCTCCCAAGCATGAGGCGATACACACAGTCTCCTCATCCCCTCCTCAACGGCCCCGTCAAGGGAAGTACACCCAGCGACCCCAGCTCGCCTCATCTTCTTCCTCTCCATCAGCCCATCAATGGTTCTATCCACCATATCCCCAAACACCCCCTCCTCCCCCACCACTGCCGTGCAAGCAACCCCAGAAAGGGAAGTAGCTCCACGGAACCCCATCAAGGGAAATAGCTCCCAGCAACCCCAGCTCGCCTCATCTTCTTCCTCTCGATCAGCCCATCAATGGTTCTATCCACCATATCCCCAAACACCCCCTCCCCCACCTCTGCCTCCCTCGTATGATCCCTTAGTAGCAGCCTCGGAATATGCCTATAAAGCTCTTCCCTCATCTCCCTCTTCCTCTCCTCAGATATCCCCCCCAGCACCTCCCCAATCCTAACCTTCCCACCAATCACATCGTCCGAATCCACCATCACCGACACGTTCCTCCGAGCCTCAGGTTCGGGAGCAAAGTACCAGGGGTACTGTCGATCAAACGTGCCGGCGACAAACACTACAGGGATGCAGCCTGCTATTATCGAGTCAAAGAATGACCTTCTAGTGAGGCTGTCTCCCACCGGCTGAAGGCAAAACTCAGACTGCAGCATCACACCAGCCACTCTCCGGGGATCAATGCATCCCCTCAGTGACAGCTCCGGCTCACTCTCTTCCTCCTCCTCCTTCCCTTCCCTGCTGTTCCTCTCCCCCTCTTCCTTTCTTTTCTGTGCCTGCCTGCCTATCTCCACTGCTGCTGCCGTCGCTGCTTCAGCATCAGCACCAGTACACTCCAGTATTATGCACCTCTTAGCATCCTTCTCGCAATCGTCCAGCAAAACCCCTCTTAACGAGCCCTCCCGGGTCGCGTGCGCGCGCTTCCCGCCCACAAACGAGTACAGGTACGGCCGAGGCTGCTCCCGAACGTGCCGAATCCACCCCTGCAGCTGTGCCGAGCCTACCGGATGGAAACAGGTAGGGTACGGAATAGAAAACACCTCCCGTTCGTACCACTCCACAGGAGCCTCTACTGTAACGAGTGTGACATTCTTGAACGCCGGCCGCCACCACAGATCCGATCCCCAACCCTCAGGCTTATCCTGATCCCGCTTGAAGTCCCAGATCGGACGGCCGAGAACGAGCACGTGATCGCCACGGTTCACCAGCCCCTTAAAGTCCGGATTCTCCTCCAGTAAATACCTCTCTAGCTCAATCACCGGGTCGTCTCGCTTCGCGAAGAGCCCGTGTTCCACGAGCGACCAGATCGACCAGCCCAGGTACGCCGGGATGAACAGGAAATCCGCCGAGCCTGGGTCCGAGATTCGGCAGCGGTGCTGCAGGAGGCGCGAGTGGAAGATGAGATCCAGCATGGAGTTATCGGTGAAGTACCATTGGTTCCTCCAACCCTCGCTCTCAACTATGTCGCCTCTGCTACTGCTACTGCTACCGCTGCTCCTGCTCGTGCTTGCGAGAAGCCGCCGAGCACCATCATTCCCTGTCCCTCTGCTGCTGCTGCTGCTGCTGCTGATACTGCTGCCTGGATCTTTGCCCTCAAACGCGTCGTCCCACGGCGGCAGTCTGGTTCCCAGGCCACCATGCCTGCTGGTGGCGCAGAAGCCCTTGATGTTGGTGTCCAGGCAGTCGTCCAGCAGCACGCGGTTCAATTTCGAGGGTAAATCATACACGTACACCTTGCGACCCTCGCACGCTACAGAGTTTAAAACACCGTCCTTGCGGCTGCTACTCTTGCGGGAAATGCTCTCTTTACCCTCCTCCCTTGAAATACTGCTGTCCTTTCTCTCGCTGCTCTTGCCTTTCTTGCTCCTCGGTTTTTCCGATTCCTCCTCCTGCTTCCGCTGTTTCTGAAGGAGCTCCTGCTGATGCTTCTGCCGCTGCTCCTGAGTCTCCCAGCTAGACTGCACCTGCTGATCCTCCTGATCCTGCTGCCATTGCTCTTCCGCGTTCAGGCCTTCCCCGTTTGCTCTCACCTCATCTGCATGAACAGCTGCATCCGCTATCTCAGTTGTTCTGTGCAGCTCTTTGGAATCAGAGGAAGAGGAGGAGATAGGTGACTTTAACGAAGGTCCGAGAGCTATGAAGTAGACAAACAGGAGGATGACCCCGATAATGGAACAGGTGGCTGAGGAGGAAGGGAAGCAGATCGTCGGGACTCGATCTCGATAGTGTCCCATCATGAACTGCGTCACGTCGCCGCGTCACGTCGCTGCGTCGCGCCGCGCGCAGTTGAAACTTAGAAATCGCTCGGACTTTTCACGAAAGCACTTCAGGTTTCTACGCGAAATGCTTGGAGAAATCAGAGTCGTTCAACGGGAGCTGGCTTCGATCGTAGCAGCTACCGTTTGCGATGTACCCCCCATCAACTGCGGCCTTTCAGGGTTGTCTACGTGTTATCGTAGCACGTATCTCTCAGTTTCAAGAGCTGCGATAGCGTAAAATAGGAAATGATGGCACGCACATTCGGAATGGTAGGCTGGAGCAATCTAAGAAGCCTGGACTTAGTTGAAAGCTAATTACACGAAAAGCTAGTCCCAAGATAAACTAGTACCAAGGGAAGCTAAATTCAAGGAAAGCTGATTCTGACACTTGGAAAACCCGATACACCTCGGAATTCTCTGTTCTGAGGACCGTGGGAACTCCTCGGTCTTTCTGTTCTGGCGTCCTTGGGAATTCTGTGAGCAAGCATGGATGGTGGGTAGCCGCCTGTCGTGCAGCAGCAGTCCCAGTCAGCGATTCGACGAAAGTGCGGCGAGGATGTTCCGAATTATTCGGAAGCCTGTGTATGTTGTTACCATACAGGCATCCTGCCCTGTGAGCGACGGAAACCGACCAAGGTCGCTCGATTCGGCGAAGTGTGGTTCATGAAGACGGGAAAAGGCACTCCCTCCTGTTCCTGCTCTGACATGTCAGAAACATCAGGCGAATGCGAAGATCGTTCACCGCGGATCTTGAACAATCTAAGCAGCAATTCCGCTTTTGTCTACGAAGTTAGCTTACAAAACAAACAAGTCCTATAAGCCTAAAAAACTCTGATTTCCACATTACTCTGAGAGGGAACAATCAACGATCTAAAAACCAGGGGAAATAACTACCTGCAGCGCCAGCTTCTCTCAACTTCTTCCTCTCAACCAAGCCATTGATAGTCATATCTACCATATCCTCAAACCGACCCTCCTCCCCCACCTCTCCCTCCACCGTATGATCCCTTATCAACAGCCTTGGAGTGTGAAGGCGCAGCTCCTTCCTCATCTCTTCTTTCCTCTCCTCCGAAATCTTCCCCAACAACTCTCCAATCTTTACTCTGCCCGAAATCACCTCCTCTGGATCCACCATGACTGATATCTTCCGTCTCGCCTCCGGTTCAGGGTCGAAAAACCATGGATACTGGGAGTCAAAGGTGTCCCGAGAAAACACCACGGGAATGCAGCCTGCAATAATTGAGTCGAAGAAGGATCGGCGGGTTTGGCTGTCCCCCACAGGCTGGAGGCAAAACTCAGCTTGCAGCATCACACCAGCTACTCTCCTGGGATCAGTACACCCTCTCAGGGTCACCTGTGGCTCCTCCTCCCCCCCTTCCTTCTCCTCTTCCTCCTTCCCTACTCCTCCCTCTTTCCTTGCTGCCGCTGCCTCTGCTATCCTGCTGGCCATGTGCCGACCTATCTCGGCTGCTGCTTCAGTTACCGCTTCGGCATCGGCCCCGTAACATTCCAACATCAAGCATTTTTCTGGATCACTCTCGCATTCCCGCAGTAACGCTCCTCTCAGTGCCCCCTCTATCGTCTCCTTGGCTCGCCTTCCACCTACAAACGCGTACAAAAACGGCCGGTCGTGGTCCCGAACGTGATCTATCCAACCCTGCAGGTCTGCCGAGCCTACTGGATGAAACGACGTTGGGTAAGGAATGGAAAACACCTCTCTCCCATACCACTCCCTTGTCGCCTCTACAGTAAGCAGTGTGACATTATTGAAGGTCGGTCGCCACCACAGGTCCGATCCCCACTCCGCCACCCGCCTAAAATCCCATATCGGCCGGCCCAGCACCAGCACGTGATTTCCCTGATCCACGAGCCTCTTGAAATCCGGGTTTTCTTCCAAAAGAAAGCGCTCGAGTTCGATTCCCGGCTGGTCCCTATCTACGAAGAGCCCGTGCTCCACGAGCGACCAGATCGACCAGCCCAGGTAGGCTGGGATGAACAGAAAATCCGCCGAGTCTGGGTCGGAGGTTCGGCAGGGGTGCTGCAGGAGACGCGAGTGGAAAATCTCCTCGTTATTGGAACTGTCGGTTAAAAACCATTGATTTCGCCAGCCCTCGCTAGCGAAAGCATTCCTGCTGCTGCTTCTGCTTGTCGTTACACTGCTGCTTTCTTTGCTGGAACTCCCGTTACTGTGGCTTTCTACCGCATCGTCCCAGAGCCCGAGCCTCGTGCCCAGCCCGTCGTGCCGGCTGGTGAGGCAGAAGCCCTTGATGCGGCTCTCCACGCAGTCGTCCACCATCCACCGGTTGAAGCGCGCGGGCAGCGGATACACGTACAGCTTGCGCCCCGTGCACGCCGCGCCGAATGCCGCGGCTGGGATATCGTCTCGAGAAACGGCGGGTGCTGCTGGGATATCGTCTCGAGAAACAGCGGGTGCTGCTGGGATATCGTCTCGAGAAACAGCGGGTGCTGCTGGGATATCGTCTCGAGAAACGGCGGGTGCTGCTGGGGTATTGTCTCGCGAAACGGCGGGTGCTGCTGGGGTATTGTCTCGCGAAACGGCGGGTGCTGCTGGGGTATTGTCTCGCGAAACGGCGGGTGCTGCTGAGGTATTGTCTCGCGAAACGGCGGGTGCTGCTGAGGTATCTTCGCGAGAAACGGCGGGTCCCGCTGGGATATTGTCTCGAGAAACGGCAGATCCTGCTGAGATATCGCGAGAAGCGGGTCCCGCTGTTGTGGCATTAACCGTCGCGAACTTTTTGTTATCGCTGGTACCTCCATTACCGCTGGCCCCGCCCTTTCCCCTACCACCGTTGCCGCCGCTGTCGACTGCGCGCGAGGCGTCCGGGCTATTTTTGTTACTGCTGCTGCCGCTGCTGCTGCTGGAGGGCATAACGACGTTCTTTCGGTGCTTGCGGTTGCCTGTGGTTGGCTCTTTTTGAGGCGCCTCAAAAATCGTGCTGCCGTTGCTGCTGCTGGAGGGCATAGCGACGTTCTTTCGGTGCTTGCGGTTCCCTCTGCTTGGCTCTGCGCCCCCCATCTGCTTCGTTCCCTGCTTCTCATCCTCCTGTTGCGGAGGTGTCTTGTCTTGCTCCTGAATCAGCTCCTCATTTTTCCCACGCAGCTCGTCCTGCTTTTGAGTCGAGTCAAAAGTAGGTGCCTTCACCTGTTCCCGAATCGGCTCCTCATTTCCCCCACGCAGCTGCTCCTGCGTCCCCGATCTCGCGTTCTTCGTTCTCCAATCCCCTTTCTGTCGCACCTGCTGCGTCGATTTCTCCGCTATCGCTGATTTTCCCCAGTCCGGGGCTGGCTGCCCGGTCCCCTCGGGGGCGTGCTGGCCGACTCGCAGGACCGTTATTTGCATGCTCGTTTCAGGCCATTTCGAGTCAAGCATAACCTCCGTGTCACCAGAACGGGCGGCGGAAGAGTCGGCGGAAGAGTCAGCGGAAGAGACGGCCGAAGAGACGGCGGAAGAGGCGGCAGAATGAACGGAGTCTGCATTCTGGCCGTGCTGCTGCTGCTGCTCTGGACGGCTTTCCATTGGAATGAGCTTAAGCGGCGGTCCGAGGGCTGCGAAGTAGACGAGTAAAAGGAGGACGCCAATAGCGGAGCATGAGGTGTGCGATAGTGGGAAAGGGAACTGAGACGGTTTTTCGCGGTACCGCCCCATGCTGGAAGGCGGTAGCGGCGGTAATCAGACGAGAATATTAGGGTACGAAAAAAAGATATTTAGGAAAACTGGTAAATTCAAAGACGCCTCATCGTCTCGGCACGGTCAGGAAGGGCGAATTTCGGCAGCGTTACGACGACGCACTACGGAGGACCAAGATACTACTAATTCCAGCCTCGGAACGCAGCTCAGTTTCCGAGAGTGATTCAACCTGCCGACTCTTGATGTATATGCAGCAATCTCGCAACAAACGAAGCTAAGGCCCCTCCCTACGCTCCCATCCCCTCTCGCTTCCCGGAACGTAGGAAGGGGGCTCGAGAAGGGAAGGGAGTAGAGGAGCTAGCACCGAGGGGCGCTGGTTGGTATTCGGATCGGATGCGAGGGATGAGTAGTGGACACCTCAGGAAAGAAAACCTACTAAACCATTTAAGAATAATATGAAAACGTCTTGAACGTTTTTCACCCTAGTCAACCGCAATAAGACACACCCTCGGGAAACGCCCTCAGAGCGCTCGTAGGGTATCGCCTTGAAGGGGTAGGCACTGTACACCCCCCTGCCAAAATCCCGTGTGATGGAAAAATCGCGCCTCCGGCATCAAAATTGCATTTGCATCTCGAGGCGCACATGCATTTGCAAGGCAGACCAATTGCTGTTGCGCGGATTCCGGTGGGGCAGCAGGCGTGGCTACCCATCGTCGACAAACATTGCCAGCCCCTCCTTTGACGAAGCGGATTGGATGGCCTTAACCGCAAAATTCGCGAAGGGGAGTTTCAAGCTGACCCTGAAAACACGGTTCAGCCTTTTGATTCGTCGAAAACTCGGCTCGAACGCTCACATAAAAAGCTTATAGAGGGAATTGCGGCAGAAACACTCCCATCCAGCTACGTTGTTATGCCACATAGTTTCACATCCCCAATCAGCCACAAAAAAGATGTGACATGTAATTTTTTGAAAGCGTGTAACACTTTCTAAAAAATGTGTATTGTGAAAGTGTAGCGAGGGCCAACGCAGCAAGGTCAGCGTCGAAGCGCTACTCACCCTCTTTTGCCTACAAATGAGGGACGTGAGGCCATTCGACCTCACCCACGTTCTTCATTTCTAGTTCCAGTTTCGTTTTCCAGTTCTCGTCCTAGTTCTAGTCTCCTTATTCTCGCCCAAGCTGGCGAAAACCCAGTCTCTTCCGCGCTTCAAAGCTCCGACAACGCTCCTCACCGACATTCTGCAGCACAATATTACCGCGATGACTTCCGCCAATTCTGCTCCGGCGCGCGCGGTGAATAACATTTCTACCCCCGCTAACGCCCAGGCGCTCGGAACTTCGCCCGGGGGAACCGACCGACGTCAGAAACGTCCTGCTGAGGACAATTTTGGCGAGGGCCCCTCGGCAGTCGAGATTCTGCTCGGCGGCAGTCACGCTGCTCCAGAAGAAACTCGCGCGGCTGCTTTGCAGCCGCGCATGCAGGCAACGGAAGTCCACGCGCCAGCCCGAGGCGCGTCGCCTGCAGGCCAGGCGGGCCCCACCACCCAGCACGCGCCTGCCGCCGACCCCGCGCCAACCGCCGCCGCCCCCGCCTTGACTGCGCACCAGCTGCAAGCGCTTTTGGCGCTGTTACAGCAGCAAGCTCCTACTGTTACAGTCGGAACCTCATCCGATAACGCTGCACCTACGACCAATTTTAACAAAAAGAAAGGAATGGCTACCCATCCTCGCATGCCCAAGGCTCCCCGCGCCGACGACCAGCCCCCGGCACCAACTCCCGCACCCGCTGACAACCCCGATGACAGCGACGACTCCGAAAATGACGATGGTGAGGGTCCCGCCAACATTGCTCGTCGTCGTATCCTCGCACCCGCCCCCCCCTTCCCCCCCTTGGCCCCACGCCCGCAGCTACTACCTTCATGCGCAAGGGCGTACGCGACCAGGCCGAGGTCTTCACTGCCATCGAAGCGTACCTGAAGCATATCGACTTCAAGCTGCAGCACGGCGACGTCGTCGGCGCACTCAACAACGTAAAGGATATCGAAATACTTATTAATAAGCGTTTCCAAGTCCTTCTCGTTGCGGACGAAGCCGGTTTCGAGGCCGCTGACCGGTTCCAGCTCTATCAGTCCAAAAGTGTCCTGACATCCCGCTCCTACAAGCTGGCGGTCGCGGATGTGGCAGCGCTCAAGCGTGCACGCCTCGGCTATACGCGCGGCGGCCGTCCCGGTGGTCGCGACACGGACTCGGACATCAAGGGCTCCCCCCCTGCTACGTGCCAGCAGCCGCGCTTCAAGGGAGTCTGCTTTCGCTGTGGCCAACCAGGCCACATGGCCAATGCATGCCACATGGGAGGGCGTGGTGCGCAAGGTCCCTCACCGGTGGTGTGAGCGGTTGATAGGGCGGCGCCCTTTCCCACATGCAAGAGGCATAGTGGGTTGCACGGTAGGTGCATGGCCGGTGGCCAGCCTTTTGCCAAAGGCAAGGAGTCTTCGCTGACTAGGGTGGCCCTTGGGGACAGCAAAGGCTGATAGGCCTAGGCTTGTAATAATTCCTATGATTGAATTAAAGGCTCGACCGTGTCACGGCCATCCGGTTTTTTCCAAAAAAAAAAAAAAAAAAAAAAAAACCCTTGAGGGGGTTGGGAGGAGGGAGGGGGCTACAAAACTCAGTCAACATGGCTGGTCAGCCTTGAGCATGGCCTCCGACCCCTCACTTTTTTCTTTGCCGACCACGCAACACGCCCCGAGAGCTAACCATGGAGGCACGCTCGGCACCCAACAAAATGGTGCGCACGCACGCACTCGGAGATGCACTATTTAAGAGCCAAGGACAGAGTCTAGGAGCTCAAAGCTAACACAAAGAGTGGCCCAAACAAGGAGAGTAAAAGAAGAAGGAGGAAGAAATGTAAGCCAACCACCAACGAGCACCAACGCGCTTAAAAAATGTTCACGTACGAACACAGCACGTGATGTCTTCGCACGCAAAGGAAAGAGGGAAAGAGGGAGATCAAGAGATGGAGAGAGAGAGAAATAGCAAGCGAGAGAGAGAAAGAGAGAGAGAGAGAGAGGGAGAGAGAGAGAGAGAGAGAGAGAGAGAGAGAGAGAGAGAGAGAGAGAGAGAGAGAGAGAGAGAGAGAGATAGAGAGGGAGAGAGAGAGAGAGAGAGAGAGAGAGAGAGAGAGAGAGAGAGAGAGAGAGAGAGAGAGTGAGTGAGAGAGAGAGAGAGAGAAAGAGGGAGAGAGTGAGAGAGAGAGGGGGAGAGAGAGAGAGAGGAAGAGGGAGGAGAGAGAGAGAGAGAGAGAGAGAGAGAGAGAGAGAGAGAGAGGGAAAGAGATAGAGAGAGAGAGAGAGAGAGAGAGAGAGAGAGAGAGAGAGAGAGAGAGAGAGAGAGAGAGAGAGAGAGAGAGCGACAGAGAAAGAGAAGGCGGATAGAGAGACGAGTACCCCTTGCACCTTGCAAGCACCTAACACGGCAGTGGCCGTGCGGTCCGAGCATGTCATGCCCCGTCTACACTTGCCCCGCATCGTGCACCTGCTCACGAGCACAGTATCTTACTCCCATCTATGAACCCATGTTTATAACCTCGTATAATGCAGAGATCCCAAGTGGGTGGCCACGAGAGGAATGCGATCCCTACGAGCTCGCAACTACAGACAGGGACGTGACCATCATGCGCAGTCGACTGCGGCATGCCTTGCACTGGTGGTGCTCCTGGTGTGACAGTAGCTTTATCCTCTCCGTCATCGCTAAAGGGTATTGGCTGCCCTGGAAGAATACAGCCCCCACACCCTTCGAGGACAACAACAATGCCGGAGTCTGCACGCACCTCGACTTTACTCGCGTCACAATTCGCGATCTTGTAGTGACCGGCGCTGCTGCAGTGATGGAGAAGAGAGACACACTAACATGTGTCAGCCCACTGAACATCGTGAAGCAACACGACAAATGCCGCCTCATCCTTGACCTGCGGAAAGTGAACACCCACCTTGAAGCCCCCAAGTTCAAGTACGAGGGTCTGAATCGTGTAGCCGAGCTCATCCGCCGAGATGACTGGATGTTTTCCATCGACCTGAAATCCGGATACCATCATGTCGAGATTCACCCTTCGTGTTGGCAGTTTTTGGGCTTCCAGTTCGAAGGCATCTACTACTCCTTTCGGTCACTGCCGTTCGGCCTTGCAACTGCTCCATTCGTTTTCACCCAACTAATTAAACAACTTGCCAAGCGATGGCGGGCAAGCGGTGTTAGAGTGGTCCCGTATGTTGACGACCAATTATTTCTCTGCGATTCCCACCCGCAAGCGTGCTCGACTCGTACGACATTCCTCCAGGACCTTAATGCAGCTGGCTTCGTCATTAACGGCAAAAAATCGCACCTCCACCCCTCGCGTCAGCTTCGCTTCCTCGGATTGGAAATCGACTCCACCCGCGGCACGTTCTCCGTCGGACTCGAGCGAAGGGCTCAACTCTTAACCACGCTTGAGGCCTTGATAACCCAAGGACAATCAGGAAGGCATATTCCCGTTCGATCCCTCGCAAGAGTTACAGGCATGCTCGCCTCTATGGCCCTAGCACTGGGCGCGACGGCACGAGCATTCAGCCACGAACTCCTGCGACTTATTGCCGACGCAACGTCCTGGCACTCCAAGGTCCTCCTGCACCCGGCAGCGGTGGACGAGCTATGTTTCTGGCTGGCGCAATTCGACAAATTTAACGGCGCCCCATTTCATCTCAGTCACCAGTTCGACGCTGTCATCCACGTGGATGCAAGCGCCCACAGTTGGGGCGCCATCCTCACGCCGCTCCCTGGGATCCCAATAGAAGCAAGCTCCCGCATGCCAGAAGACCTCCTACACACTTCCAGCACCCGAAGGGAACTCGAAGGTGTACTGTGGGCACTAAGAACCTTTGACACCCACATCTCCAAACGGCACGTGTTAGTTCGTGTGGACAACCAGGGGGTTGTATTCATACTGCGCAAAGGCGGCTCCAGCATCCCTGCACTCACACTACTTTGCCAGGCGATCATCGACCTTTGCTTAAAAAACCGGACACGCCTTGCCATCGAATGGATTCCCCGGGAGCTGAACGCGCACGCCGACGAACTCTCCAAAGTCTAGGACCGAGATGATTACTCACTCAAATCCCCATGGTTCCGACTCCTCGACCGCCGCCTGGGGCCTCACTCTGTCGACCTATTCGCGAATGTTCACAACGCTCAACTGGGGCGCTTCTG